TTAAAGGTTCGATGTCTGGTCGATCAAGAATTCGTTCTCTTTCATACCATTTAAAAATTTCTTGCTCAGTATGTCGAACACTATTTTTCCACATGTATGGGGTAACCGTTTGTAGAGCCTCGTTCCACATATCCAAACAGTCTTTTTCACTGTTACCATCTCTACCAATATGTCTGTTATAGTAACCTTTTGCTATGCCCCAAATTAACTCAATAGGGTTAAATATACAATGGTAAGGAGGCAGACGAAGAACTTTGTGCCCATGTTGTTCCGCCAATTCATCAATCACGTATATTTTAGGTGGTTTGTTTCTAAAAAAGCAGTTATTTTAAGAATAGGAATAAACAAAAGAAATATAAACTGTCGACCAAAATATATATAATTAAGAAGCATTATGTACCAAGCAACAATACTCAATAGCTCTGTTTCAAACATTGTGTTTAAAAATGGTATGTTTTGATTTGTCAACCAGTCTTGGATATTTTTTTTTGTCCATGCATTGTTGGGCACTTTGTTCAATATCATGCTGTGATAAGGGGCGTTATCCAGTATAATCATAGATGGACTCTCCAATTTTTCTAATAACTGATGTTGAAACCATTTCAAAAAATTGTCCTGGTTCATCTCTCCATGGTAATCGCTCAATTTTGTTTTCGAAGAAAATATCGCTTCACTACCCTCAATAAACCCATTTTCATTTCCAGCATGTAATATAATGTATCTAAAATATATTAGTTTTAAATTTTATAGTGCAAATTGTGTAAAAGTACATACCTTTTACCATCTGTTTTAATAGCTTTCACGCTTTTTTGGTTTCCATTTTGCCAAGAGCGACCTATGGTCCCATTTTGAAATATCCAAGTTTCATCGAGGAAGACAAACTGGTATAAGGCCTCAACCTTGGCTTGATTGTCCTTAAGCCACTTAAATCCAAGATCTCTAAGCAACCGCCTTAAAGACGTGGCACTACCATCAAATAATGCCCTATCTCTTAATCGAGACCATAAAGTTTGTATCGTAACTTGTTCTTCTGAAACCATGTGTAATATGACATTATAATTTAGTTAACAAATTAATGCAAATTTCTGATAAGTTATTATAATAAGATCTTACTTTTGTGATACATATTATAGATCACTTCTCGAATGGCACTTGTATCCAATGTCGCTGTGTTGGTTACACGTTTAATATAACTCCGCTTTTTCTTGGGCGATTCTAAATTTGCATCACTTTTCACACCCTCGGAAATACGACTAACTGTCCTTAAACTAATTTTTAAAGCAGCAGCAACACGCTACAAAAAATGAAATAAAATTTCACTATTATTAATATACATTACATATAATTATTAGTAACCTACCTCTTGAACAGCATTTAAAGGCAACAAAGGCCCGTTGTTGTCCCTTTCTTGCTCAAAGTAGTGCATTAACGAGGCCACGAGTTCCTTACACCGACTAATGTTGGACCAGCGAAAGATTGCAAGCCGAAAGAATGCGGACAAAAAATTGCGAAGTTGTCAGATGTTCTACATAAAATGCGGTCCATACATATTAACATATTTAAGATATAGAATTGTTCCGCTGAATTTGGCAATGTAGCTGGAAAACCCAGGCCGCAGGTAAACATCCGGTCGCTGATTGGTCCAAAACTCTTATCTTATCTGAAACTAGAATAACGTGCCGATGGCACGGTCATTTATAAACCTACTCCCATAGGCGTAGGCAGTTGGCAAATACTTTGAAAATATAATTTACTGTTTAGTGGTGATAATGGAATTCAAGCATGGGAAAGTTATTCACAGCCAGGCAAGGGAAATAATAGCAAACGTGATACGTGCTTGCGATGCAGAAGCGGCTAACAATACTTTCGTTTATCCACTGGTAGCTAGAAATGCAAGGGCGGCATATTATACGGGTGTTAGTGAACGAACTATAAGTAAAATTAGAAAAGAAGATAAAGACAGGCAAAATGCAACCTCCACACAGCCTTTAGCTTCTCCCGGAAAAAAGAGATCACGCCCTTCTGTGATCCAAAAAATTGATGGAGTCGATTTTTCCATTATTCGGAGAATGATAGAAAAATTTTACTGTGATTTTAAAGTGGTACCTACTTGTAGTAAACTTCTAATCAAACTGAAGGAAGAAATGGAATTTCCATTTGGTAAAGAATCGTTGAGGCTGCTTTTAAAAGCAAAAGGATTTTACTGGCGTAAATGCCACAACAAAAGGAAATTACTAATGGAAAGACCCAGTATTTTACATTGGCGATACAAGTATCTTAGGTCTATTAAAAAGTTCCGGGAAGAAGGAAGGCATATTATTTATTTGGACGAAACTTGGGTTGATAATGACCTCACTTTCAAGAAATGCTGGCAAAGCGAAGAAATTATGGGTGTCCTGAGCAATATAAGTTCTACAGGTAATAAAGTTTCTTTCACCTCGATTTTGCTTATTATACATTTTTCTCAATTTTGGAATATTCTTAATAAGTGCTCATTTAATTTGTCTAATTGAATACATAATCCCTTGCAAGTATTTTTTTCTCAAAAATATGTTTTTTATACATAGTGATTCAAAAAGGTGTTGGCAAACTTAAAATAACACTAAAATGAGGCTATTTATTCATTTCCAGGACGACTTATAATTGTTCATGCGGGTTCGCAAGATGGTTTTGTTCCTGGAGCCTGTCTCATTTTCAAGGCTGGCTGTGCCACTGGTGATTATCACGGTCAAATGAACCAAGAAAATTTCACGAAGTGGCTTACTGAAAAACTATTTCCTAACATTCCTCCTAATAGTATTATAATAATGGATAATGCACCTTACCATTCAGCTTTGGAAGACAAGCCTCCAACTAGATCTTCTCTAAAAAGAGACATCATCACGTGGTTGAGCAAAAAAGGTATAGAGCATGATCCTAATGCTAAAAAAATGGAGCTTTATGAAATAGCTTGTCTACATAGGCCACCATCTGATGAGAAAAATTATAAGATAGATAATTTAATAAGAAGTTTCGGACACACCCCACTTCGAACGCCACCCTATATGTGTCAGTTTAATCCCATAGAGATGATTTGGGCACAAGTAAAATTTTTCATTAGAAGCCATAATACAAGCGGCGAATTTACTATAAAAAAACTAGATGAAATTTCTAATAAGGCCATCGCTTCAGTAAGTGCCAGTGACTGGCAAAAGGTTATTGGACATGTTATAAAAATTGAAGATGAATATTGGGAAAAAGACAGTCTCATTCAAGAAATACAGGAAGAAATAATAATCAACATAGGAGGTGAAAGTGATAGCAATGACAGTTCCTCAGACAGTGATCATGACTCTAATCAGGATTGAAACTATACTAGATTGGCTACCTTTTAGAATTTTTAGATATTCATTTATTATACTATTGGTTTGTGGCTTTTAGTATCTCAGTAGAAAGTCTAATTCTATGTGTTGTTTATGGGTTATTTCATCAAGAAATTACTTTTTGTTTTCCTATATTTTTCTATTCAGTCAGATATTTTTGACTTGTTGTATTCTATTTTAGAAGAATGCATAATTTGTTTTGCTGTTCAATCATAATGCGTACATAGGAATATTACTTGTTGCCTAAAAAATATATTTATTTTGTTCTCAATATTCAGTGTTTGTGTATATTTATTTCTTATAATGTATGTTTGGTATCACGTCATTATGAATCGCAAAAAAATATTAATACTACCAGTTGTAATAAAATATAAATTCAATTAATAATTCAAGTCTCTCCGATCTCCGCCTATGACTCCATATAAAATCGTCTAATGGTAAGGTTTTTTCATCGCATTTCCCCCTTTCGTCCCTAGCAATCTTTGGCTGGTCGATCTATATTTAACTGTTTGGGCATCTTTATATACCAAAATTGCCTTTATCTACTCGTAAAATGAATAATTTTGTTTTGAAACAAACAGTTGTTGATTTACAGTATGCGGGGCCAAAGGATTTATAAAGATTTGAAATGCCACAAATTGATTCAGTGTCAAAATTAATACAAATGTCAGTTCCCAGTTTAAATAAGTTTCAAGGTGACAATGTGTCAACGCTGCGAAATCGGTTTAGTGCGTTTACATGTCGATAAGTGATTGGAGCGTTTGCAAAACATTTTATTTCGCATAATGCGTCTAAATTTATCAGAAAGCAACTTATGTGATATTTTAATAACAATGTTTATATGACTATTAACCATAATAAGAGAGTAATGACCATTTTACAATTTATATATCACATTAATATGAAACTGCAATAGAGCAATTGTTTGTGATAGAAACCTAGGCATTAGGTCGGGGAATTTTTATCGTGATGACGTGCACGCCACTTTGTTTGGCGTTGACTATATGTACGTACAGTGTAGATATAAAAACGATAGAATAAGTAACACATAATCTTCCTTTCAAAAGTCATTCTAAACGTAAGGTTATAGCTAACTTTAACTAATACTGTATTTCTTCTTACACATCGGCAAGATGATGATGATGCCATAAGTTACGTCCAACTTAAACGAGACGATAACATCTTCACAGTAAAATGTAAAATATGTCCCAAATTTAAGGTATGCTCCAAGCAAAACACACTGTTGCCCATATTCATTTCCCATGGCATTCTAATCCACAGCTTTTCTGGGGTCTTTGTCGATGTGTTTTTCAATCTCGGACGTTACAACAATGATAATTACTATATTTTTCATGTCAAGTAGTACAAGCTAGGTTCATATGTTTAGAAGTTTGTTGTCACCTGCTTTACAAATGGTATGACGTCAGAACACATTAATATGGGCCAAACATGACGGCCAGCGTTTTTGCCAGTCTAAGAAAAAAATATTTTTAAATTAAAGTTTTATGGTCTTTTAGGTCTGAAAATAATATAACATTTTTTTTTTCGTTTTTTAAAACAAATATTAAGTATTTAAGATCCCTGCTTAAAAAAGTGTCAACTAGTCCATTTTTTATTGGCATCAGGAAAGAAACATAATGTAAGATTAAGATCTTTATTTAATATAATCAGATCTACACAGTCTCAAATTTATTCCATTAAGTTATCGATGATACGGCGATTTATAATATAGTTACGGATTATCACACACTTCCAAATGTTCATAAGTCCATAATGAATTCCATGCCTAAAAGTCGTTCACATTGTTTCATCTGACCGATAAATCGGACCATATTAATATAAATAAAATATAAAAACATTCTGAAATGCAGGTTCCTTTGGAGGTAAAGCACTATAAATAAATAATACACAATGGGGTTTAAATCTTAAATCTAGGAAATACTTCAAGCTGTAAAAGTTGCAGATATTAAGTTATGTCAACTTCAGCGAGCGAGTTGTGCACTTGTATGGGGACTGAAACAGAAATAAGTAAGTTAATATCGCATTTATTAAACAATTTTATGATTTCTCAAAATAAGCCTCTTATAGGCTCAACCTTTGCGTGAGGTTGGTTATTGTAAATTCATGATATTGTAAATAAACACTAATTATGTTTGCACCAAATAATGCTGATACGGGTTTGTCCGGAAAATAAGTATAAAAGTGGAATAATAACTTTATTTTACAATTGTTCAGGTATTTCAATATGGACTCCTTTGAAGTCTCCCCCTGTCACCAGATACACTTCTGCCAACGCCGTTTACACTATTGATACGATCGCTGAACCTCTTCAGTTGTGAAGCTCTTCATTTGCCATATCGTTTCAGCCTTGATGGCTTCCACATCCGCCCCCGAAGCACCATTTTGCATTTTGGGAACAGGAAGAAGTCGCAAGGGGCTAAATCGGGTGAATGAGGCGGGTGTTCGGTCACGCTGACTGAACTTCGGGCCAAAAACTCACACACAACGAGATACGTGTGAGCAGGCGCGTTGTCGTGAAGGATCCACCTGCCCCCTTGTGCCAAATCCGGTCGATCTCAGGCCACACGAGCTCTGGGACGACGCAAAACTTCAATGTAGAAATTTGCGTTCACTGTCCTGGAGGGACAAATTCCTGGTGAACAATGCCCAGAGGATGAAAGAAAACAATCAACATTTGTTTTCACATTGGTCCTTGATTTTTTCGACTTTTTGTTCTCGGTCCACTGCTTGCTTCTACTCCATGCATTGAGAATTAAGCTCCACATCGATTTCATAGAACCAAGACTCATCTCCAGTGATGACCCGGTTGAGAAAGTCCCCCCTTTCCTCTGCCTCCAACCCTCCTTGCTTTCTGTTCTGGAGTTAAGAGCTTCGGAATGATTCGGCCTTCCCGAAACCTTTTCAACCACTTGTTGACGGTTGATTCCTTCAGAGAATTGTCTCCGCAAACTTGCTCCAAACACTCAAAAATCTCACGACCATTCTTGCCTAGCTTTGCAAGAAACTTGATGTTGATGCGGTGTTCCTCGATCAGGAGAGATCCATGCCGACGGCAGGTACAAAGGGGTTACTTTCAACAAGCACACATAAATCATACTTACTCGCAGAGCGCTCCAGCTCGAACTGAGCATAGAGAGAGGGCCTTTATTATTTTGAACTCAAAAGCCATACAAATTCAAACCCTTTGGCATGTGCGCATACCAGTAAAACATGCGCACAAGAGGAAGATTTTCGTGAAGTCAATCTCGTAAAGCTCGGAAAAGGCAACGGTCGTCTTCAAAACCTCGACAAAAGAATCCTGGTTAAACCTGGTACAATATATTCGCTAAGGCAAGTATGGTGAACCTAAGAAGGAGCTGTGAAGAGAGAGGAGCTCCTCCAGATCAGGCGACAGGAACACCCAGGTACGTGCCAATCCTACATTGTCTTTGTATGGCTCGGATGTCGAACCTTATTACCTTAATTACAGTAATGGACAAAAGTAAACAAATATGAATATTTACCTAAATATCTTTAGAAAACGAATTCATACTTTCATTGCTCCATAAACAAATGCGTTATTAGTAGAAAAACTAAATTCCTTGTTTTTGCATTATCTGCAATGAACACAAGTCTGAATATAAGCACTTTTTTATGAGGGACAAAAATATGTAGACAAATTCTTTTCAACATTAGTTTAGTACAGTTTCGTGTCAGAAGAGGATTAGTTTGTGTTCATCAAGTATTGTGGAATTAGTTGAGTGATTTTAAGACCATGCCGCGTGGTCCAGAAATTTCTTTCGATGTGAAAACTAAGTTCATTGAGTTATACAAAGATGGTCAACGTCAAGTCAACATTGCCAAAAATTTGAAGCTGAAGCGTAAAGCAGTTGGGCAATATTGAACAAATATAAACAAAAAGGTATCTTGGAAGCCTCTAAGAGAAGTGGTCGGCCTAGAAAACTAAATTCTAGATCAGTTAGATTAATAAAAGTAATTTCGTCCAAAGATCCGTTTAAAACCCCAAGACAAATAAAAGCCGAAATCGAGACAAAAGGAATTGCCAGTGTTTCTACGAAAACTATAAGTAGAAGACTAAATGATTTAAAGTTATTTGCACGTGCCCGAGCAAGAAGCCGCTACTCTCGAGGAAAAACCGTAAGGACCGATTACAATTTGCACGGTTGCATCTTGATTGGAGCATCTGTGACTGGAAGAGGGTATGTTTCAGCGACGAATCTAAGTTCAATATGTTTGCATCAGATGGTGTTCATTACGTTAGACGTCCTAGTGGACAAAGATTGAACCCCAACTACACTTTACCCACTGTCAAACATGGAGGCGGGTCTGTTATGGTTTGGGGGTGCTTTTCGGGGTTTGGGATGGGACCTTTACATAAAATAGATGGCATTATGGATAAGTTTGGATACACAGACATACTAAAGCATGTCCTGTTACCCTATATGGAAGACAATATGCCCTTAAGATCAATTTTCCAACAAGATAATGACCCGAAGCACACTTCAAATCTCGCAAAGAAATTCTTTCTGGATGAAAAAATACCAGTTCTCAAATGGCTTTCACAGTCTCCCGATATAAACCCCATTGAAAATCTATGGGAATACTTAGATAAGCAAATACGAGAGAAAAATTATACAAACAAGGCTTTAGAGCAAAAGTGGAGATTGATGAATCTTATATCAAGAAACTTCTACAATCTATGCCGAGACGATGCCAGGCGGTGATTGATAATAATGGTTATGCTACAAAATATTAACACAAACATGGTTGGTTTTCTATAATTCAATGAACTTTGCATGTTTTTTCTATAATTGTTTTGCTTTGTCCATATATTTTTGTCCTTCATAGTTCCAGTTTTTTCAATTAATTTTTTAATGAAGGAAGTCTAATGAATTTATTTATGTATAAGTGAGTATTATGCTATAACGAATTATGTATACAGGTTGGTGTATCAATAGAACAAGTAAAAAAGAAATACAGCACAATATTAATTTGTCTATATACTTTTGTCCATTACTGTATATCTGAACGCGCTTACAGTCCCGCGGCTCTCCACAATTTAGAATCATCTTTGCAATAACATTTTTTGGGGCCACCCTTCCACAACGCCTTGACACGACGGCGACGCTCCGAATTTTGATTCCGTATTTTCCAGACAAAGCTCGTATTACAACGTCTCAACCAAGCGCGCGTTTCAAAGATTATGAACGACTCACTATTTGAAAAACTTACCTATTATTGATAATAGTAACTGTCTGCGGGTTCACTAAAGGTTGAAGCTTGTCAATGAACTTTTTGTAGTTCCTGTCCAATTCTCTTTGGTAGTCTCTTTGGTCTGGACCTATTAAGTTTCTGTTCTTCTTCAAAGCATCATGACATCTAAAAGAAAATACCATATACGTATTATCCATAACACATATTTAAAAGGAAAGTGTAAAAATATTTCTTATGGTAAATATGTGAACGAAATGTTACCAAATTATAAAATTTTGGTCTACTTTGTTTGTTAAAGATTTATTTAACGTTAATTCTGCAAGGTCAATTTTTGTATAATTTATCTTTCACAGATTTTTTTAAACTTTCCTGTAATTTTAAATTCTTGTCTATTAAAATATTTGTATTTTGACTATTCAAGGATATTAGAAAAAGCTGTTTATCTCCAACTAATTGAATATTTAGAGACGAACAATTTATTTCCTGTCCATCAGTCTGGATTTCGTGCTGGACACAGTATAACTTCTTCACTTCTCCATTTGACAGACAATATCTTAAATAATATGGATAAACATATTAATACAGTTTTAGTTATGGTCGACTTCTCTAAGGCGTTCGACACTGTGAACCATAAAATTTTGTTGAGTAAGTTAACGTATATTGGACTTTCTGACATTCCGCTTAAATTTTTTGAAAATTACTTAACTAATCGTAAACAAAAGGTGAAGACAGTTAGAGGTGTCTCATCTTCTGTTGCCGTTTCTTCAGGTGTTCCTCAGGGCTCTGTCTTAGATCCTTTACTGTATTTGATATATACTTTTGATTTACATTCATGTATTGAACATTGTGCTATACAAACCATCACCTTTTATGTTTTAATTTTCCCATATAGGATGGGTTAGATTACACGGAAAAATAAAAATCTCAAACCTACTTTTAACCCCAAAAGAAGTCCGCTTAGGGGAATAAGAAATATCTTACTTTTTCGAAAAATCCTTGAAACACAGCCGGAGTTTGTTTTGCAGCCTAGAGTACCCCTTTGCATTGCTAGGTAAGAATGTCACAGCCATTTCTAGCGGCCCTTGATTCACAGTTGTGCCTATACAACCCTGGAGTACCATTTGCAATATCTTTGGATCAGGCGGTTCTTGTTGTGTAGCTGCCGCTAGCTCGGCAGTTTTCTTTTGTATATCCTCGATAGCGACCTTCAAAAGTTTAATGTGATGAAAATACTATACAGGGTGTTCCTTAATGATATGCGAATATTTATTACATGAAAAATTAATGTTAGTTTGCTTTATAAACTATGGTCCAAAAAGTTTCGGAAAAAAATGGAAATTAATTAATATTTTCAGAACCGCTTCAGATATTTCACTGATATTTAGTACTTAGTGAAAGTTAATAGAGTTGCATATTTTTCAATGCAAAAATATTTTTTAGCTTTAATAGTGGCGTGCGTACGGGTATTGACTTCGATATTTTTTAAGAAAAAAATGGTACGCCAATAGTTTTTTGCCAAATAAAAATTATTTCTGAATTCCCCGTTCAATTTAAAACAAAAGATTTCTCTTGAATTGGCTTCCTTCGATGCGCCATTTTTCAGTAAAAAAAATAAAAACCGTTCTATTGTCCGAGAAAATTAATGTAATAATTGAAGAATGCAATTTAGCAATGAATATGTAGTTGCTCTGGAATATGTAACTGGCTTTTGACATCTGCCAAGTCTCTGTTATTCAAATCTGTTCGCAGTGACATCTTTTTCATTATTTAGTTTTTACAATCTTGTTAATAATGGTGAATTATTCAAATGCAGAAATGGCGGAAATGCATTACGTGCTCGTATATGGCCTTGCCGACGTAATGGTGAGCAAGCCAGACGGATTTATCACCAGAGATATCCCGATCGTGCTTTGCCAGATAGTCGAACCTTTTTTAATATTCATCGTCGTCTGTCCGAAAAGGAACAACTAAAGGTAGACCTCTAGGTGTGAGAACACTGACTAGAAGTAAAGGGGGATCGCCCAACATATTATTTTTTACTTATTACTTTGTCAATGAAATTTCGTGAGAATGTTATCGTTTCATTCTTGATGTAAGACTACCTCATTGCCAAGAAAATCAAGTTGTAGAAATTATTTTTTCTAAGTATATATTAATGCGACAAGCCAGTTGCTCTTTCCCTATTTACTAAAATCACGTTGATCCAACGCATTCCTAAAAAAAAGTACACCTCTTAAAATATATTTACCTCAATTGGAGTCAAAACAATTTGTGACCTAGCAACGACTTGTATTCTAGTTTTCACATACGGAAAATGGACGGCTGTGGTAAGAACAGTTTTACGTTTATATTGTTCTTTCAATTCGCCATGAGCCTTTCCTGTCATTGTGAAAGGGGTAGCGTAGACAAACCGTTCTAAAAAAATGTATATTTATAAGCTGTTAAACCCGTAAATACGGGTGCGTCATCTATTACTTTTTTTCTATTTGAAAAATCAAAACACGCTTTTTACGAGGTCAAATCGAATTTTTTTATTGATAAATGAAGGTTGGTTTATGCCATTTATGTATGAAAAATAACATCAGTCATGTGACTACCGCGGCTTCGTTTACAGGCCAACATCCGAACATCAAAATTTTCAATGACTTTCCCCAGAATAATCGGGTCTATGGCCGCAATTTCAGTCCGAATATTGCGCTTTAGGTCTTGAATTGTCCGGGGACCATTCGCATATACTTTTCCTGTCGAAAATTCTCAAAGAAAATAGTCAAGAGGTGTTAAATCGCACGATCTCGGGGGCCAATTGATATCTGAATTTCGTGAAATTATGCGGTGTTGAAATTTCGTGTGCAATAAGGCGATTGTTTGGCGAGATGTGTGAGCCGTTGCTCCGTCTTCATGAAACCAAAGATCGTCGGCACCAATACGATCCAATTGTGGCCACAAAAAGTCTGTTAACATGCTGCGATGTTGACGGTAATGACCTTTTCTTCGGCATCTTCAAAGAAGAATGGTCCAACGATGCTACCAGCCCATAATCCGCACCAAACAGTCACTTTTGCAGAATTGATAGGTTGTTCATGACATTGGTGAGGATTTCCAGCCCCCCAAAATCTGCAATTTTGCTTACTTACGTACCCATTGAGGTGAAAATGAGCCTCATCAGAAAAGAGCACTTTGGCCGAAAATCCGTCTTTTCTTTCCAGCAACTAATTAACAAAAACACGCCGCTGTTGATGGTCTGCCGGCTTCAATTCTTGTGTTAGTTGGATTTTCTATGGATTGAGGTGTAAATCAATGTGTAAAATCCGGCGTAAAGTGGTCTCACTAATTCCCAATTGTTGCGAACGGTGCCTAGTCGAGGTAGTTGGATCTTCTCGCACACTTTCACTCACTGCGGCTATGTTTTCACGAGTACGCGCTGGACGAGCATGTTGGTATGGTCTACGACCTTCAGCTGAATCAGTTTCCTCAAAACGATTAACAATCCAACGAATTCCAGGCTCTGTAGGGCGTCCATGTCGGCCAAAACTAGTGCGAAGTTTGCGAAAAGTATTTTTTATATTTCGACCGTTTTCGTAATAAGTTTGGATAACCAAAATGCGTTGTTGTGTTGTAAACGAATCCATGACTAAAAATGGCATACCTTTGACAGTTCATTTATGCATACCACATGACTTTTGACTCACATGGTAACACATAAACTTATAGGTAAAAAAAAGTAATAGATGGCGCACCCAGTACATTCATATAACATACTTATGTTGAAATTTTTGTCAAAATGTGTCTGCCTATATCTTAGCTCGTAGGGTTCGAAATACGGTTCCACATACGTGATTTGTATGTATGCTTTCTCCGGGTCCAAGGACGATATATCCACCGTATTTGAATCCTTTATTATTATCACATTCTCGGAGCCAAATCGTTCAGCATAGAAATTCTGCAATGACAATAAAAATGAACACACTTCTATACCTATTTATACAGACAAAAGAAGTTGATATACTACTATATACTATCACCTATATACATGTTAGTTTACATTATTAAATATTCAAAATTGTCCCCATTTATTCGATTAACGCAAAATCTTGCTTCGAAAATAAAATCCTGGTGTCGACGAATTCACAAGCATTTTCAGTGCGCTCTTTAAGTTCCTCCACAGGTTTTGCTGCTCCATCATGATACGCCAACTCTTTCAAACAGCCCGACAGAAAAAAAATCGCAAGGCGTTAACTCTGGGAAGCGAGCAGGACAAGAAATGGGTCCATTGCGCACTATCCATCTATTCGGAAACTCATTAATTGGATGTACATGAACTTGTCGTCTAAAATGTGGTGGAGCCCCATCATGTAGGAACCACATATTCTGTCTCACATTTAGAGGAACATCCAATAATGGCGGCAGATTGTGTCGAAGAAAATCTAAATAAATTTCACCGGTCAGTCGAGATAGAAAAATGGGTCCAATAAGCATGCCACGCCAGTCCAAACATTTAATGAAAATCTATGTTGAAAATAAGTTCTTTTTACAGAATGCGAATTTTCTACTGCCCAAACATGATTGTTGTGGAAATTGTGCACTCGATTTCGTGTAAATGTGGCCTCGTCTGAACACAAAATTAATTTTGTAAAATCTTCATTTCAGCCCAACTGTTCTTAAGGCCACTGGCAAAATGCAACTCTTTTAGGATGATCTTCAGGTTACGTTGATAATGATAAGGATAATACTGTTCTTGTCGTATTGTCTTCCATCCTTTACTATGAGAAACCTCAACTTGAGCTGCTATAGCTCTTGCACTCATTGTTGGGTCGTCTTCGAAATGTATTCCTCAATTTGGTACATTTCAGGTTGAGCAGATCTTCTAACGTGACCTCTTCGTTGTTCTTTTAGATATCCTGTGTCACGAAGTCTAATGACTAAATTTACATCCGTGGGGCCGGATGATTTCTTAAAGGAAACCTTTTCGCAAACAACCTGCATGCTGCGGCTGCATTTTGTTGACACTCTCCATATGTTAGTATTATGTCCACTAGTTCATTGTTTTCGTAAATATGGGCGCCATTTTTTCGCACAAAATGATAAGACAAATGAAGTATACGCACTATTAAAAGACTGATACAACTGATCGAACCAAAGACTCGTACAGAAAACACAAAATTTTTGCCAAATTTAGATAAACAAAAGAGTAGTAAACAAAAAACGCCGAGGTTTTACACCGCAGTGGTCGAGAATATCAAAAAATATGTAACAACATTCTTATTTTTTAAAATTTTTAATCTTGCACTATTTCTTTTATTATGCAACTGTTATATAGGTGATTTTTGGTATATCGACTCCTTTTGACGAGTCCTATAAGCAGTTAAAATAAGTGAATCAACTTTGAAAACACCATGTATAACATACATGTAATTATAAAAAGTCATTTAATGAAATAAGTATGTGAAGCAACCTCTAATCTGCTGAATATCTCAGGCAACTTAGTAAGTGTGGGTTCTTTGTATATAAACTCTTCTTTGTCCAAGTCTCCGAATTTCGAACCATAGAATCCAACCCTAAAATACGTGCCAAACATTCTTTTTCCTGAGAGCTGATCTATCCTAGTGTAGGCTTCATGCAGTTTGCTGAAAGTAAAAAATAATTTATTTCCAAGACCACTAATATAGTTTCTGTCAGTCTGACCACAGACGACCGACCATGATTATGTTGGAAATAATAAAGCTTGGATGATAATTTTGCTCTTAGTCGATAACTACCCCGCTCATCCAAATATTTCACTTAATAACATCAACCTTCAATATCTTCCACCCAATGTGACATCAGTTCTGCAACCAATAGACCAAGGTGTCATTTGGAGTCTTAAACAAATGTATTGGAAACATATGCTGATGAAAATTATGGAGCTTCAAGAATATGTCAACATTACCAAACCTGTCACCATTTTAGATGCTATAAATGTGCTTACTATTGCATGGGAATTGGTTTACTACAGAAACGATTCGTGATTATTTTCGTCATACTGGTTTAGTGAAAAACATGACTGAAATAGTCAACGATTTTAATCCAGAAGATGAAATTCAATTAAGTGATTTACTGAAAATTAACAGTTTACTGAATATAGACAAATTTGATGAGTATGTAAAAGTTGACAATAATTTACTAGCAACACAGGAATTGTCAGACTCCAATTTGGTTAATGAAGGATCTATTGATAACGAACAGGAATACGAATTAGAAAACAACGACGAAGAGCTTCCAGTTGCAACGTTATTTTCAGCAAGAAGAAGACAGTACAGCCACACTTACCAAATTGAATAAAATTCAACTTGCTGTTTTAAATGATTATATAAAAAACAATCTGTTCAAATGAAAATTACTAGCTTTTTTACCAAATAATTTACGGTTTTTACACATACATACCTACACAGTACGTATGCCTGTAATATATGTATCAGATTCTGATTTCTGCTGTATTTCTATTTTCACAATGATTAATTCTTTCTGACATGTGTAACCACTGAAGTGTATTAACACCAACAAATTATTATTATCATGTATCCTAGTGATATTTTTTCGTCTGAGTATAGACAGCCATCCAAGGACAGTTGTTTCGGGCTTTTTGGCAACTCCTTAGCATGGTCTAGTGCTGAAGAGTTGTCTGTGGTCTGGCGGACGAAAGCTATATTACTAATTCGTTCAATGTCGAGTAGACCGTATCTACTATATACCACCACAATCGGGAGCATCTAGAGGCCACAGTGGTGATCCGGCTATCAAATGCGAACTGGGAGAAAATTTCAATAGACAGCTGTATTACTCTCGCAGTCAATTACTTTCTACGTAAAAGCAGATTTTTTGAACGCTTAAACATAACTTAGTGGATTTATGAAAGGCCTCGGTATACCAAATTTAAGGAATGTCAACTCTCGTGTTTCCTCTTTTGTTGGTTGTAGTATTAAAAAAAATCTCATATAATTATATGAAAATAAACAGAAAACATAAATACACCGAAAATTCACTATGGAAGTAAACAAGCTATAATTGTGTCATAATAGTGGGAAACTGGTAAAGATCATTTGGGGAAAATAGAGAAAGCAGAACTTAACGCTGAAAAAGAGGACCGTTCTCCCGAAAGGAGAACATCTGGCAACCCTGATTAGGGGTATGTATTATTTATTAAAAATATTAGGCACTGCTGAAAACAAAACACAAAAGTGTATCCCACATTATTTGAGATTGTTAGAAAACGTGTAAATCTCATAGTTGATATGTAATCGACAATTTACGTTGAGAATTTAAAGCTGAAGTGTCCATCTTAATAAAAAAATGAAAAAGCAATAAAATCAAAAATATGACAATCAAATCCCCCTATAGCCTCACGGTACCCCATGGGTGTTTAGGCCTTAGATCTTCGTGATAGCTGGAGTAGAAAAACATACAAGGTGTTCCAAAGGGGTACCCATCCAAAGACTAACTGAACACTTTCGCGTTCCTTTTAGGGAGCGCGATCTATTGAATTAGTTCACCGAAATCAACTAGAAAGCACATTATTAGAGGTGTTATTAGAGCTGCATGCTTCTTCCTATGTCGAATTGACGGTTACGTATCAACAAGTTAAATGTTTTTACAAGGATTCTCAAAGAAATAAAGCCAGACAAACTATACTAAGTGACATATAAATCCGAACACCCAGTTTAAATGGTTTTATTTTAATAAAAGTTGGTGAATGTATTTATCTTACTGTAAATAACAAGTGAAAAAATTTTCAGCCATATCAGTTGGACATTCCGGTTTTTATACTGCTTTTTTTAATTCACTAACGCTCTAAAAATGAATATTTCAGCCGCAGTAAAGAATCAACATTGGCGGATTTTGGTTCTTGACATCCTTTACGATCGGTTACGATGCCTAGAGTATGGAGACCTGTACGATTTCGTCAACTTAGTGAGTTTGATAGGGGCCGTATAGTGGGACTTCGGGAAGCTGGACTTTCTTTTCGGGCAATTGCAGTTAGAGTGCAAAGAAGTGTAGACACTGTGGTTAGGTGTTGTCAGGCATGGCTTCGAGAAGGCCGTACGCAAAGAGCAAGGGGCACTGGACGCCGCCGTAGAACAACAGACCGTCAAGATCGCCGCCTAAGATTATTGGCCTTAAGGTTTCTCCCCTACCAGGTCCATTGCAAATGAATGGTTTGCAGAACACGGAAGACCTATTGGCATGCGAAGTGTTTACCGACGAATGAGAAGTTTTGGATTGTTTTCATACCGGCCACACTGGGTCCTCCCTTTAACTCGAGAACACCGACGTAATCGCCTTGAGTGGTGCAGACAACGGTCACTCTGGGATCAGGAATGGAACAGTGTTGTCTTTAGTGACGAGTCTCGATTTTGTTTAGGCATGCACGATAGTCGTGCCAGGGTTAGAAGGCGACGTGGTGAAAGGAGGAATCCACAGTTTTTTGTTGAAAGACATGTTCATCACACTTTTGGAGTTATGGTTTGGGGTGCTATAGCTTATGGTTCCAGGTCACCTTTAATCTTCATCAGAGGTAACATGAACGCGCAGCGTTATATCCACGAAGTTCTAGAACCCCATCTTTTACCCTATCTTGACACCCTGGCAGATCCAACTTTCCAACAAGATAATGCCCGACCACATGTTGCAAGGGTCACAATAGACTTCTTTCAACATAATGATGTCACATTATTACCATGGCCACCAAGATCTCCCGACTTATCCCCAATTGAGCACGTGTGGGATATGATGGGTAGGAGATTGCTCAATTTGCAACGTCCTCCTCAGACTCTAGAAGCACTTCGAGAGGAGTTGGTGGTTGCCTGGAATGAGATACCACAGGAGGATATTGACCACCTGATCAGAAGCATGCCTAGGCGCGTTGGAGAATGCGTAGCACATCAGGGTGCATCCACACATTATTAAAGGTCAAAGGGCTTTAAAGCAGTGCAATCATTTTGAAATTTTTATCATTTTCTTATTATGCTTCATTAAGTACTTATACAAAATTTTATTAAAATAAAACCATTCAAACTGGGTGTTCGGATTTATGTCACTTAGTATAAAAGGAAAGACGTAAGGAAAGCGAATGAACATGGACATTCCCTAGAAATCTTCAAGATTTCTATTGCACTTATACGAGATCTTCAGAAATATTATCTACCTGTGTATGTTAGCCAGCTTCTTGAAGTCCCTATTATTCTCAGCGATAGGTATCAGTACTCTATAAATGTCGTTCATCGGTTCATACATGGCAGCTGCTTGGAAGCTGCTAGCTGCTTGTTCTAGCAAGCCTAGAAGTCCAGCTTCTGTGAAATGGGAGCCCAAACAGCCACCTTCCCTTTCCGGACTTAACACGTCATCTGAAACTGCGCTCTCCTCCAGTACATTGGGACTTACCCTTTCTAAAGCTGCTGCACCTACAATTTGTGAAGTTGATACCAGATAAGTAAACAATCGTACCAATGAATTCAATTTTTTTTATAAAATTAACCATTTCTGTCGGGAAGTCGAAAAAAGCCTTCTAGCTGCCACATGTGAAACTAACAAAACTTCAAATATTATCACATTTGTAGCCCAAGAATAGCTCTTTTCAGCTAACCCCCCTTGTTGAAATCGGCTCAGCCGTTTCGAAGATACAGGGTATTTTTACGGAAACCTTTGAATATACTACACACATTTTTTTTAGAGTTACAGCAAAAATTGGCAAACAAAAAAGTTCACATTATCCTCGACTTTAAAGATACGGTATTTTTTGTTAGGTTAATATAGCTGAATTTACAGAAACATCACTTATTTAGATTCAAGACTCCAGTTACGCCCCCCTAGTGGCCATTTCAGAAACAAGATAGAAATTAAAACAAAGAGAACGATAAAACCTAGTTATTAATTTAAACATTAAAACATGATAACAATCGTATTAAATGTTTAAATTGCCGTCCGTATACTTCTTAGCAGTAAGCTAGATATTGCGGAAATGCGTTTAGAACATTTTGAGACATCCGCTTTCCTCGATTCTTCTGTATTCATTTTCTATTCGTTGTTTTAGTTCCTAAAATCAAATGGTTTGGTTTTGTATACATTTTTCAAGGGCCCCCACAAAAAATAATCGATGAGTGTGAGGTCAGAAGACCATTTGCTTCTTTTAAACCACTCTATCACCCATTTAAATAATGACTATCATAACGTTTACACCCTGTATATCTTGATTAGTTTAGTTTTTATTTCTGCCGCACTCTGTACGTATTCATGAAGTATCAAAATAAACATACCTGTTGGTAAGTGGGGTAAAGACTCTAGCATGACCAAATATTCAGCTACCAAAGCAGCTGAATGAACTAGGCACATTCCAGCCTCGGTATGATTACCGCGTTCCATATGCTTCTGAGCCATATTTTCTAGCCAGGTTAGTCTCAAATCTGGCGAGTTTTGGTACCCTTTCGCTATACGATACATAAGATCCAATAACATCTCAGGATCCTGAAAAAAGGTATTAGTAGTGAAAAGGTTCACAGTCTTTTCAACAATTCTGACTAATAAACTCTAAACCGCAAAAATTTTAAGTCAATCATAAAATAAAACAACTATCTTACCTCTTGGAATTCCTTCATTTTCACTGTATCAGATAAAATCATGTGCAGATTGAACACTAGATCTCTCACTTGTTCAGGAAAAGTAGTATCTTGTAGTTCAGTGTCTCTTTCGCCATATTCGAGTATAGTTTTCAGTGATCGTCGTAAAGAATCGTCACTGAACGACGCTGAAGTACCCACTAAGCTGCTGAGAGACATTGTCACTTGCATTTTAACTCTAGCGAAATTCTGAAAAATAATCAAGTTGAATCGCACATATATATTTATACAGGGTGACTTCGAAGTTGAGTCATTTATTTTGACAGTGAATAGATCTGATCAAAAGAAATGTTTTTTTCCTTTAACATTTTTGTGGTAAAATTAAAGTAACAAAGTTATAGCCCTTTAGAAGTGTGAGTACCGCCGTGTCTCAATAATAATATTATGTGCTCGTGTTTGGCAACAACGGATATAATCCGCCTTATCGGTTCATCGCATCGGAAGCAAAAAAGCGAAAGAATTTGAAACGCTTATCACGATGTTTTATTCATTTATTTTATTCAGTTGTATTCAGTCAATGTGTCAGTCGGTAACGCGTGAATGAATAGGCACATGTTTACGAAAATGCTGAACTTGTGGACATGATTCTTATTTACGGGGGGGGAGTCTTTACAAAATGATGCCGCGGCATCACGGATTTATGCGGATCGGTTTCCCAATCGAGTGCAACCAACCACTCGTGCCTTTGTTAATGTAGTACAAAGGGCTCGTGAATCAGGTGACTTAAGACCTCACAGGGGAGGGCATGCCGGTGCTCCAAGACCGCACGATCAAATACAGGTCCGCACTGAAATACTTGTCGGGAGGATACTTTATAAAACAAGGTAACATTTTTTTTTTATTTTTACACGCATATTTTGGTTAATCTTCCTTCTACAATCATTATCTGAAAATTAATGACTCAACTTCAAAGATATAATATATATATATATATATATATATATATTTGAATACGTAGTAATTTTGGTGGTAGCTTATCTCATATTATTTTAAATTGGGAGTGGCAAAAAATAATTAGGTCGATTCTCCGGTGTATTTTATTTTTTTGTTGTTGAAGATTTATTTAGCATTAATGCTACAATGTCAATTTTGTATAATGATTCTGTTACATATTTTTCTTCAATCCATTTTCTGTAATTACGTCACTATGTATTTTGATAATTCATAAAGTGATTTTTTAATTTCATTTTAAACATTTTTAAATTCGAACTTTGTTTAATATCATTATTCAATTTATTAAATTCAAATACTCCCTTTTGAAATATAGATTTACTAGTTATGTTACTATTACAATTTTGCAGATGAAAATCTATACTGCCTCTAGTTTCGTAGTTATGATAATGACTATTTAATTTTGTGAAGTTCTCTAAATGTGGTGGTAATAAATGATTTTTTAACTTGAATATGAAAACGAAAACTGATTCTCATAGCTTTATTTTGTAGAATTTGTAATTTTGAAAATATGTTTTCATTTGCTGTATACAAGATGGTTGAACAATATTTTTTTTTTTATACTCCAACTACCACGAAGGCCTAAGGCCTAAGCACCCATTGGGTACCGTGGGGCTATGGGGGATACATGGGAAAGGGGGGACGCCACACGGACTCTGGCGAGGGAACACGTGTGCATGCAAGATGCACACATTCTGGCTCCGCCTACGAGAACCGCCGGGTGGTACCTCCGCGTTCGACAGTCAGAGACCATCTACCACCTACGGACAATCACAACATCCATGGCCAAGAGAAACATTTCTCCTGGGACGGGACTCGAACCCGCACAGCGCACGGCGGCTGATCAGGAGACCGAAGGGTCTACTACTGCGGCCACCGCTGCTGCCTAAAACAAACACACAACATCCATGGCGAAGGCGAGATTCGAACTCGCGGCCCGGCCGGCCGGCTGATCAGTAGCACGACACTCTGACCCACGCGGCCAACCGAGGTCCCGAAATATGAAAAATGGGAAAGAATTATAGTGTTATACACATTTTTTTGGAACACATACTAAGATTATGAAAAACTCTATAGAAGTAATTTATCTTTTTCGATATTTTTGAAATAATATATTCATAATGTTCGTGAAACAGTAGCTTAGTATCCACATACAGGGTGTCCCAGAAGTCGATGTCAAGCCGAAACCGGGTGATAGGCAAAGTCATAACAGCTATCAGAAAAATATTTAAAAAAAATTTATGTATGTGTTTTGAAAATTATAGGTCTTTGAAAAAAATATAGAAATTTCACACCCTACGGCAGTCTGTCAACTCCTGTTACTACAAATATTAGTTTTTTTGGATTTTATTTTTACAATGTAATGATGAATAATGCATCTTCAAACTGGTGTCTCAACCTTACTGCCAACTTTTCTCGTTCAGGAAAAATTGCCACTTATTTCCCAACCAAGTATTCCAAAGTAAAACTTTGCTCAACTTTAACTGGCTGTACTGGAAAAAATGTACTAATGTATTAATAACGATTCCAAAATGGTATAACACTTAGAAGATTACTCGTTAACTTATGCACAATTTTTATTTGAAGAAAAACTGATGAAAATTTTTCAAAATTTCCTAATTAAACAGCGATTATGAAAACGCACAAGGACCCTTAAGGATAACTGTTTGCACAACAGTGGGCGTCAAAATGCTGCTGATGATGATTTACCTTTACAGCAAATGCTCAAACTGTTTTCCTTCAGCCGCAATACACGCTCGACATCTTCTTAAAAAAGATCGGGTTATTAAAAGAGCGAATCCACGGTTATTAACAAACTCAGCTGCTTCCAATAGTCTTTGCCGTAGCTCAGCTACATTTTGAATCGGCTTGAAATACAGTTTTTCTTTTACAGTTCCCCAGTAAAAAAATCTAAAGGATTCAAATCAGGTGATCGGGCTGGCCACGGTATTGTACCAGACCGCCCTATCAATCTGCCTGGAAAGTTTGGATCGAGATACTCTCTCACTGAGAGTGCATAGTGCGCTGGACAGCCATCATGCTGAAACCACATGTCCCTGTAAATACTCAGTGGCACGTCCTCCAATAAATTTTCTAAATGATTTTGCAAAAAACTTAAATAAACCTCAGCAGTCAAAGTCTCTGGGAACTCAAACGGACCGATTATTTTACCATTTAAAATTCCTGTCCAATGGTTTATCTTGAAGCGATATTGAGATTTATCTTCTCTCATCAAATGTGGGTTTGCTACGTGCCACTCGTGTAAATTATGCAGGTTCATGTACCATCTTTCTTAAATGTGGTCTCATCTGACCATAAAATTTTTTTAAAGAACCGTGGATCTTCCCTGTGTCTTTCTAACATTGTGCGACAAAAAGCAACTCGGGGCTCATAATCCCGGGGCAGAAGAGCTTGAACACGCTGTACGTGGTATGGATGGAGCACGTTTTTTTGCAAGATTCTAAGGGCTGTACTTTTGGGCACATCTGTTTTTAGTTCTATTGCACGCATTGAAGTACTCGGGTCTTCTTCGACAGCTCCTAGCACCACGTTTTCGTAAGGAAGGAAAGATCTTCCCTCACCGTGTGATTGGTTTGGTAGTTCGCCCTCTGAGAACAGTAAGCGGTACACATTTGTGAACACTCGATGATCTGGATGACGAGCTGCATTCGGGTACCTCTCACAGTAGTCTCGCTGCAGCACTAGCGTTGCATCTGCATTCCCCATAAATGAGGTGCATGTTAGCATATTCTTGTATGGTGTACACGGACATAGCGGCACTGCACAATCACACTATCAAAGATAGTCTAAGGAAAGCAAATGTTGTTTTGAAGAGCAATTAAATAGTCTAAATCCAAATCACAAGCGATGAACAGTCCAGTTCACGAATCCAAAATTAGTAACAGTACGAAATCAACAAGCACGAACATGTAAAGATGCGCAGTAAACGAAGGAGTACTGATCGGTATCAAAGTGTGCAATAGCAAGTAAGTGATGTGCTTCATCCATACCACATACAGCGTGTTCAACCTCTCCTGCCCCGGGATTATGAGCCCCGAGTTGCTTTTTGTCGCACAATGTTAGAAAGGCACAGGAAAGAACCACAGTTCTTTGAAAAAATGTTATGGTCGGATGAGACCACATTGAGGAAAGATGGGTACATGAACCTGCATAACTTACACGAGTGGCACGTAGCAAACCCACATTTGATGAGAGAAGATAAATCTCAATATCGCTTCAAGATAAACCATTGGACAGGAATTTTAAATGGTAAAATAATCGGTCCGTTTGAGTTGCCAGAGACTTTGACTGCTGAAGTTTATTTGGATTTTTTGAAAAATCATTTAGAAAATTTATTGGAGAACGTGCCACTGAGTATTTACAGGGATATGTAGTTGCAGCATGATGACTGCCCAGCGCATTATGCACTCTCAGTGAGAGAGTATCTCGATCCAAACTTTCCAGGCAGATGGATAGGGCGGTCTGGTACAATACCGTGGCCAGCCCGATCACCTGATTTGAATCCTTTAGATTTTTTTACTGGGGAACTGTAAAAGAAAAACTGTATTTCAAGCCGATTCAAAATGTAGCTGAGCTACGGCAAAGACTATTGGAAGCAGCTGAGTTTGTTAATAACCGTGGATTCGCTCTTTTAATAACCCGATCTTTTTTAAGATGTCGAGCGTGTATTGCGGCTGAAGGAAAACAGTTTGAGCATTTGCTGTAAAGGTAAATCATCATCAGCAGCATTTTGACGCCCACTGTTGTGCAAACAGTTATCCTTAAGGGTCCTTGTGCGTTTTCATAATCGCTGTTTAATTAGGAAATTTTGAAAAATTTTCATCAGTTTTTTTTCAAATAAAAATTGTGCATAAGTTAACGAGTAATCTTCTAAGTGTTATATCATTTTGGAATCCTTATTAAATGCGTCAACTTTTAAGGTTACTTGCCAAACTCTCGTAGTACATTTTTTTCCAGTACAGCCAGTTAAAGTTGAGCAAAGTTTTACTTTGGAATACTTGGTTGGGAAATAAGTGGCAATTTTTCCTGAACGGGAGTTGACAGACTGCCGTAGGGTGTGAAATTTCTATATCTTTTTCAAAGACCTATAATTTTCAAAACACATACATAAAATTTTTTAAATATTTTTCTGATAGCTGTTATGACTTTGCCTATCACCCGGTTTCGGCTTGACGTCGACCAAGATATTTAAATGACTTGACTACTTCAATTTTTTCATCATTAGTCATGAGCCTAATTGTATTGTCACCTAAATGTTTCCTTATTGACATACATTTTCTTTTAGGACAAAGTTTGTTCAAAGTTTTTTCACGAGTAGGTTCTGAGATACAGGGACTCCAACTTGAGCTATATTTCATAGTTGTTTGATATTTATTTACATTCTTATCATCATCCCAAATGGTCAGTCCAGCTACTCGTATAAAGCAATTCTGTCACATGTTCAAGGATGTCCAAGCTTGCATGAATTAAGCATTGTTCTTAGACACAAACTTTTTAGAAAACTGTCCAGCGGAGTACATTAGAGCCGTTACTATTTAGTATATATTATTTAAATATATCATAGAAATGATATCTCTGACATTCTAGAACACTGAAAAATAAAAATATTTGCGGACGTTACATTGATATAACACAAAAACATTTGGAGACTGTTTTAGAACTGTTAAATAGTTATATTAAAAAATTATGAATTAGAGTTAGAGAAGAGGTATGCGATTAAATTCTGTGTGAAACTCAGTAAATCTGCGACAGAGACGTTTGATATGATCAAGCAGGCTTACCCAGGAGTTGCTTTAGCAAGAAGTGGTGTGTTTCGGTGGCACCAGGCCTTTTTGGAGGGCCGAGAAGAGGTCGCTGATGAAGACCGTGCTAGAAGACCTTCGACTTCGACAAACACCGATAATGTGACTCGAGTGCGCAAAGTTTTGAACTCAGACCGTCGACTAAGTATTCGTTTAATTGCCCAGATGTTAAATTTACCAAAATCTGTGGTTCATGACATTGTGACACAGCATTTGAATATGCGCAAGTGTGCGCGAAGATGGTCCCAAAAGTGCTCACTGACGACCAGAAATTGCGGCGAGTGGAAGTGTGACAAGAAAATTTGAACATGTGTGAAAGTGACCCCCAATTTTTTAATAACGTAATCACAGGTGACGAGTCGTGGATCTTTGAGTATGATCCCGAGACAAAGAAGCAAACTTCCGAGTGGCACACGACGGCGTCTCCTCGCCCAAAAAAGGGAAGAATGAGCAAATCCAAAGTGAAAACGATGCTTTTTGTCTTTTTTGACATCAAAGGCATCGTCCACCATGAATTTGTTCCTCCTGGACAAACCGTCAACGCCAAGTTTTACGTGGAAGTGCTCAGGAGACTCAAACGAAGGGTCAGTCGGGTCCGACAACACATCGCAGCCGACTAGAAGTTGCACCACGACAACGCCCCGGCTCACACCGCCTTTCTTGTGAACAGCTACCTGACCAAGGCCGGCATCCCAACGCTTCCGCTGCCGCCCTACAGCCCAGATGTAGCCCCCCCCCCGGACTTTTTTTTGTTTTCTCGCCTGAAAAGGCCGATGAATGGCAAGCATTTTGAGGCGACAGAGGGGATCCAAGCAGCATGCACCGCGGCTCTCAAGGCTATTCCGGAGAATGCCTTCCGTGACGCCTTCAATGCTTGGAAATCGCGCTGGCACCGCTGCATCGACGCAGAAGGAGCCTATTTTGAAAGTTTTTAAAGAATTGTAACGATTGGCTCAATAATTTTTTTTAAATCGACTCAGTTCTATTACTTTCCGGACAAACCATGTATTATTTAGTTCCCATTTTCGTATTCAAATTAAAAAATCATTTATTACCACCACATTTAAAAGCCTTCACAAAATTAAATAGTCATTATCATAACTACGAAACTAGAGGCAGTATAGATTTTTATCTGCAAAATTATGATAGTACCATAACTAGCAAATCTGTATTTCAAAAGTGAGTATTCGAATTTAATGAATTGAATAATGATATTAAACTGTTTCGAATTTCAAAATGTTTAAAGTGAAATAAAAAAATCACTTTATGAATACTCAAAATGCATAGTGAATGGATTAAAAAAAATGTGGAAACGAATAATTATACAAAATTGACATTGTACCATTAATGCTAAATAATCTTCAACAAATAAACATGTACCGAACCCCCACAACGCGGCAATGGGGTACGAAATATCTAACGTGGAGGCCCGGTAACTTGAAAACTACTTGTAAAAACACTTTGGACCATGGGAAACTTTTGATCGATGTGTCATCATTCAATGAAAAATTAGCAGAAAGCCACTCTCCACGCCCTGTTTCAATATATATTTGCGACATTATAGATTCATCAAACACACCACATCTCATCCAACACATACTTACATTGCCAATTTGGAATGTTTGTCTCATGAGAAGGTATAAAGATGCTGCCGACTGTGATCGAACAGATGCTATTTGTGATCCGCAATGCTTCAATAACAGCAAACACAGATCAGCGCAGTGTGTACTTTCTTCATCGAATAGAGCACTGTGGAACTGGAAGAAAATAATCTTATGACAGCGTTGTTTATCTTAATAACCATATTCCTAAGAGACACTACCAACTAACAATTATCACTCCTATTAGAGTTGCAAGAATGATTATACAGTATTCCTTACACAGCATTGTATACTGTAAGAACATTGGCAAAACCCTCTTAGAACAGCTACACAAGCCGAATGGTCACACCTAATAGCACACTTCAGTCATTTAAGAGGTAATATAAGGGCTGCAGGTAACAGTTATACAACAAAAGTGTAAGCCCCTTGCAGCCGCTATAGGACATTTGCGTCAGTGCAAGATTCAGTTTTTGTCAACTATACAACTATTCTGTTATGTGATTCTACTTTATTGCAACCAAACTATTTCTTATGTATTACATAGACGAAGTGAAGAATATATAACTAAAACATTATAGTCATCTTGTTTACTTACATATCGGCCATTGTGAATTTCATACACAGGTATATGATAAACTTCTACACTGTGATATAGGGCTATTGAATTACTTGGGCAGCAAATTTTATTGTGATTATCGTGCAAAGTAGTTACGCAATTTCTACGGGCTTCTTATTTGATGCATATTTTGATAATGATCAAAAGTATGTCTAGATTTTTAAGATGGAAAACTGAACTTATCTGCGTCAAATCTTCCACAAATCCTATATTTAGACACAATTACACTAATGTTTATCACTTTATATTTGTAATTTCGAACTGAAACATAATTATTTAATATTATATAGAGGAATAAATGTTTGCCCAATATGGGTGGTGGTTGTTTATAATCATGGCATCGTCCATGTTGTCTTCAGTTTATTAGAATATTTAGGTGTTGCCTGCAGGTGTTATACAACAATTTGACAAATGTCTGAAATGAAATACCGACAGAGTCGAATGATTTACCCAGAATTTGTACCAGATCTATATCTTCTGTTTGCACAGTTGATAAAACCTTTTGAATCAATATGCATGCGTTGTTTGTCTTAAATCATTGGTTATGGCATTTTAACAAAAATATGACAGCAGAAAGTTAGGTTACGGTGAAGTTGTATACCAACATATTTAGCATATGTACAGCCTTTAACAGTTACTAAACAACAGTTGTATAAGTGCTTCCGTTGGAAGCAATTTGTTGGCTAAAGTAGTAAATGTGCTCACCAAAACAACAAGGCTCGGGTTTGTTGTATAAACGTTACCATGGATGCCATAACACAACTATTTTGACTACCGCGCACATATGCCGTATAAAATAGTTGTATAAACGTTTATACAACCGTTCAAAATTTGTCCTATAAAGTGTTGTATAACTATGCTATAAGAATATTTTAAACACCTCATTTTAGAGCAAATATGCATTCCACACAACATTAAGCCAGCATTTTGGTGTTCAGGCAACAACAATATAGAGCTTTTACGGCTGAACAGTTCTTTTACCAAAAGCTTATAGCACTACTTTGCTAGTTGGGTAAAGTATTGCATGACTACATATCAGTATTGTACCATTAATGTGACATTTATAAATCAATAGCTTACTAAATAACATGGACTTACCTTATAAACCAAACTACGTTGCGAACTGAACATGTGCGGCAACACTGTAGTGCTTTGATTCTTGCCTAAAGCATGCAGGAGAACACTCAACGCTAAGCCGACCAAATGCTGTTGCGAATCCCATTGTGAAATAGTTGCGACACATCGCTCCAAAGTATCCAAGATGATGAAAGAGGCTTCAGTGGCGAAGTGACCTTCTAGGTGGATGTCGTTGATGAGATCGTCTTTCGGACGATCCGACAAATCCTGACTGGGTTTGTAAAGCATCTGTTCTTTCTTCCATCTCACCTTTTCTGAAGGCGCTTGAGATATTCCACCTGCAAAAGAACAGATTCAAGTAAAATGACATAAAGGATATATATATATATATATATAAAGAACGACATCCCAAACTATTGAAAAATCTATGTTTCAAAGGCGAATGTTGTTGTTGTTGTTAATGTTGTTGCTGAAGATTTATTTAGCATTAATGCTACAATGTCAACTTTCTATAATGATTCGGTTATATATTTTCCTTCAATCCATTTTCTGTAATTTGACATTCTTGTCTATTAAAGTTAAAATTAAAATTAGGTCACTATGCATTTTGATTAGTCATAAAGTGATTCTTTAATTTCACCTTAAACATTTTTAAATTCGAACTCTGTTTAATATCATTATTCAATTTATCAAATCTCAAATACTCCCTTTTGAAATATAGATTTACTAGTTATGCTACTATTACAATTTTGCAGATGAAAATCTATACTGCCTCTAGTTTCATAGTTATGATAATGACTCTTTAATTTTGTGAAGTCCTCTAAATGTGGTGGTAATAAATGACTTTTTAATTTAAATATGAAAACGAGAACTAAATAATATATGAAATTTTTACACCCAACCACTGCAGTTCTTCTAACATAGACTTAATCCTAGCATATTTGTTTTTATTAAAAATGATTCTCATAGCTTCATTTGGTAGAATTTGTAGTTTTGAAAATATGTTTTCATTTGCTGTAAACAAGATGGTTGAACAATATAAAAAATGTGGAAGAATTATAGTGTTATACACAATTTTTTTAGAATACATACTAAGATTATGGGAAACTCTATAGAAGTAATTCATCCTTTTCGATATTTTTGAAGTAATCTATTCATAATGTTCGTGAAACAGTAGCTTACTATCCACATATATACCAAGATATTTAAATGACTCGACTACTTCAATTTTTTCATCATTAATCATGAGCCTAATTGTATTGTCACCCTTTTATTAGTCTTTAATTTAAGTTTATTGACATTTAACCAATTAATAATTATTTCAATATCATTATTTAACAGTTCTAAAGCAGTGTCCAAATGCTTATGTGATATATATATATACAGGGTGGTCCATAAGTCCTTTGAAATTTCAAATTTGAATAAAATTTAACGGGTGAGCGTGAGCGGCGCGGGCGAGGTGGGGGCAGTATCTTCAGTGTCTGGGAATTCAGTCGCCATGGAGTGTTTCACTGGAGCGGATCGTGCTTTTTGTGTGAGCGCGTTTTATCAAAATAATGATTCGGAAACCATTGCGCGGCGTAAAAATCGAGAATACCACAATTTACACAATTTTACAAAGTGTCCAACAGCTCAAACGATTAAGAACTGGGTTGCTAAGTTCGAAGAGACTGGTTCGACGTTAGATAAACAGCGGTGGGGTCGACCAAGGACAACTCGTATTGAAGAAAACATCAACATTGTGGCACAGTCTGTTCGTCAAAATCCTACCCAGTCTACTCGTAAGCGTTTCAGTGCACTAAACGTACCCAGAACATCTTTACAGTGGATTTTAAGGAAAGATTTACGTCTGCACGCTTACAAAATTCAGTTAGTGCAGGAATTAAAAGATAATGACGCTATTCAGAGACTAAACTTTGCGAATGAAATGTTGAATCGATTTTCTTCGCATAATAATGTGTTGTTCTCGGACGAGGCTCACTTCCATTTAAACGGGCATGTAAATAAACAAAATTGCCGTTATTGGAGCCCCGAAAATCCAAGGCGTAAGCATCAGAAGCCCTTACACAGCCCTAAAGTTACAGTTTGGGCTGCTATGTCAGCGCATGGCATCGTAGGCCCTTATTTTTTTGAGGACGACAGAGGTCGCGCATTAACTGTTACTTCGGAGCGGTATGTTGACACCAGCGATGCAGAATTTTCCAGGCTATAATACGCAGACCTGGTTTCAACAGGACGGAGCAACTGTCCACACCTCCAACACTTCTATGCCCGTCGTCTGTCAACTTTTTCCCAGCAAAGTAATTTCTCGAAGAGGAGACATTTCCTGGCCACCACGTAGTCCAGATTTGACCCCAATGGACTTCTTTTTATGGGGCTACCTCAAGAATAAAGTGTACGACACCACTCCGCGATCGATTGATATCCTGAAAGAAAATATCCGAAGAGAAATGGCAAGCATTACAGTGTTGACTTGCCGCGCAGTCATCGACAATTTTAGACGTCGTTTATATGAGTGCCGTGATCGTAATGGATTGCATTTAGACGATGTGATTTTTAAAACATAATTACCATTCAATAAAGATGATAACAAAATATAATAATTCTTCATAATGTAACTAGTTTGGTTTTATTCCTTTTCTTCCAGCTCAAAGGACTTATGGGCCACCCTGTATATATAGTAGTAGTAGAAAGATTTATTTAGCACATTTGGCTACATAAACAGAATAATTGTAAACAACTTAGAACTAGTAAATTCAAGCCATATGGTGTATGATGTAAATGCTGGGCAACCTAAAGTTGTAGATTTAACAAGTGATTTCTCAATTTTACTTTAAATTTTGTCCAAGTTTTCTGGTCTTTTATCTCCGAGTATAATTTATTATATTCAATCAACCCTTGACGGAATACAGATTTGTAGCATATGTTATACTTTTTGGTCATTAAATGGAAGTCATCTTTATTTCTGGTATTATGTAAATGATGGTCGACATTTGATGATGTTAAATTAGTTAGACTTGATGGTAATATATTATTTTTTACTTTATAAATGAAAATCATTACAAGATATTTGATAAAATTTTTTACATTGAGCCATTTTAATTTGCTAAGCACTTGCCTAATTGGAGTATATTTATCTTTATTTAGTATTATTCTCATACACTTATTTTGTAAAATTTGCAGTCCTTAAAAGATGGAATTATTTGCTGAATATAGAATAGTCGAACAGTACAAGAAATTTGGAAGAGTGATGGTATTATAGATAATTTTTCTGCTATATGAACTCAGACATCCAGAAACTCTCGATAAATATCCCACTTTACTACTAATCTTATTTATAACTTTTTCATAATGAATATCAAAAATTAATCGAGAGTCAACAAAAACCCCCAGGTATTTAAAATTTTCTACGAATTCAATATTTTCACCATCAATATTCAGTTGAACATTTGTACATTGTTTTTTTCCGATTAACAAGGCTTTCGTTGCCTTGCATGTAATTTTAGTCTGTTAGATGCTAACCATTTTGAGACAAGCTTCAAGTCTTCATTTATATAAGAGATACCAGTCTGAATATTTTTAGTACTTATATAAATCATAGTGTCATCGGCGAAAATCTGAATTTTGCATTTTTTGACTATAGCAGGTAAATCATTTATGTATAAAATAAAAAGAAGTGGTCCCAGGATACTGCCCTGTGGAACACCCAACGTATTTTCAATTTTTGATGAATTAGTGTCATTAACTTTTGTAACTTGCATCCTTTTAGACAAATAATTTCTAAACCAATCTATATATATATATATATATATATATAAGTGTATCGTCTGCAAATATTTGAATTTTGCAGTATTCTAAAATGTCAGAGATATCATTTATATAAGTAATAAATAGTAACGGCCCTAATTTACTCCCTTGTGGCACCCCTACTGATATATTTTGAAAACTTGAATTCTATGTACTAAATAATTTTGTAAAATGTGTAACACTGATCCTTTAAAGCCATAGTGACGCAATTTCATTAACAATTTTTTCCTATCTATAGTCTCAAATGCCCTTTAAAAATATTATTACAACATATTCTTTCTCATCTATACTTCTTCTCCAGTCTTCCACCACCATTTGGATTTCCGTTTCTGTGGAACATTTTTCTCTAAATCCAGCTTGATTTTTTATCAAAATTTTGGTTTCTTCATTGAATTCTATGATTTGTTCGTATATTATCCCTTCGAACAGCTTCTCGACATCGGGCAAGAATATGTGTGAATATTGAAAATCAAACAGGTGAGTACTAATTACTGAGTTTCTTGATAATATAATGTGTTTTATTTTATTAACCCCAAAAATAGAACATTTACAACACCTCACACTCTACAAACCCTAAGCCCCAATTTTCAAATCTCTCAAAAATGTTTGAGCTTGTTTTTCATTTACTTCCCCGCCAGTAAAGTGCAGTAAAAACGACTCACCTTTTCTGCGCTGCATCATTTCTCTAGCAGAGCCCTGTCCCAAAATGACATCTTCCAGTCTGGCTCTCATATCTTGCGCGCCCTGAGCGTGAGCATACCCTGTTGGTGGTGGAGCCCTCCGCCTCGGCTTGTACTCGAAACAACTTGCGCATGCGTCTAGCAAATGTAGAAGAGTTGCCAATCGAGATGAAGGTAGCTCGTTCAACCACTGTGATAGTCCTTCGCGTTCCACATTCTTTAATACCCATAGCACGCATGTCAGAATGCTGCGGGTCACGTCGGCAGAAATACCGCTTTTACGAGACTGCAACTGCGGAATGAAGATGTATTAGAAAGTTATGGGTTATCACAAGTAATTACGTACAGGGTGGCCCAACGAAAAGGTCGCACCCCTATTTGTGACTCTCCTGGATCATTTTGGGGAAAACGCTCAGGCAAGTCAATTTTGATTTCTAGAGGGACGACTTTCCATCTATAGCCGTGCAATACGGGGTGATTCAAAAATAAGACAATGCGTTACACTTTCTCCAAATTCTCTCTCTCTTTTGTATGGGGTTGTCCAAAGCGGACGCAGGAAAGTAAACGCATATTAAAACAAGAAAGATTGATATTCAAATCAAGTTGGGTACTTTATTTTGAAGGTTCATTTATACCATTTATGTATGAAAAATAATATCGCTCAAATGTTCACCACGACTGGATTTACAGACGTCCACGCGATGGTCGAAATTTTCAATGACACTTTGCAACATGGTCGGTTCTATGGCATTTATCTCGGCAATGATGTTATTTTTGAGTTCTTGGAGGGTGGCTGGTTTGTTGACGTAGACTTTGCTTTTCAAATATCCCCATAAAAAGAAGTCAAAGGGAGTCAAATCGCACGATCTTGGTGGCCATGGCACATTTCCTCTGCGCGAAATCACGCGATCACCGAAGAAGGACTGCAATCGATGAATATTGACATTGGTTGTGTGGCATGTTGCACCGTCTTGTTGGAAATAAAAATCGTCCATATCCATTCCTTCAAGTTGCGGCAAAAAATAGTCCTCTATCATCACGGATATCGCTCAGAATTGACGGTAACGGCGTCCCGGGCCGCATTTTCGAAAAAGTAAGGTCCGATGATGCCTTTTGACCACAATGCACACCACACAGTCACTTTTTGAGGATGCATCGGCTGCTCTTGATACTCACGGGGATTTTCGTTCGCCCAGATGCGGCAGTTTTGCTTGTTTACCGTCCCATTCAAAGTGAAATGCGCTTCGTCGCTGAACATGATTTTTGATGAAAAATTGGCATCAATTTGGCGGTGTTCAAGGAGCCAATCTGAGAACGTTCGGCGCGAAAAATGGTCGGCCCGACGCAGCTCTTGCGTCAGTTGGATCTTGTAGGCGTGTACATTCAAATCTTTGTAGAGAATTCGGAGCAAACTGGTTCTCGAAATGCCCAATTCTTGGGATCGATGCGTTGGTGATTGTTTCGGATCGTCTCTCACACTCTCCTTCACAACAGCAATATTTCCCGGTGTGCGAACGCTCCTTGGCCGGCCAGAGCCTGGCAGATTTGCCATAGAACCTGTTGCCTCGAATTTACGCACCAGACGACCGATGGTTGTTTCGTTTGGGCGGTTGTTGCGACCGAAATGTTCACGAAGCGGGCGAAACGTGTTTTTTATTTTTGCACCATTTTTGTAGTGCTCTTGAATAACTTTAATGCGGTCTTCAATCGAATACGACTCCATAGCGATCAATGGTAAACATTCAACTAACAAAATGACATGTCGGTGACAGAAAACAAAGATGGCGTCTATGTCAAATTGACGTTTACTTTCCTGCGTCCCTATTGGACAACCCTTTATAATAAAATGTATACCTATCTTCAATCGTTGTGAAGCTATTTAAGTTTATAATAAAATTCCAGAAATCGTGATAATAAGGGATTACATAGTAAAGACAATAATCAATATAGTTCTCATAGTAATAAGACTAAAGGTTAAAATTGAAAAGAAGTCGCCGAGGTTTAAAATACAAAAAACAACTTACAGATTACACGCACATTAAAGTTGAAGTAAAAATTAATTTGCTATAAAGAGGTAGGTCAATGTGGTAATAATGCATTAATAAAGATTTTGTTCGAATCTGTTATTAGGAAATAAATCGAGCAGTGAACAATGTACAGCGAAGAGTCAGGCTTTGTCTACAAAATACCGGACAACATTTTGAATACCTGATATGGTTTTTACTTCTGCTTATTTATGATTATTATTGTTATTAATATCGGACGAACGACTCGTTTATTTTTTTCCAATTGGTAGGTTTAGGTTCGAAACCACGATTCGTTCGTTGATGATATCCGCGATGTTGCCAATTCTACAGTTTTTCGGAAACGGATAGCAACTTTTGTTTTTCTTATGGATTCGATATTTGTATTCTGCGAGGTAAATTCTGAATACTTTTTATTAAGCATACTTCAACATAGACCTCATAGTTTTCGAAATATTAGCGCTCAAAACTAATACCTAAGCAATAATAGGTATCTTTTTCGCCTAAGCAATGACCGGTATCAAACGCAGTGTTGCCATACGTAGCGGAATTCCGCTATTTGTAGCGGATTATTTTGAGAAGAGCGGCGTAGCGGCGGTAGAGCAAATTAGCCCAAAATGTAGCGGGATTTATTACATACAAAACTATCATATTTATTTCACTGTTTTAACGTTAATAACGTTCTAAATCCTAAATAGGCAGTGGCTAGAGTCTGATTTATCATCACATTAATAATAAAATTGGTGCATTTGGTGCCGCTTGAGCCATCTAGGAACAGAGAAGAGAATTATTCCACTTGCCTTTTTTTTCAATAACAGATGGCGTACGTACTGCTTTCAATACTAATCGTTTCTAACAGGTCTCAGCAGGCAGACAATATTAGGTTTCTCGCTTTGTATTGTATTTTTCAGCTCTGGGTATATACTGTTTAGTTTCGTTTATATTAGTGTTCTTATTTTTGTGTTGATCATTTTATTGATATATCATTTGCTGCAGATTTTAATATTAAATCTACTGGTAAGTAACAAAACTGCTTAAATATCTAACATATTATAGTTTGATCCAGAAATAAATCTTAGTCGCGAAATTTGTTTTTAACGCTTTTTCTTCTGGAAAATAGGAATAATGGAAAGGCGACAGCAGACCATTAACGATTTTTTTGATAAAAGTCCTTCTAAAAAACCAACGGTGAAACCAAACGTGGCCGTACCATCCACTTCGACTGCATCTGTGTCGGACTCGGAGCATCCCGAACCTGAATACAGACAAAATAGAAGAGCGGAATCTAGTGGGATCAGGTCTGAGCCTGATAATTCGACTTGCGAATCTCAGGATAACCAAGAGCCAGAGCAACCTGTTAAGAAAAAGACACGAAAACAAATGTTTACTTCAACATGGCTAGAAGATCCGTTATTTAAAGGCTGGTTGGGACCTATTGAAAATGACAAGTTGAAAGCAAAATGTAAAGCTTGTAATCAAATAATGGGTGCTAAAAAATCAGATTTAGTGAATCATTCGAAATCAAAAAGGCATGCCACTAATGTACAAGCAATTTCGAATGTAAGAACGTTAGGTAGCACTTTTCAGTCTCGGGAAGCACGTGAGTTGGAAAAACGGCAAATATTTGCTTGCTTAAGATATAGTCTTTTAGTTGTAAGTCATTATATAAGTTTTAGAACTGTTGATCATATAACAAGAGTTAGTCAATTATGTTTTAAAGACCCAGATCTCTCTAGCTCACTTAAATTAAAAAGATCCAAATGCATAAGTATAATTAAAAATGTGCTGGCTCCTGTTATTAAAGACGAAATAATTTCAGAATTGGAAAATAAACCATTTTCTATTTTATTGGATGAGAGTACAGACCTGAGCAATACAAGACTACTATGCATTCTTGTAAGGTATATTCATAAAAATTCAATTAAAACCCATTTATTAGATATAATTAAAATAAACGCAGATGAAGGTACCGCCAAAGGTTTATATTCTCTTTTTAAAAAATGCGTTATATCCAATCAAGTAAAAATTACCAATATTGTTGGATACTATTCCGACAACGCTAGTGTTATGATGGGCAATAACGAATCTTTCAAAACTTATCTTTTAAAAGATAATCCTAATATAATTGTCAATGGCTGCATTTACCACTCTGCTCATTTAGTGGCGGTGGCGGCAGCTGAAAAGATTCCAAGCAACGTTGAAGCTCTTTTACAAAACTTATATTCTTACTTCTCAAGAAGCCCAAAAAGGCAGTGTGTTCTTGAAGAATTAGAGGAATATTTCAAAAAGTCAAAATTAAAAATTTTAAGCCCTAGTAAAACAAGGTGGCTTGCTTTATCCAAATGTGTTGATAGAGTTTTGGATCAGTGGGACATCTTGCTTAGCCTATTTAGATTAGCTTCCATTGAAGACAAAAATCCTGTAGCAAATGTAATACTTAATGAGTTACAGAATACATTTGTTAAGGCGTATTTAATGTTTTTTAAATTCGTGTTGCCCATTTTTAACCAATTTAATGCTCTCTTTCAATCAGAGAAAGTTATGCTCAATATCATATCAATAGAGAGTGAGCGATTTGTACGTCATCTATGTACAAACTTTATGCGACCAGAATATTTTGAAAATGAGAAATTATATAATCTAAATCCTAATGATCCCCACTCCTTAATACCAATTGAACAAGCGAATGTTGGTCCGCATACCATGGATGCAATAAAACACTGCAATAACACGGCAATCGAACAATTTAAATGTATGTATGTATGTATCACATTTTACCAAAAATCGGTAGAAGAGTCCCTTAAAAGATTTCCTATCAAAGACAACTTCTTTTCAGAGCTAAAGTTTCTCTCACCGGTTGATGTGATGAACAATCGTCTTATTATAAGTGATACCTTTCATGACGCTGTTTTAAAAAAAATTGCCCTTCATATTGAAACCAAAAAGGCAATTTTGGAACTAAAGAAAATATGTATTTATTTTAGTGATAGTGAGAAAGAGGGAATTTTAAAAACAAAAAGTAATGTCATTGAATTTTGGTCGTTTGAAAACGACCTCAAAAATTTTAATGACGAATATTTATTTCGCAATATAGGTAAACTGGCTCTAATCATTTTAACATTGCCTCATGGAAACGCTGATGTTGAGCGAACTTTTTCTTATATGCTTGATAACAAAAAAAGAAATAAAATAATACCATCAACTTTGTCTGCACTACTTACAATTAAATTAGACTTGGAATCAAAAAAACAGTGCTGTTTATCCTATAGTTTTAATGAGAATCATTTAAACAAATATAAAAAGAATTTATATAATGTAAATAAGGAAGAACAAGCTGAAGAAGAAGTAATTTCTGATTCTGACTGAATAAAATAAGCAAACGTAGGCATTTCCACGTTTCCGCTTCTTCTTTGTCCTTATTTTTTGTTTTTTTTTTTCTATTAAGATTAAGATGTTGGTGATAGTTTCTATTTTTTTATTAGTTCCTAATTCTAAACCAAAGGCAGTTTTGTTTTTTTAGAGGTATACTTTTTATGTTTTTACGAAAAATTGCAATTATATTATGTTACTGTTTGTATTTTTAGTAGGGTTTTTAGACAGTGTTTAAAAAAAAGTAAATATGTAAAAAATATATTTGTTGTTTATTTTAAGCCTCCCCCCCCCTTAAATTTTTAGACCGTAGCGGCATGTAGCGGAATTTTGCGATACGTGTGACGGACATTTTAAACTTCACTCTGGCAACACTGATCGAACGTAATTTCCTGTGATTTCAAACATCCATTGAGCTTTGTTAGTAGAGTTCTTGACAATGATTCGTTTAGCTGAAACCGAGAGAATAGAAATTATAATGATTCTGGGTTATGGCGATCGTCGACGCACACACCAAGAAGTTTGCGATATTTTTAATGACAAATAACCCAACCGGAATCCAATAAAATTGACTACTGTTGGAAAAGTTTTGAGAAAATGCAATAACAGGACATGTAAAGGATGTTCCACGATCTGGCGGTCACAAAACAGCATTTGTAATATTTTAGATTACTGTAAACTTCAGATATTTGCAGATGATACATATACATATCAGATGAAAATATAGACACTGCTTTAAAAATGCTAAATTCTGAGTTGTCAAAAATCGTAAATTGGTTAAATGTAAATAAACTAAAATTGAATACTTCTAAAACAAAATGTATGCTAATAGGGAAATACCTAAATGAAAATAGTTAGGATAAATGGAGAAATAATTGAAAATGTCGAATCAATTAAATATACTAACTGACATATAAATCCGAACACCCAGTTTAAATGCTTTTATTTTAATAAAAGTTGGTGAATGTATTTATCTTACTGTAAATAACAAGTGACAAAATTTTCAGCCTTATCAGTTGGACATTCCGGTTTTTATACTGCTTTTTTTTAATTCACTAACGCTCTAAAAATGAATATTTCAGCCGCAGTAACGAATCAACGTTGGCGGATTTTGGTTCTTGACATCCTTTACGATCGGTTACGATGCCTAGAGTACGGAGACCTGTACGATTTCGTCAACTTAGTGAGTTTGATAGGGGCCGTATAGTGGGATTTCGGGAAGCTGGACTTTCTTTTCGGGCAATTGCAGTTAGAGTGCAAAGAAGTGTAGACACTGTGGTTAGGTGTTGTCAGGCATAGCTTCGAGAAGGCCGTGCGCAAAGAGCAAGGGGCACTGGACGCCGCCGTAGAACAACAGACCGTGAAGATCGCCGCCTAAGATTATTGGCCTTAAGGGACCGTTTATCCACTACCAGGTCCATTGCAAATGCATGGTTTGCAGAACACGGAAGACCTATTGGCATGCGAAGTGTTTACCGACGAATGAGAAGTTTTGGCTTGTTTTCCTACCGGCCACACTGGGTCCTCCCTTTAACTCGAGAACACCGACGTAATCGCCTTGAGTGTTGCAGACAACGGTCACTCTGGGATCAGGAATGGAACAGTATTGTCTTTAGTGACGAGTCTCGATTTTGTTTAGGCATGCACGAAGGTGGTGCCAGGGTTAGAAGGCGACGTGGTGAAAGGAGGAATCCACAGTTTTTTGTTGAAAGACATGTTCATCACACTGTTGGAGTTATGGTTTGGGGTGCTATAGCTTATGGTTCCAGGTCACCTTTAATCTTCATCAGAGGTAACATGAACGCGCATATCCACGAAGTTCTAGAACCCCATCTTTTACCCTATCTTGACACCCTGGCAGATCCAACTTTCCAACAAGATAATGCCCGACCACATGTTGCAAGAGTCACAATAGACTTCTTTCAACATAATGATGTCACATTGTTACCATGGCCACCAATATCTCCCGACTTATCCCCAATTGAGCACGTGTGGGATATAATTGGTAGGAGATTGCTCAATTTGCAACGTCCTCCTCAGACTCTAGAAGCACTTCGAGAGGAGTTGGTGGTTGCCTGGAATGAGATACCACAGAAGGACATTGACCACCTGATCAGAAGCATGCCTAGGCGCGTTGGAGAATACGTAGCACATCAGGGTGCATCCACACATTATTAAAGGTCAAAGGGCTTTAAAACAGTGCAATCATTTTGAAATTTTTATCATTTACTTATTATGCTTCATTAAGTACTTATACAAAATTTTATTAAAATAGAACCATTTAAACTGGGTGTTCGGATTTATATGTCACTTAGTATATTTAGGTATATATATTGATAGTAAACTAAAGTTTAAGGATCGCTATGAATACATTATTTCAAAAATTGCCAAAAAAACAAATTACTTTTATAGGGCTTCTCATAGTCTTGGTATCTATTCCAAGAAAATAGTTTATAATACAATTATTCTACCGCATTTACTATACTGTTCAACTATCTTGTTCACTGCCAATGAAGCTGTATTCTCAAAATTACAAGTCTTGCAAAATAAAGCTATGAGAATAACATTGAATAAAAATAAGTACAAAATAAAATCTATATTACAAGAATTGCAGTGGTTGACCTTTCATATCATATTTGGTTCTTATTTTTATATTTAAAATAAAAAATCATCTTTTGTCAGAACATTTAGGACACTACATAGAATTGAATAATCATTACCACAATTATTATACAAGAGGAAATATAGATTTTCATTTACAAAATTGCCATAGTAATATATCTAGCAAATCAATATTTCAGAAAGGATTACTTGAATATAATAAACTAAATAATGATATAAAATATAAAGTCTACTTGTAATTTAAAGATATTTAAAAGAAAATTAAAGGAATATTTCATGGACAATGAAATTTCTTAGAGATGCAAATTTTGTTTTTTTTCTGAATGTCTGTATGTTATGTAATTGTTTAGTTTTTTAGAAGAATGTAATTGTAAAATCATGCTAAACAAATCTTAAAAAAACAAACAAATATTGGGAAAATTCGTTTTTTTTGTCTCTTTCAGGAATTACTTTGAATTTCGAAACTTTCTAAGCATCATTTTGTTGGTCATCTAAATACACAACTCGGCTCTGTATCTCTTACCGTTTCCGAGATCCAATGGTGAGGGTCGAATTTGAAACACCCGGTATAAGTTAAAGTGTCATTGGCGAAAATTTGAACTTTGTATTTTTAATTATGGCATTATGGCGTTTATGTATAAAATAAAAAGAAGTGGCTCCAGGATACTGCCCTGAGGAACGCCAAACGTATTTTCCATTTTTGATGAAAAAGTGTTATTAACTTGTGTATCTCTTACCGCTGGAAAACCATCAGTCTGTGATGGAGGCAGTTTGCCAGCAATAGCCATGGCCACAGTTTGGTTGATGTTACTGGGTGACATCTCATCGCTGTTATTGTACTGGGTCTTATCTGCTTGAAAATGATGCAAAATAGGCAAAACATCCATTGCTATCGAAAGTAGGGGCATGTATAATGCAGCCACGCGCTGCTTCGCTTCTGGACTACTGTATCTGGGATCGCTGTCATGCCATGAAAGGAGAAACTTAACTGTATCCACTGCTTTACTGTGGAGAGAGGTTTGCCTAAAAATAAAAGTAAATAGGATTTACACCATAAACATAAACTCTATAGAGAAGAAATATTGCCAGATACAGTGTACAAGTTATAGTAGTATTTCATTGGCTTTAATTTGAACAAACATAAAATAATATCAAGTTGCATTTTGAAACAAAAGTTTGTTTACTTATTTTAATGTCAGTTGACATTCATTTATTTTGAAGTTTTCGCTTTAAGATGTCGAATAAATTAGAAATAAGAAAAGGTATCCTCAAGTTGGTTGGGCGGCTATTCAAAGCTGAAATCTGTAGAATATTCCAGAATGAAAACATTTCATGCATCGAACGATAGCGGAGTGGGAGCAGGGAATACTATGTCTGAATCTCACAAAAAGATGAAGAGATCAGAGAGATTGGGGAGAATATCAAAAAATCAGATTGGAATGTCAACAAAGAGACTAGGTCGTCAATACAGATCTTATAAAAATTACAATCTGTATATTTATTACCGATCTCCAAGTGGAAGCGTCAATCGATTTATTGAATTTGAAACAGTAGACAAAATTCGTCCAAAATACGATTTGTAGAAGTTTGCGCGCTTCGAAATTGACGCTTCATTTTTTGATATGTTTGATGAAATTTTCACAGTATGCTGCAAAAAAACACCACAGGGTGCTATAAAGCCACTTTTTCATTTTTTTCACTAGGTCCTTTTTAAAAAAAATCGTTTAACAGAAAAAGTGCGCACTTCAACCCATCATAAAACTTGTCAGATACAAAATTTCAAAAAGTGCTCCTATAGCACCCTGGGCAATTATCTTCTGAACATACTGTATGAATTTCATTGAAAAATATTGAAAAATGGAGTGTCAGTTTCGAAGCAGCTGAACCCTTGTAAATGGCTTGAAACTCACTGCGTCGGAGCCGCCTTAAGTCATATTGCAAAAGTTTTATAGTAGTGTAGATATATAATTCAATACTTACTGCATTTCTAAAAGCACCGTCGCCAAATCGGTAAGTACGATGCCCGCTAAATAATGATGCTGTCTGTACTCGGGACTGAGCTCGGCGAAAGTGCTGGCCCTCTCTTGACTGGCAGGTGGTCCTGATATGAACGAGTTCTGACTGGTTGAACTCGTTACGCTCGGACTAGGCGATACGTTCGCGCTTGTCGACATAAATGGAGAGGCGAACGGCAGGTTCAGGGCTACGTAGTGCTCATGGCTGCAGATTATCCTTTTGAAAAAAAAATGCATATGAACCCGTCACTTTCTATTTGTATGGTATTGTACATTCGCTTCATCATTTTGTTATTCCAGCATAAAGCTTTAAGATTTATTTAGCACGATTGCTACAATTACATTCTTTCAAAAAAATTACAATAATATTTAGAAAAAATGCATCTCTAAGAATTTTCGTTGTCAATGAAATTTTCTTTTAAACTGCTTTAAATTACGAATCGACTTTATATCATTATTTAGTTTACTAAGTTCAAGTAATCCCTTCTGAAATATTCATTTTCTAGTTATTGCAATTTTGTAAATGAAAATCTATATTTCCTTATTTAACTGTGGTTATTCAATTCTATGTAATGTTCGGAATGTTTTGACAAAAGATTTTTTATGTAAACACTGGACACATATTGAAACCATGCGTTACAAACTTTTTTTTAAAACAGAATGGATTAAAATGGGGATAAATTAATCAGATATTCAAAAAACTATTACTACATTTTGGAGAAAATTCACATTGTACAATATTCTTTACAAAAATTGTGCACTATATGCTTGCTCCTTGGAATATGAATTTATTTAAGATAGGATTTCAAAATAAACTTCACATTGATAATGAGCCGTATTCATACAAGAGAAGCATATCCTCGGAAGCATAAGGTCTTGCTTCGGAGAAAAAGGTAGAAGTATAAGCATATCCTTGTTTTCATATTCATAATGATTTCCTTATACTCGCGAGGATATCCTCCAAGATGAAGTAAAAGGTTGACTGGTATTTGTATCTTGAGCGACATGTCCTGACTTGTTCCAGCTTGTAGTTGACGTGGGAGTTCACTCAGCATCACCGACAGTTGTACTCCAGAGCTTACACAGACCGTTCCGTATTTTTACTGGATACAGTTTTTTGTCAAATTAATAAGCATGTCATCCTCAAGTGATGAGGAAACTATAGAAAATAATGGCAACGATCTGCAGTTCATTGCAGATGAAATGGCCATTGCTCCCATTATTTTGCAAAAGTCACAAGTTCCAAAAATAAAAATAAGAAAGGACGATGCCTTGAAGAAGATGTTAAAAAAATACGAAGCAACATTCGGTAAACCATTATTAAAAAAATCAACAACATGAAATCAAGATTGAAGAAAAAAACAGATTAAAAAAACTGGTAATAAAGCAATTAAATTGTTAGATTAGGAAAGAAAGTTGCTGAAAGCTATGGAAGGTGACTGTAATCCTACAATTGGGAAAATTAGAGGTGCCATTCAGGTTGATAGTGTTCAAAAAGAAGGAAGTGAACTATACTAAGTGACATATAAATCCGAACACCCAGTTTAAATGGTTTTATTTTAATAAAAGTTGGTGAATGTATTTATCTTACTGTAAATAACAAGTGAAAAAATGTTCAGCCTTATCAGTTGGACATTCCGGTTTTTATACTGCTTTTTTTAATTCACTAACGCTCTAAAATGAATATTTCAACCGCAGTAAAGAATCAACGTTGGCGGATTTTGGTTTTTGACATCCTTTACGATCGGTTACGATGCCTAGAGTACGGAGACCTGTACGATTTCGTCAACTTAGTGAGTTTGATAGGGGCCGTATAGTGGGACTTCGGGAAGCTGGACTTTCTTTTCGGGCAATTGCAGTTAGAGTGCAAAGAAGTGTAGACACTGTGGTTAGGTGTTGTCAGGCATGGCTTCGAGAAGGCCGTACGCAAAGAGCAAGGGGCACTGGACGCCGCCGTAGAACAACAGACCGTGAAGATCGCCGACTAAGATTATTGGCCTTAAGGGACCGTTTCTCCACTACCAGGTCCATTGCAAATGAATGGTTTGCAGAACACGGAAGACCTATTGGCATGCGAAGTGTTTACCGACGAATGAGAAGTTTTGGCTTGTTTTCATACCGGCCACACTGGGTCCTCCCTTTAACTCGAGAACACCGATGTAATCGCCTTGAGTGGTGCAGACAACGGTCACTCTGGGATCAGGAATGGAACAGTATTGTCTTTAGTGACGAGTCTCGATTTTGTTTAGGCATGCACGATGGTCGTGCCAGGGTTACAAGGTGACGTGGTGAAAGGAGGAATCCACAGTTTTTTGTTGAAAGACATGTTCATCACACTGTTGGAGTTATGGTTTGGGGTGCTATAGCTTATGGTTCCAGGTCACCTTTAATCTTCATCAGAGGTAACATGAACGCGCAGCGTTATATCCACGAAGTTCTAGAACCCCATCTTTTACCCTATCTTGACACCCTGGCAGATCCAACTTTCCAACAAGATAATGCCTGACCACATGTTGCAAGAGTCACAATAGACTTCTTTCAACATAATGATGTCACATTGTTACCATGGCCACCAAGATCTCCCGACTTATCCCCAATTGAGCACGTGTGGGATATGATGGGTAGGAGATTGCTCAATTTGCAACGTCCTCCTCAGACTCTAGAAGCACTTCGAGAGGAGTTGGTGGTTGCCTGGAATGAGATACCACAGGAGAACATTGACCACCTGATCAGAAGCATGCTTAGGCGCGTTGAAGAATGCGTAGCATATCAGGGTGCATCCACACATTATTAAAGGTCAAAGAGCTTTAAAGCAGTGCAATCATTTTGAAATTTTTATCGTTTACTTATTATACTTCATTAAGTACTCATACAAAATTTTATTAAAATAAAACCATTTAAACTGGGTGTTCGGATTTATATGTCACTTAGAATAGTTTTTAGAACGTAAATTTTGTTTTACTCAAAAAATGGCATGTATTTCTAAGTATTTTGATATAATAAAATATTTTTCCCATACTTATGTTGACTGTACTACTCATTTAAAAAACATGCGTTCTTTCTGACGGACCCTGTATTTCTAAATATATTTATTTACATCCTACTGTATATAGACCCTTATAAGGTATTTGTATAAAAATACCTTGCAAACTCCAGCTTCAGTTCCACCAACACTGAATCTTGTATAGAGCTGATTTTGGCCTGCAGCTGCTTATTGTACGATCTCAACAACTGGAATACCCAACCTCTATCGGCTACACTTAACAGATCAAAAAGGAAAAAGGCTAAAGCAGCGTTGAGTTTGTGCGCCTTGCGAGTTTCTCCGCTGGAGTGCGAGATGATGTCTGCTGTTATCGTATGAACCAAGGTAGAGATATCATCCAGGAATTGTTCAGAGAAACGTACTTTTCTTGGTGCATCCAAGCATCTTGAGTACGCCAAATGGTCTACCTAGAGCAGGAAAATAAGGTTGGATTATTCAATCATTGCGAGTTATATTTCTCTTTTTAGGTTCTAGCATTGATTAACGTATTCAAGCTCAAAATAGCTAATGCAATATAATATCCGCGCCCGATCTTAGGTATACGGTAATTATGTGCGACATTTGCTTATACGAATCAAACGTCCATGATTGTTTTTTGCTTTTTTTTGTTTCAGATTTATTTATCATTAATGCTACAATGTCCATAATATCCATATTACACAGTAGTATATCACAAAATATATTATGTCTTCAAGACTACATATTTTTGCAGAAAATTACACTACTATGAATTCTGGTTTTCCATGGGATATTTTTTCAATTTTCCTTTGAACATTTTCAAACTGACACACATCTTGATATCATTACTTAATTTATAAAAAATTTGTACAATCCCTTTTGAGATACTGACTTGCTCTTTATATTGCTACTGCAGTTTTGCAAATAAAAGTATATACTTCCTCTAGTAGAATAATTGTGGCACTCATTGTTCAATAGAATATATATATGATATTTAACCATTATAGTTCTTTCAGCATAAAATTTATTCTAGTATATTTATTTTTATTTAAGATGATTCTCATAGCTTTATTTTGTAATATTTCTAATTTTAAAAATACAGTTTCATTTCCAGTGAACAAAACAGTCGAACAATATAACAAATGAGGAAGAATGATAGTGTTGTAGACAATTTTTTTAGAATAAACGTTTAGGCTATGCGAAATTCTATAAGAGTAATTTATTTTCTTGGATATTTTTGAAATATCATATTCATAGTGCCCTTAAAATTTTATATTACTCTCTACGTATATGCCCAAATATTTAAATGATTCAATTAACACAATTTTTTCATGATTAATTGTAAGATTTATCGTATTTTGAACTAAAGATTTTCCTATTAGCATATATTTTGTTTTGTTTGTGTTTAGTTTAAGTTTATTTACATTTAACCAATTTATTACGTTTTTCATATCATTATTTAACAGCTCTATTGCAGATTCAATGTCTTTATTTGATAGATATATATTTATATATATATATTAATGTATCATCAGTAAATAGTTGAATTTTGCAGTGTTGCAAAATATCAGGAATATCGAGAATATATAAAATAAATAGTAGGGGACCTAATTTGCTACCCTGTGGCACACCTACCGAAATGTTTTTAATGTTTGATAATGTATTGCCAATTTTAGTTCCTTGACTTCTATTGATTAAATAATTTTGTAATAAGTTGAATACTGAACCTTGAAATCCATAGCAATGCAATTTCGTTAACAATTTTCAGTATCTTATTTTCTTCAATATATTCAATGACTTGTTCATATACGATTCCTTCTAAGAGCTTCTCAACATCTGGCAGTACATTAATTGGCCGCATGTTTGTATATAACTCAGAATTTTGCACTTTTGGAAGAGGAGTAATTGTAGAACATTTTAATTTTGAAGGAAATCCGCCATACACTAAACACTGTTTCACTAACAATAATATCTTCTCTCCAATAATGTTGAAACATTCCTTCATAACCATTTTTGAAAGATGCCCACTAGGATTTCTATTCGACTTCAATCTTGTAATAGCTTGAAAGATGGCTGATATTTATTGTTTGGAATTGTGTCATAGAAGAATTATAAGTAACTTGCATGTGACATAGATTTGAATCCCCATCTTCGATTGATTCCACTATCTCATTTATACTTTCTATAAAAAAAGCGTTCATTTGTTTTGCAATCAATACTTTTTGTGTTACTATACCGTCTTCGAAGCACATTCTTGATAATTCATTCTTCCTACTGGGAGATACAATATTTTTTAGTGTCTTCCACATCATTTTACTGTAATTTTTATTGCTATCGATTTTGTTTTCATAATATTTTTTCTTTTTATTCCTAAGATTTGTTAAGCACTTGGTTCTTGGTTTCTTATACTGTATCCAATCTTCCTCAGTTTAAGTGATCATAAACTTTTTATAGTCACTATCACGCGTCAATTTAGAGTCTAAAAATATTTGTGAAAACCAGAGTTGGCTTTTTCCTGAAACCCACGACTTTAATCATTGGTAATTTTTTGTGGCCTACATTTACTTTATAATTCTGTCCAACACTTTTTTCTATTTCCAATTTTAAATTTTTTATATCATCGATATCCTTGCATTCAATTTTCAGATCATTTACTTTTTTATTAGACAAATTCATTTTTGCTGGATTTATATACTTGCTCAATTCCTTCTTTGTTTGCGTACAACTTTGATTTGTATTATTAGGTTTATTAACAAATGTATTTTCCGGTTGTGTTGTATTTATATTTTTAGTATATGTTACGGTATTTTTTTTTTTGAGATGGCGAAGTAATGTTGGTGTTTTCATGTGTAGAACTTTTGACCATGTCTGCATAAGATTTACTGTTATTTGCAGATGTATCTTGTAAATTCTCAATTTGTTTATTTAGTTTATCTACTTTTTCATATAGTTCTCTTATCTGTTTTTCTTGTATCGAAATAGTATAGTATTTTTTTATCTTTAAAATGTCTGTTACACAAAATCCTTTTTCTTCATGTGATAGGATTGCAAGGATCTAGTTGATAAATTTAATAGTACCAAAATTAATGAAAGTGCTAGATTTGAATTTAGTTTTGCTACCCCACAAAATGTGCTAGACATTATTCTGTCCCTAAAATCTAATGCAGCAGGTTCGGATGGTATAACAGTCTCAATGCTGAAGCTTTGCTTGCCTCGAGTATTACTACCCCTGACGCATTTATTGAACTGTTGCCTGGAGGCTGGGTATTTCCCTGATGCTTGGAAACTATCTCTTGTCAAACCCTTGCCTAAATGTAAAAATCCAAAATGTCTCTCAGACTTAAGACCTATAACTTTGATTCCTGTTATATCGAAGATATTGGAGAAATTGATTAAACATCAGGTTTATCATTATTTCTCTAATAATGATTTCTTTCCCAAGTGTCAATCTGGTTTCCGCAGTGGTTTTAGTACAACTTCAGCTTTAGCAAGGGTTTTAGATGACATCATTGCTTCGCTTGATAAGGGAGATGCTTCAGCACTTGTATCATTAGATTATTCTAAGGCGTTCGATAAAATAGATCATGAGCTTTTATGTGCTAAATTGAAGTTTTTTGGTTTTTCAGACATACTTCTAATGTTTTTTATAACATATCTTTCAAATCGTAAACAAGTAGTAGAGATAGACAACACTATATCTAGTCCGATTGATATAACATCAGGTGTCCCTCAGGGTTCAGTTTTAGGGCCCTTGTTGTACTTAATTTATACTATAGACTTGGGTAGCTCTGTGAAAAACTCTTCTGTGATGTTCTATGCCGATGATACACAGATATATAAAAGCTTTAATAGTAACACTTTGCATACTTCAATCAATGAGCTTAATGATGATTTGGAGGCAATAGTAGGATACTCAAATGGTAATAATCTTAAGCTCAATAAGGATAAGTGCTCAGTGATGCTTTTTTGTCCTGCTGTCAAACGTAACACTGTATTGAATTCTCTTGATGTAAAAATCGACAAGGAGCGTCTAGCTGTCGTAAATACCACAAAAAATTTAGGGTTGATTATTGATTATACTTTACGGTTTAAGGAGCATGTTTCGTCTATCTTTAAAAAATGTTATGCAACGTTGAAGTGTTTTTATGTCAATCGCTCTATTTTGAATTTTAAAGTTAGAAAAAAGTTATGTGAGGCTATTATATTTCCAAGCTTATTTTACTGTAGCACTGTGTTCTATCATTGTCTTGATTCTATCACAAAAGCAAGACTCCAAAAACTCCAAAATACTTGTTGTCGATTTGTATTTAATCTCAAGAAGTATGATCATGTTTCCTTAAAGAGATTTCAGCTTGGTTGGATGTGTATAGAAAATGCTTGCAAGTACCATATAGCAGTGTTTACACATAAGATCATATCTTCTAGATCCCCCTTGTATCTTTATGAGAAATTTGTTTTCAGACGAAATAATTCAGACATTGATTTCAGACACAAAAAAAAGACTAGAGATCCCTATGTATAAAACAACCTTATTTCGTAGTTCATACACTTACAATGCTATCCTGATTTATAACGAATTAGATGACAATATAAAGGATTGGCCAGTAAACAGATTTCGTAAGCATGTGAAACAGATTTATTTGTCATTGTAGTAATTGTGGAAAAGTTAGTTTTTAATTCTTACATTTAATTTTATTTTACGTAATATATGTGTGTATATATGTATGCTAGGAAGCTATCAAGCTCGTTGTTTTGAAGCGTCTTTTGCTTGTCAAAGTTTCCTTTGATTGAGTGTTTCAATTTAGTATTTGGGTAGGTTAAGTAGAGTAGCCAAGAGCTAGACTTCGCCTACATAGAGGTCACATTATGTTGTGGTGTATATAATGTGCCTAATAAAGACATTTTATTATTATTATTATTATTATTATATACATTCACCTCATTTGCTTTTCCACCAGTTTCAAAATTAAATATCTGTCAGACTTCCAAAAAGTCTCTTCGATCACTGATTTCAATTTACCACTGCCCTAGATATTATCACCAGCCATTAAAAACTTCTCTGGAATAAGCAAATTGCTCTCTTTTTAGAACTACCTAATGTGCTGTTAGTAGACAAGACAGTGACATCGATATTTCCTTAGCAGTTCAGTATTATGTTTAAGAATTAACAATTCTTTTTTTTAAGGAAAATGCTGTATATTTTTATTACTTCTAAGGAAATTACTCTGATTCCATTTGGCAACATCGCTGTTAGAGTGCAATTTGTACATAGACGTCCGTTTATTGAATGAGGTTACCTTCTTGTTTCTGAATAAGCACGCATTTAATTCTCACACCAACGCATATTTACACAGTTGTACATTTACTAGATTTTATTGATTAATGCATGCCCACCAGCAAATGTTAGAGTAAAATTATAAGTATACTAACCATACTTTTAATGATGAGATCAAAGAAGAACCAAGCATTCTGCATGGCTAGCTCTTTAGATCTTCCACTAGAAACAACCCACTGCAACGCTATCTCCTTATGGACGATTCTTTGGCATGTCGAGTATGTTGGGCTGCATAAAAATGTATGCATCAATACATTTATTAAATGTACGCTTAGTGCATTACAAAATGATTTGTTTTAATTGAATCGGTTATTTCACGACTTAATTCCATGTTTTTAAACGTAGATAGGTATTCTCGGTATACACCTAGTTTGAGGTCTGTAACTTAAGTGATGAGTCTGGCAACGTAGCGTTCCATCTGGCAACACTGGAGGCGCCGGGCTTGGGGGGAGACAGAGGTACATGTACAAGTTTGAACTCGCCCAAATCATTTGTTGTCCGTACCGATTTTTTTTGTCAAACAGTTTTTTCTATTGTGCTCTAAAAATAAGTGGCATCAATTTCAAGTAATGGTGAAGGAACTCTTGCCAAACAGGCGTAAGGAGATAGTGTTTTGTCAAGAGTCCAGGGTTTTCGATAGTTTAAGGCAATTGCAGAAGGGAGGGAGTCGACTGAAGATCAACGACGAAGCGGAAGGTCTTCATCTTCAAGAACCGATGAAAATATCGAAAAAATCCGGGATCTTGTGCGTTCATATGGTCGCTTGATAGTCAGGATGACCGGGGAAGAATTAAATTTGACTCACACCACCGCTCATCAGATCAGGACCAACTGGGTGTTGCATCACGACAATGCTCCTTGTCACAAAGCAATAAACGAGTTTTTGGCCAGTAAAAACATTCATGTGGTTCATCGGCCTCCTTAACGTATGTCCTAAAAGTTTTGGCACCAAATTCATTGGTTTTAATTTTAACAAACACAAATAGAGTTGCCTTTGGAAACAAAAGTTTGTTTACTTACTTTACTGTCAGTTGACATTTATTTATTCCTGAAGTCTGTCGAATATTTCAGAATGAAAACGTTTCATGCAGAACCATTTATCGGACAATAGCGGACTGCGAGCATGGCATACCATGTCTAAATCTTCCAAAAAGTGGAAGACCACGTGCATTTACTGCACAGAGGTCAGAGAGATTGGTGAGAAGAGCAAAACATCAGATTGGAATGTACAAGGAGACTGGCTTGTCAATACAGATCTTCTAAGAGTACGATATCGTTGGAATTGTGGAGGAATGGTCTTAAATATCGAAAGAGACTTAAGTGCCCCAAATACTCTCAAGCATAACTCCTTCATATAATTACAAGATGCTGTCGTCAAATGAGGCGGGTACACTTTGCCAACGGAAAAATCATTATTTTAGATGACGAAAAGTATTTTACTTTTGAGTAATTCTGAAACAAAGGGAAACGACGGATTTTATACGGACCACGTAGAGTTATTCCCTGACAATGTTATATACAAACATAAAGCGAAATTTGTAGATGAACTTGTCTGGTGCTCAATTTCTAATAGAGGTGTATCAAAACCTTTTGTGGGAAGAGTGAAGGGTAAAGCTTTAAACAGTCAGAGCTATATTGATAACTGTCTTTCCAAATTGCTTCAGTTTGTCCAAGAACATGGTGCTAATGACCATACAATGTTTTGGCCAGACTTAGCAGCATTCCATTAACTCAAGAGATACCCAAAACTGGCTTCGTCAATACAACATACCTTTTGGTCCCAAAAACGATAATCCTTCAAACTTGCCGCAGACTCGCCCAATAGAGGATTTTTGGGCTTTACTGTCTAGCAAGGATTATCATGAAGGCTGGAAAGCCCAAGACGAAGAACAATTAAGACGGCGAATTTACGAAAAACTGAGAGAAATTCGAATAAAATTGCGTCTGGTAGAGCAGAATAGTCCACCCCACATACAGTGGAGTCCACTTATAATGAACTTGCTTATAATGGAAAATCCTCGGATATTACAGACTCGCTTAAAATAGACCCTCACTTATAGTGGACTATTTTAATCCATTTATGCGTGCTATTTTGGTAGTTCTCCGAAGCAGATTTAGCTGATGCAACCGTTTACGGCGGTTTGGCTTCGCAGTTATTCGAACTTGGCCACCAGTTTTATACTGTATTTATTGGAATTATTAACATGTCAAAAAGTGCGAAACGTGCGTTCACTTTACACGAAAAGTTCACAATAATTAGTGAGCTTGAGCAGGGTTCATCTCAAGCAAATATATGTGCTCGTATGGCTGTAAAAAAATCCACTGTGTCAAATATTTGGAAAAACCGTGACCAAATTAAAAATGACTGCAAACCAAACAGTCAAAAGAAAAAAATGCGGCTATCCGTGTATCCCCAAGTCCATGATATGCTGTTTAAATGGTTTCAACAAAAGCGTGCTAATGGACCTATGCTACAAATAGAGACCGAAGAATTTGGGAAATTGATTGGTGATTACTTCAAATGTAGTACCGGTTGGCTAGACAGGTTTAATTAAAGACATAACATTGTTTTTGGAAAAATGTGTGGCGAGTCAGCTTCAGTTGATAAGAACGTTACCAATGACTGGATTTCTCAAGTTTGGCCCGCAATATCCAGTGATTATTCAGATGATAACAAATTCAATGCAGATGAAACCGGGATATTTTATAGAATGCTACCAGATAAAACTCATAAATTAAAAGGTGAAACTTTCATTGGGGGGAAACTATCAAAAGAGCGAATAACTGTTATGATTTGTGCTAATGCTTCTGGTACTGAAAAACGGAAACTATTGATAATAGGTAAGTGAATGAATAGAAATTCATGTTCTAATTTTTTATATTCAATGGCAGTGCTGCAAAGAATTTATGACCTTTTTATTTTAAATCAATTCCCGTCGATTATGTTGGAAACAATAAAGCTTGGATGATTTCATCAATTTTTGAAAAATATTTAAAAAAGTGGGACGCTGAACTTGTTAATAAAATTGCAAATTTTTGCTCTTGGTCGATAACAGCCCCGCTCATCCAAATATTTCACTTAATAACATCAACCTTCAATTTTTTTTCACCCAATGTGAGATCAGTTTTGCAACCAATGGACCAGGGTGTCATTGTCTTAAACAAATGTATCGGAAACATATGTTGATGAAAATTATGGAGCTTCAAGAAGATATCAACATTTTACCAAAGCTGTCACCATTTTAGATGCTATAAATTTGCTTACTATTGCATGGGTATTGGTTACTCCAGAAACGATTCGTAATTGTTTTCGCCATGCTGGTTTAGTGAAAAATATAACTGAAATAGACAACGATTTTAATCTAGAAGATGAAATTCCATTAAGTGATTTACTGGAAATTAATAGTTTACCGAATATAGACAAATTTAACGAGCATGTAAATGTTGACAATAGTTTAATAGCAACACAGGAATTGTCAGACTCTAATTTGGTTAATGAAGGATCCGTTGATAACGAACAGGAAGATCAACTAGAAAACAACGACGAAGAAGAGTTTCCAGTGAGAACTAAAGAGGCATTAGACTGCGTGAAAAAGTTGCAACGTTATTTTCAGCAAGAAGAAAACAGTACAGACACACTTACCAAATTAAATAAAATTCAACTTGCTGATCTTGATAATTATACAAAAAATCAATCTGTTCAAATGAAAATTACTAGCTTTTTTACCAAATAATTTACGGTTTTTACACATACCTACTCAGAACGTATGCCTGTAATATGTGTATTAGATTCTGAAAAAATGCAAATTTCAAAATTACGTATAACTTTTTTGTACGTATCTTTATTTATGTAATACATGTTAAACAAACACGTTGTAAGCTTTTAATACGTTATTTCTGCTGCTTTTTTCATTAAAAAAATGTTTCTTTCAAGATGGTCATCCGCCCATAATAGACTATTTGTCACAATCCCGCCTAGTCCATTATAAGCGGATTGCACTGTAATTGGATAGTAAAGTTTAGTTAAGTATTGAGTTGTAATGTATGATAACTAGTTAGTGTTTAAATAAATTTCTTCATTAAAAAAAAATTTTTGTGTCAAAACCTTGAGGACATACGGTATTCGCCTGACTTGAGCTCTTGTGACTTTTTTCTCACGCCAGTTAAAAAATCACTTCAAGGAAACTTATTTTGGGAAGTTATTTTGAGGTTGACAATATAAAAATATATTTAAATGGAAAAATTACAAAAACAAAACAGTATCATCACTTAATTTACAGACCTCGTATCTGGAAAATAGTGAAAATTGTAATCAACTCGAAACTCGTTGCACTCCATTTCTTACCTGAATTTGCATTTTCGTTTGTACTTATTAGTGTTTTCAATACTTGTACATGTGAATAAATTATTGTATTTTATGCTCTTTTATTCGCAGTCAAAAAGTCAGCATGACCTTAAATTGTGATTTCACATCGAATTCTTCAATTCCATTCTACAGTTATTGATTATGACGTCACACCAACGTCAACCATACTTAACCATCTTAACTGACTGAAAGGAAAGCTTTGCTTTTGCATACTCCTGGAAACGCTAAGATTTAGCTGCTGAGTGCTAGTGAACGCAGTCGTTAATATGTTCTTCTATTTGGTTTGTTTGTTTTTTTTTAGGATTTATTCATCATGATTGATACAATTCCAATCTTTTAAAACAATTACATAACATACAGATATTCAGTAAAACAAAACTTGCATCTCTAAGAATTTTCACTGTCCATGAAATGTTCCTTTAGTTTTCATTTAGGTATATTTAACTTGCAAGTAGACTTTATATCATTATTTAGTTTATTAAAAAAAAAAGTGTGATTGATTACCTTATCAGTTCAGCATTTGGTACTCTCATGCTGGCCGCTCGGTCCAATCCTTTAGAATACTGAACCTGTGCAACTTCAAAGTCTGGATTTGAAGTACTTCTAGTCAAAGTGCTGCTAGAAGTTTCCATACTCAACGAAGATTGGTTATATAATGGGTGAGGCATATTGCATTGGTATTGGATGTATGTAGCAAGCAAGTTGTTCCGATGATGCTGATCCACGGTCAGTTCTGGATGGTTCTGAAATATCAAACATCGTGTTGAATAAGAAGGTCATTTTAATCAAAGCGGTATGTAAGTCTACCATTGGCTCTGTACAATGGCCCCTTGAGGAGCTAATACCGCTCCCTCATCCAGAAAAAATACAACTGAAAAACTGGCAAAAGAGGCATTTCACGTCAAGCGGATATCTAAAAAAAAGATGAGGTTTTAAAATTCGTTCATACTGGTACTCATTGTACATCTATTACGTGTAAAAGAAAAACCAGGTTTGTTTTTGGTAGCACATTCATTTACTTCAAAAAGAAGCCGTATTTAAAATTGGGAAGTCGGATGCGCATTCAGTAAGGAGAGATATACTAAGTGACCACACCCAGTTTAAATAGTTTTATTTTAATAAAAGTTGGTGAATGTATTTATCTTACTGTAAATAACAAGTGAAAAAATTTTCAGCCTTATCAGTTGGACATTCCGGTTTTTATACTGCTTTTTTTAATTCACTAACGCTCTAAAAATGAATATTTCAGCCGCAGTAAAGAATCAACGTTGGCGGATTTTGGTTCTTGACATCATTTACGATCGGTTACGATGCCTAGAGTACGGAGACCTGTACGATTTCGTCAACTTAGTGAGTTTGATAGGGACTGTATAGTGGGACTTCGGGAAGCTGGACTTTCTTTTCGGGCAGTTGCAGTTAGAGTGCAAAGAAGTGTAGACACTGTGGTTAGGTGTTGTCAGGCATGGCTTCGAGAAGGCCGTACGCATAGAGCAAGGGGCACTGGACGCTGCCGTAGAACAACAGACCGTGAAGATCGCCGCCTAAGATTATTGGCCTTAAGGGACCGTTTCTCCACTACCAGGTCCATTGCAAATGAATGGTTTGCAGAACACGGAAGACCTATTGGCATGCGAAGTGTTTACCGACGAATGATAAATTTTGGCTTGTTTTCATACCAGCCACACTGGGTCCTCTCTTTAACTCGAGAACACTGACGTAATCGCCTTGAGTGGTGCAGACAACGGTCACTCTGGGATCAGGAATGGAACAGTATTGTCTTTAGTGACGAGTCTCGATTTTGTTTAGGCATGCACGATGGTCGTGCCAGGGTTAGAAGGCGACGTGGTGAAAGGAGGAATCCACAGTTTTTTGTTGAAAGACATGTTCATCACACTGTTGGAGTTATGGTTTGGGGTGCTATAGCTTATGGTTCCAGGTCACCTTTAATCTTCATCAGAGGTAACATGAACGCGCAGCGTTATATCCACGAATATCTTGAATATATCTTGACACCCTGGCAGATCCAACTTTCCAACAAGATAATGCCCGACCACATGTTGCAAGAGTCACAATAGACTTCTTTCAACATAATGATGTCACATTGTTACCATGGCCACCAAGATCTCCCGACTTATCCCCAATTGAGCACGTGTGGGATATGATGGGTAGGAGATTGCTCAATTTGCAACGTCCTCCTCAGACTCTAGAAGCACTTCGAGAGGAGTTGGTGGTTGCCTGGAATAAGATACCACAGGAGGACATTGACCACCTGATCAGAAGCATGCCTAGGCGCGTTGGAGAATGCGTAGCACACCAGGGTGCATCCACACATTATTAAAGGTCAAAGGGCTTTAAAGCTGTGCAATCATTTTGAAATTTTTATCATATACTTATTATGCTTCATTATACAAAATTTTATTAAAATAAAACCATTTAAACTGGGTGTTCCGATTTATAAGTCACTTAGTATATTTATATGTAGCACTGAGTATGACGCTAAGTGCTTGTTCGTCGGCTAGTCTGTTGCAAAGGAATATTTAGCAAAAATACATTAATGTTAAAAGGATTTTTTTGATTTATTCATATACAGGGTGGCACAATGAAAAGGTCGCACCCCCATTTGTGACTCCCCTGGTATAATTTGGGAAAAACGCTCGGACACGTTAATTTTGATTTCTAGGAGGACGTCTTTTCATCTATAGCCGTACGATACAGAGTGATCGAAAAATAAGAAATTGCATTATACTGTAGATTTTTAAACGGATGACGAAATTTTTAGATTTTCGATAAAGTGTTTAGTAACTTTGGATAATAAATTTTATACCTATATTCAATCGTTGTGAAGCTATTTGAGTTTATAATATATTTTTAGATTCTCCGTGATGTTTTTAGTAACTGTTGTATAATAAAGGTTATACCTATCTTCAATCGTTTTGAAGCTAAAGTAAAAATTAATTTACAATAGTAGGTCAATGCGGTAATAAATGCTGAAAGTGGTGTCCATTTACCTCCATGCTATAATTAAGATATATTCCTAACATTTTCAATCATGTTTTTATTTGTCCACATTCAGCCGTAATCTTCAATGAAAAATGGGTGTCCAAACACTGTTGTACTGGAGCCACATAGTGAGGCGGTTCACTATCTTGTTGGAAATGAATGTAATTTTCATTATAATTAACGTCATTTTCTATTATTTCAGTAATTCGTGACTCTATTGTATTTTCTAACATGTCCAAGTACGTCTCGCCCGTCAAGTTTCAAGGAATAAAACAAGGTCCTACAATATGATTTCCGGCCCACACATTTATTTTTTCAAGATATCACGAGTGTACCTCTGGAAACAAATGTGGATTCGAGTCACTCCAATATCGAAAATTATGTCTATTACAGCACCATGTAAATAGAACGTACACTCATCCGAGAAATAAATATTAAGTAACAGATTTGCATGGACAAGTTTTATCTTGTATGGGTGAAATTTATTGTCTTTCAAAATTCGTTTTACTGCTGAGCGTGTATATCCTAAAGAAGTAGCCAGACCACGAGTACGCGGTGTTGTCAAGTGCTACGTGTCCCCAAACTGCTATTTCTGCGGCATAAACTGGGCGATTTTCTCAATGGTGGTTACGGCGAACATCAAACACAGATCCAGTTTCTTCGAATTTTCTTATCAACTTAGCCTCATACTTATCGTTAATATTTTTGTCTGGATGTAACGCATTAAACAACAGGACAGTAGTTCTTGGAATACTCCCATTTTGGTAATACAGTTTTGTTATTTCTACCCGTTCTTGAATTTAATAAGTCATTGTTTAATATTTATCACAAGTAAGTAGGTATCTTAACAATTTGAAATGGAAGACAAAGTTTTTCTGTGACATACGATGCCACTGACTGATACTAAATGTTCTTGCTGGTATCCATGACTATTATTATAAACTCACATAGCTTCACAACGAAGATTGGTATAAACTTTATCATACAAAAGTTACTGAATACTTCATGGATAATCTAAAAATTATAAAAATAGGGGCCTCCATGAAAACCTAAAGTATGGGGTTGTCCAAAACGGACGCAGGAAAGTAAACGCATATTAAAACAAGAAAGAATGATATTCAAATCAAGTTGGGTACTTTATTATGAAGGTTCATTTATACCATTTATGTATGAAAAATAATATCACTCAAATGTTCACCACGACTGGATTTACAGACGTCCACGCGATGGTCGAAATTTTCAATGACATTTTGCAACATGGTCGGTTCTATGGCATTTATCTCGGCAATGATGTTGTTTTTGAGTTCTTGGAGGGTGGCTGGTTTGTTGACGTAGACTTTGCTTTTCAAATATCCCCATAAACAGAAGTCCAAGGGAGTCAAATCGCACGTTCTTGGTGGCTATGGCACATTTCCTCTGCGCGAAATCACGCGATCACCGAAGAAGGACTGCAATCGATGGATATTGACGTTGGTTGGATGGCATGTTGCACCGTCTTGTTGGAAATAAACATCATCCATATCCATTCCTTCAAGTTGCGGCAAAAAATAGTCCTCTATCATCACGTGATATCGCTCAGAATTGACGGTAACGGCGTCCCCGGCCGCATTTTCGAAAAAGTAAGGTCCGATGATGCCTTTTGACCACAATGCACACCACACAGTCACTTTTTGAGGATGCATCGGCTGCTCTTGATACTCACGGGGATTTTCGTTCGCCCAGATGCGGCAGTTTTGCTTGTTTACCGTTCCATTCAAAGTGAAATGCGCTTCGTCGCTGAACATGATTTTTGATGAAAAATTGGCATCAATTTGGCGGTGTTCAAGGAGCCAATCTGAGAACGTTCGGCGCGAAAAATGGTCGGCCCGACGCCGCTCTTGCGTCAATTGGATCTTGTAGGCGTGTACATTCAAATCCTTGTGGAGAATGCGGAGCAAACTGGTTCTCGAAATGCCCAATTCTTGGGATCGACGCGTTGTTGATTGTTTCGGATCGTCTCTAACACTCTCCTTCACAACAGCAATATTTTCCGATGTGCGAACGCTCCTTGGCCGGCCAGAGCCTGGCAGATTTGTCACAGAACCTGTTGCCTCGAATTTACGCACCAGACGACCGATGGTTGTTTCGTTTGGGCAGTTGTTGCGACCGAAATGTTCACGAAGCGCGCGAAACGTGTTTTTTATTTTTGCACCATTTTTGTAGTGCTCTTGAATAACTTTAATGCGGTCTTCAATCGAATACGACTCCATAGCGATCAATGGTAAACATTCAACTAACAAAATGACATGTCGGTGACAGAAAACAAAGATGGCGTCTATGTCAAATTGACGTTTACTTTCCTGCGTCCCTATTGGACAACCCTTTATAACGCAACATCTTTTTTTTTTGATCGCCCAGGATTGCACGACTATAGATGAAAAGGCGTCCTCCTAGAAATTTGGGCCTCCCTGTATATAATTTTGCATGAAATTATTTCTTTTTCTACAAGATGCCTATGTAACAGTTTTTGCGGACTGGAAAACATTTTTGAAACATAGTATTACAATTTCTATCCAAATGAAAATATGTATATTCAAAATCATTACTAGAGCTAAAAAATAATCATATTACAGCCTTTTAATGCAATAGTCGCAAACCAGTCGATCTAAACAAGCGCCTAATGTCATACCCTGTGCGACATGTACCAATGTACATAAAAATATGTACCTCCTTGATTAATGTGCATACCATTTCAAAACTTCTGGTGTATTTCAAACATACCTTGGGCTATATTTTGAAGTAAAAACTCGAAAATAAAAAATGCGAAGTTACCTTAATTTTAGTTTGAAATTTTTACTTCCGGTTTAGCACCTTGAGTTTTTTTATGAATTTCAAATTTAGTTTTTTTTATCAAAAAGAACACAAAATTTCGTATGTTTCATATCCCAATAATACTTGTCAATTCGGAAAAAAAAAACAATTTCAAATACGACTTTTATTTCGAAGCCCGTCACTTAACAAATGAACGTGTCACAAAAATAAATCGTGTTTTTTCATTCACTCTTACTAGAAACAGGCTCAATACGAGAGAATTTTAATTTCTTACTTTTTTTCGGTGTCATGGACAATAAAAATTCTTGAAGATGCAAATTTTGTATTTTTCTGAATGTCTGTATGTTATGTAATTGTTTAGTTTTTTAGAAGAATGTAATTGTAGCAATCATGCTAGATAAATCTTAAACAAACAAACTTTACGTGAAATACCCCAAAAGGGTTTATGTACAATGACAAATTAAATGTGTCATTATAACTATTATAGTTAGATCTACATAATGTTAGTGGGTTGACTTTCTTTATATACTAGATGCCTTATTAGCTCAATAAAATTTAACGAAAAATGGTTAAACGAGCTTTTACATTATTTAATACTAATGTATGCTTCAGTGGCTTAAGATGATTTTTCCCACACTAACATTTTCAAATCAGCTTCAAATTGCGTAAGTCTACCCGAATTTGAAAATCAAATGTCTGTTTTCGATCCTTGATGGAGTTCGGAGTATCGAAGTCTTAGGGGAGCAACTATTATTGCATTGAAAACATGAATACACGAAGTCTGTAAATTAAGTGATGAGAGTGGAAACGCAGCGTTCGATCTGGCAACACTGGACGCGCCGAGCTTGGAGGGGTGACAGGGAACACGTGATCCGTCTTCAGTACAAGTTTGAGATCGCTCGAGTCATTTGGTTTTCCGTAGCGATTTTTTTTTGTGAAACTGTTTTTTCTAATGTGTTCTAAAAATGAGTGACATCAATTTTGAGTAGCTATGTGCTCATCACTTAATTTACAGACCTCGTCTTAATGGGAAAAGGATACAAAAAAGAGGAAACCGGTAGAGCAGATCTGAAAACATTTGTTACATTGACACTTTCACTTTGACATTTTGCATTGCCTAGCTTACTTCTGCGGCTCTATCGGTTGCACTTTTCCTCCATAAAGAAGTACGATACTAAGTTTAGTATCCTAGGTGACTATTAATTACTAAAGTCGATATTAGTGTACGATGAGCCTCAATGTTCAAAGAATTTTCCTTATGAACCATACTTACAGAAAGTTTGTCCAGGAGATAACACAATGCTTCAAAGCATGTATGCCCGATATTCACTGTCTGACCGGACATTCGTGGTGGTTGAACTAGAAGCTCCAATATATTGTCGAATATCACAGGTAAAAACTTTACAATGGTCTCGGGCTTGGCTCCTGATAATCCCAACATTGCCATTCTACAAGAAAAATTCGTAGTTAATAACAAAGTCTTTTAACCAGTTCATAAATCTACAATGCACACTCTATGTGCCGACGTTTGTGTAAGCTGACACATATACATTTTTATAGTTTTACCTCGCCATCTCGAAAGTCTTTTCAATTTGTATGAATCTTCTATAACTATGCTTGTTTTGTTACTGTCAGTATCAACTCACTTGTTATAGGTTTCTTCTGGAGGTAATCTGAATGTGGAGGTTATCAGTGGAAAAAAAGATGAAAGCTCGGGGGAATTTTCAATAGTTGATAGTTTTAAAATCTCCAAATTTCTTCCAAAATCAATCAACGCCTAATTTTAAATAAAACCTTTCAAAATGATTTGCCATTTAATAATAAAATAATTCCGTCCTAATCGAACCTCATCGGTCCAGTTTTTTATTCGTCGACTATGTGTTCCCTTCACTGTTGTTTAAAAAACTCCAGACGATGAAGATAAAATTCTTCGAAAGCTTGAGAATTTAAGTTATAAGAGTGTACTTTTGCAATATTTTGCCTTCTACCCAAAGAAATTAAAGGATATATATATATATATACAAGGTTTGTCCGGAAAGTAATAGGACTGAATCGATTTAAAAAAATTTATTGAGCCAATCGTTACAGTTCTTTAAAAACTTTCAAAATAGGCTCCTTCTGCGTCGATGCAGCGCTGCCAGTGCGATTTCCAAGCATTGAAGGCGTTTCGGAATGCATTCTCCGGAATAGCCTTGAGAGCCGCGGTGCATGCTGCTTGGATCCCCTCTGTCGTCTCAAAATGCTTGCGTTTCATCGGCCTTTTCAGGCGAGGAAACAAAAAAAAGTCCGGGGGGGCACATCTGGGCTGTAGGGCGGCTGCGGAAGCGTTGGGATGCCGGCCTTGGACAGGTAGCTGCATGACCCTTCGTTTGAGTCTTCTGCGCACTTCCACGTAAAACTTGGCGTTGACGGTTTGTCCAGGAGGAACAAATTCATGGTGGACGATGTCTTTGATGTAAAAAAAGACAATGAGCATCGTTTTCACTTTGGATTTGCTCATTCTTCCCTTTTTTGGGCGAGGAGACGCCGTCGTGTGCCACTCGGAAGATTGCCTCTTTGTCTCGGGATCATACTCAAAGATCCACGACTCGTCACCTGTGATTACGTTATTCAAAAATTAGGGGTCACTTTCACACATGTTCAAATTTTCTTGGCACACTTTCTGGTCGTCAGTGAGCACTTTTGGGACCATCTTCGCGCACACCTTGCGCATGTTCAAATGCTGTGTCACAAGGTCTTGAACCACAGATTTTGGTAAATTTAACATCTGGGCAATTAAACGAATACTTAGTCGACGGTCTGAGTTCAAAACTTTGCGCGCACGAGTCACATTATCGGTGTTTGTCGAAGTCGAAGGTCTTAAAAATGGCAGGAGCTTTGAGAAAAGTGTATCTTTCTAAAAGGGCATTATGTTGAAAAATAAAAACAATTTTTTTGGAAAAAATGGTGTCTTCCTTTCTAACACGGGTGCTTATTGAACCGGCCTCGTATTCTGGTATGCATTTAATGTACGGATTGGCAAGATGATGTGCAGTAAAAACAAATATCTCGAAAACTATTAGCAACAAGTGAACCTTTTTTGTTGTGGAAATACGAGAAAATAAGATTTTTCGGTTCGTTGTTGTATACAGGGTAGCACAAAAAAGTTATGATAAGTTATTTACTGAAATAGTGCTGTAAGTGGCGCCCTCTACAAGTTCGGCCATAAGAAAACGTTTAACCTTGTCTCTTAGGCCATAATTGCCGACCTTTTGATTTTCACAGGCTGTACGTAGATCGCCGTTGACTGAAATTTGTAAGTTATGTACTGACCTTAATTCGTTCTCGGACCCGACCTCACCTAACCTGGCAGGTATGATGCCAGTGTGTACGAAATCGTAAGCGGTGAAAAACCTCTCGACAGGAGGGTCGTGTGTATGAACAGAAGAGGCGGTGTCCAAGGTAACCGTGAAAAGTCCTTTGTGATTGTCCAACCACTTTGTTCCTGGCAAACAGACGTCCGGAGGAATGTAGCTGTAGTTAGGTGGTGGTGGGTCCAGCATTACGGGTAAGCAGAATTCTCCAGACACTAAGCGACCGTCACGTAGAAGTGGAAACCACTGAAAAAGGCAAAGGAGCCAAATAATAATTAGAATATTTTTTCACATCAATTATAAATTGTGAATAGGTTGATATGCCACAAAGGAAAAATATCCGTGTGTGTGGATATCATTCTAACACATAATAATATCAATAGCTAGCCACTCGAATAAATCTATTTTTAATAATGATATTCGTTTTTGTTTCAATATATCTTTGTAAGTTATGACATTATGTTGTATATAAATGATTTCAACATTAGATATTCCTTTTTTTGGTGTTGCAATAATTATTTGTTTATTTTTATTTCTAGTATCATATTCATAGTTTTTATAAATGATCGAATGTTTGTTTTTATGGAATTCCAATATAACGTTATTTCTTTTACATTCAAAAGTTTTGATTCTATCAACAGCGATTTGGGAGGAAATGACAAGGTTTGTTATGCGTTGATTTTATGAATAATTTTTGTATTATTTGTAAAGAATTTAGATGGTTGTTATTAATATTAATAATAATTTCATAGGTTATGTGGCACTCAACTTATGTTTGATGCAAAATGTTTAATTGAGTTTCAAATTTGTCTCTAATATGTGAACTTATACAGGGTGTAAACGGTATGGTAGTCATTATTGAAATGGGTAATAGGGGGGGTCAAAACAAGTCAAAAAGTTCATATGACCCATGGTCCAAAAGTCAATAGATTTTTGTCTAAATGGTTTTATAGTTTACAACTTTAAGTGCTTTATATTGACCACAATCTTACTCATTTTTATAATCTAATCTAAAACATTTTTAAATTGGATAATTAACAAATAAATGGCATTAAGTTTTTCTAAGTTAAGCCAAAATTTGTAGTCAGTAAGCAAGTTTCATTAAATTGAATATTTAAAACACACATGACAACAGCGTGTCGGTCATCATCGCTCTTATCGAACCGGCAAGCGATCACAAACGGTAACAGTGGTTAGTAATACTAACTTAGCATGTTGTTTTGTTTTTGTTACGTCGAAAAAAATTTTACTGTGGCTGAAATAATAAATAGACAACTTCGAGGACCCAGAGTAAGAAAAAACTGGGTTCGTCGTAATGAAGTTTGTGTGGAAAGTGAAGGACGACATTTTGCCACCTTCTTTAGATACAAAAAAAGTGCAGTGTGGTTTTTAAAAAGAAAAACAATGTATGTATCAAAATTGTGTTCCCTATTTATAAGTGGATTTTTTAAATACGTTCAATAAACTTTCACACACCAGGTGAAGCGCTGAGACAGTTAGTGGTAAGTCCGTTTTTTTTAATTGTTTGCATTTTACGAGTACATTATCAAATAATGAAATAATACCTAAGAGCCAAAAATAACAAACTCCATCTTTATTTACACTGCGTTCCGTCGTAATTTGCAATGGGCATTGCGGCGTTGTCAGATTTTATTTTACTTTAAAGTCCTTTTTCTCTTTAAAAAAATGCCCATGTTATGTAAAACTTTTGCTTCTTTTAACCCCTCTATCACCCATTTAAATAATGATTATCATAACGTTTACACCCTGTATAACAATTCCGAGAAGATTATGATTTAGTTTGCGTGATATACTCGTATATGCATTTTTGAGATTTGTTTCCTTTATTTGGCGGATTATATAGCGGTTAATTATTTGTGTAAGAGATGAAGGGAACAAAATAAGTCCTTTATAGTTTGTTATCTGTACTAAATCTTTCTCAATTTCTTCTTTTAATGTTGTCCAAGCTTTGGCTTTATGGATGGTGGTGGTGTCATCTACAAATTCTATTTTTCATGTCGTTGAATTATAAGTAAGTTGTGAGTTAAAAGAGTACATTTTGCATAATTATATATATATATATACAGGGTAATGTGTAGTGAAACGAGAGCGACCAAGTAAAAAAAAATAAAGAAAAAAGTACTCACTCTCCAGTTGACGAGAGTACGTCTCTGCCCGAAATCATACCGCTCCAACAGAAAATGAAATCAGCTGATGCGCTACCGAGCGGACGCCGGCGGTGGTGCAGACCAGTAGACCACGAACAGAGGTAACAAATATGACCATCGTGCAGAAACCACATTGATTGTCTTACACTTAATGGCACATCTTCTAACAAGGAAGGCAAAATGTTGCGTAAAAAGTCTAGGTATTGCATCCCGTCCAATCGATTTGGGAGAATAAATGGTCCAATGAGGATACCTTTCACCATGCCAGCCCAAACATTCACCGAAAATGTTTGTTGAAAATGTGCCCGACGGACAGCGTGCGGTTTTTCTACTGACCAAACATGAGTGTTGCGAAAGTTATTCACCCCATTACGCGTGAACGTAGATTCGTCTGTCACCAATATGCACTTCGAAAAGTCCGGATTATTGTCATGTTGATGCAACAACCACTCACAAAACCGCACTCTTGCTGGAAAATCGTCAGGTTGAAGGGCTTGTACACGTTTTACGTGAAACGGATACAGCCCCTCTTCTCGCAGCGTTTACCACACTTTAGTTTTTGATACTTGCACTTCTCTAGCCACGTCTCTAGTGCTTGTTGTTTTTTGAAACGCAATCGATTGTACCGGTTCGTTTACCTCTACACGCGTGACCGTAACCGTCGGTCGAAGGTTGCATACTGATCTGACACACTGACCCCGACCCCCGACACAGTTCTGTCGTCGGGTTGAGCTAGTGTCCTAGTACCAGTTGGGGATGTCGCGAGTCGCGACTACAGGACGGTATTCAGATATTTTTGGTGTTGCAGAGCCCTTTATCTCGGTTCGCTTAAGACATTGGTGTATATGGTACTAAGAAAAATTGCTTATGTTTTCAAGATCTACACGTCGTGTAAAGGAAAACTCCAACTTTGCGGACACCCTGTATATATATATATACAGGGTGTTCCATAATTATTGCGACAAAATGATAGGGGTTGTAGAGGGCATAAAAATATGCAATTTTGCCTTATAAACCACTGTTCGTAAATATGCCGTTTGAGCACTACCGCTAATTTTACCTTAAGAGCTCATAGGAGAAACAAAAATTTCACCAGCTGCAAAATGTTCGTCTAGCACATTTCATGGTCTCGCCGGTTTGTAAAAAAAAGCCTGCTGAGTTTACATTTTTGTTATCGTAAATTCTCCACACCGATTCATTTAATTTATCTGAGTGGTGCGTCAAACTAGATAGTAAATAACAGTACCTTATTGTTAAAATGCAGCGTTATTCGTATGCGGAACTTACGGATATGCATTTAATTTACGAAGAAGCTGGTGGTAGCGGAAGACGAGCCTCGCGAATCTACGCCCAATGGTTTCCAGAACGTCCTCATCCGCATCACGCCATTTTTGCAAGGCAACCAAACTTTGGTCGCTACGTTTTGTTCACTGACGAGTCCTGTTTTACAAAGGACGGTTATTTTAATAGCCGTAACAGTCACATTTGGGATGAAGAAAACCCTCATGTCATAGCCCTCCATAGAGACCAACATCAGTTTTCAATTAACATCTGGTGCGGCATCGTGGACGAGCATATCATCGGGCCATATTTGCTTCCACCACGTTTGGATGGGCATGCTTATGGTCGATTCTTACAGCATGTGCTACCGGAACTATTAGAAAATGTGCCGCTGAACATAAGAGCCAACATGTGGTTTCAACACGATGGCGCTCCAGCCCACTTTTCTATACAAGTGCGGCAGTACTTGGATGAAATTTCCAAATAGGTGGATAGGCCGAGGTGGCCCTGTGCCTTGGCCTGAGCGGTCACCCGACCTGACCCCACTGGATTATTTTCTCTGGGGCCATCTGAAAGCTTTAGTGTACGAAACTCCTGTTCCCAACCAACAAGAGCTACTGGGAAGAGTGATGGCCGCGTCCGCACATGTTCAGGACATACCGGGGGTATGCCACAGAGTTCGCCGATCATTGAACAATCGTGCACAGCTGTGTATTGAGCAAGGTGGAGGACACTTTGAGCAATTACTGTAGGTAAGCTGTTTCAAGAAACTGATCTTTTTTTTTGTTGCAGCCCAAACGGCATATTTCCGAACAGGGGTTTATAAGGCAAAATTGTTTATTTTGATGCCCTCTACAACCCCTATTATTTTGTCGCAATAATTATGGAACACCCTGTATATATACATATAAGGTATATAACAAATAGAAAAATAATGAGCAAAATCCGCAAAAAGAAGCAAAGTGAACTCGAACAGAGAGTAGGATAGGTAACCCGAGCAATACACATTTCTGCTTGTTGGCTTCATCGGAACAACTGTGGATTGGATTACTCGTACAGGAAAGGAGGTCGTTGATATGTAAGAGCAACAGTGTCGGAGCCAAGACCAATCCCTGGGGAACACTCGCGTTGACGTTGTGCGATGAAGACGAGAGCTTGTCAATTACGACGGATATCTTGCGGCCAGATAAAAAGTCAGCCAGCCGTCTGCAAAGCTTCTCTGGGAGGCCAAAGAATGGAAGTTTGCATAAGAGAGCAGCGTGCCACAGCTTATCGAGCACTTTCGTGATATCAAGAGCAACGAAATGAGCTACACCATAAGACTGTATGAGTTTACTCCACAATTGCGTCACGTCAGCTAGTAAGTCCCCTGTGGATCGCTGGTGACGGAAACCACACTGCCTTTCGCTAATCAAGCCGTCACGTTTAAGCTCACTATGCTCATTGAAAACACCAAGGTGAACTACCTCTGAAGCAGGGTGATTGATGTTCAGGAAGTCGATCTTGACAGCAAGGTATTCAAGTACTTGAGGTCCGAGGGAGAGCGATAAAGGCAGCAAATAAATTTGGGTGATGTTTTGGAGTTAAGACGAAGCCACAGAGTATCCTTCCGGTCTGATCCCAAAGAAACATCTCTGGCGCAGGGAAGACTGCTGCGGACAAAAGCCACAACTCCCCCGTTCTTTCTCAGATTGGAGTGCACCTCGTAATTAAAAAGCATGACGGGACGATTGAATTGCAGTTAGTAATCAACGGCATCAATGTTGCTGTTGATCCCGCAGATGTTCGTGAAACAAATTGGAATGAGTTTACGTCCCGAATTCTTAGTGCTCGAGGGATCCATCATCATTAATTTCTTTGTTGGAGAAGTTGGCCGTCTGCGTAGCTTAGGTATGGGGACATTTATACGACATTTTGGGAAAAGCTAGAGGCTTGTACTACCTCGGTCGACTGGTCCTTGTCTACCACCTTTTTTTTTGCGTGTTAATGATGTGACTTGTACCGCCACCCGGCAATCGGTACTGAGGTATTCCTTAACGCGTGTACAATCACTTGAACGGGAAGAAGTTGTACTAAATACAACAACTTCCGGAACAAGCATTTGCCACGGCCCCGATCAGAAGGGATCGGACATGCATCTATTGCTTATCCAAGAATTAACCCCGGGGCTGTTGAAATAGATTTTTACAGATCTACATATCCATGTATTAAACAGATATAATTATATGCACTTACAGTATATCCAACGGGTGTGTCGACAGTGTTCTGGTCAATCTTCCTCTGACAGGAAATATGATAAAAGGTAAACAGCAAATGATGATGATCCCCAAGTGCAGCTGGTAGTTTAATTTTTACTTCGTCGTAGAAATACGGATTCTTGCAATGATAAGTTACTGCCGTGTAAGCATCATTAGTCATTTCTGGACAGTGTGACTTTCCAAAGATGCTATAAATAGCGTATTTTTCCTCTTCTCCCGCCATGACCTTGAAGAAAGTAAAACTGTCATAGTCCAAAAATAGAACGCTTTTATTGGTTCACTGATAGTTAAAATATTTGATCACAACATCAACAATTCACACACATTAAATTATATTTTTTGCACAGTATACAGGGTGGCCCAACGGAAAGGTCGCACCCCTATTTGTGACTATCCTGGTATATTTTGGAATAAAAACGCTCGGCCACGTCAATTTTGATTTCTAGCGAGACGTCTTTTCATCTATAGCCGTACAATACAGGGTGATCCAAAAATAAGATACTGCGTTGCACTTTGAATTTTTAAGTGGAAACCCACTTCTTTTTTTAATTTTTAGATTTTCTATGAAGTTTTTAGTAACTTTTATATAATAATGTTCATACCTATCTTCAATCTAAAAACTTATTTTTAAATCACCCTGTTTGTACAGCTATAGATGAAAAGACGTCCCCCTAGAAATCAAAATTGACGTGTCCGAGCGTTTTTCCCAAAATATACCAGGAGAGTCACAAATGGGGGTGCGACCTTTTCGTTGGACCACCTAGTATATTGATAGAAAATTAAAGTTTGAGGATTACTATGGATACATTATTTCAAAATACAAATTATTAAAAAAATACTTTTATAGGGCTTCTCATAGTCTTAGTGCATATCACAAAAAATAGTTTATAATACAGTTATTCCAAAGCATTGTTCAACTATACTAAGTGACATATAAATCCGAACACCCAGTTTAAATGGTTTTATTTTAATAAAAGTTGGTGAATGTATTTATCTTACTGTAAATAACAAGTGAAAAAATTTTCAGCCTTATCAGTTGGACATTCCGGTTTTTATACTGCTTTTTTTAAATTCACTAACGCTCTAAAAATGAATATTTCAGCAGCAGTAAAGAATCAACGTTGGCGGATTTTGGTTCTTGACATCCTTTACGATCGGTTACGATGCCTAGAGTACGGAGACCTGTACGATTTCGTCAACTTAGTGAGTTTGATAGGGGCCGTATAGTGGGACTTCGGGAAGCTGGACTTTCTTTTCGGGCAATTGCAGTTAGAGTGCAAAGAAGTGTAGACACTGTGGGTAGATGTTGACAGGCATGGCTTCGAGAAGGCCGCACGCAAAGAGCAAGGGGCACTGGCCGCCGCCGTAGAACAAGAGACCGTGAAGATCGCCGCCTAAGATTATTGGCCTTAAGGGACCGTTTCTCCACTACCAGGTCCATTGCAAATGAATGGTTTGCAGAACACGGAAGACCTATTGGCATACGAAGTGTTTACCGACGAATGAGAAGTTTTGGCTTGTTTTCATACCGGCCACACCTTTAACTCGAGAACACCGACGTAATCGCCTTGAGTGGTGCAGACAACGGTCACTCTGGGATCAGGAATGGAACAGTATTGTCTTTAGTGACGAGTCTCGATTTTGTTTAGGCAGGCACGATGGTCGTGCCAGGGTTAGAAGGCGACGTGGTGAAAGGAGGAATCCACAGTTTTTTGTTGAAAGACATGTTCATCACACTGTTGGAGTTATGGTTTGGGGTGCTATAGCTTATGGTTCCAGGTCATCTTTAATCTTCATCAGAGGTAACATGAACGCGCAGCGTTATATCCACGAAGTTCTAGAACCCCATCTTTTACCCTATCTTGACACCCTGGCAGATCCAACTTTCCAACAAGATAATGCCCGACCACATGTTGCAAGAGTCACAATAGACTTATTTCAACATAATGATGTCACATTGTTACCATGGCCACCAAGATCTCCCGACTTATTCCCAATAGAGCACGTGTGGGATATGATGGGTAGGAGATTGCTCAATTTGCAACGTCCTCCTCAGACTCTAGAAGCACTTCGAGAGGAGTTGGTGGTTGCCTGGAATGAGATACCACAGGAGGACATTGACCACCTGATCAGAAGCATGCCTAGGCGCGTTGGAGAATGCGTAGCACATCAGGGTGCATCCACACATTATTAAAGGTCAAAGGGCTTTAAAGCAGTGCAATCATTTTGAAATTTTTATCATTTACTTATTATGCTTCATTAAGTACTTATACAAAATTTTATTAAAATAAAACCATTTAAACTGGGTGTTCGGATTTATATGTCACTTAGTATATCTTGTTCACTACCCATGAAGCGCCATTCTCAAAATTGGAAACAAAAGCTATAAGAATAATATTGAATAAAAATACGTACACCAAAATGAAATCGATGTTTAAGAAATGCAGTGGTTGAAGATACAAAAATTCAGATCGTATTTGGTTCTTATTTTTATATTTTAAAAATAAAAAGTCATTTAGAATATTAAATAAAATTGAATAATCTTTACTACAATTATTATACAAGAGGTAATATAGATTTCCATTTACAAAATGCTATAGTAATATAACCAGCAAATCAATATTTCAGAGGATTAATTGAATTGAATAAACCAAATAATGATATTAAAGTCTACTTATAATTTAAAGATGTTTGAAAGAAAATTGAAGGAATATTTCATGGGCAGTGGAAATTTGTAGATATGCAAGTTTGGTTTTTCTAAATATATGTATGTTAAGAAATTGTTGTAGTTTTTTTGAAAAATGTAATTGTAGTCAAGCTAAATAAAAAAACTCTTAAGTAAACATACCAAAAATTGAAGATACTTGTCTCAAGAGATGCAACAGTTGATAATAGATGCATGCGGATCACAGTCCTGATCAAAACGGTAAACACATTATTTCAAAAATGATAAAAACATGGTTTCTGGAATACGAGCTGTTTATTGATAAGCTTTGCCTTCCTTATTCTAATATTTACCTGAATTTTCACGGCCAAGTTTCTTGCTGATCCAGTTCTATTACAGAAATTTAACTCCTTAAGACTGACAAATAACAGATTCCTGTACGTATAATGCGGAGTTAAAATTTCTTTCACCGGAAACTCCAATATTTCCTTTATTGGTCTGCATTTTTCATCCGGATAAGGTCGCACCTTAGCTAATTCAGTGGTGAGACAGTTTTTCACTTCAGGCGGACACGGAGATATTTCCAACTTCAAGGTCGCTAATTACAAAATAAAAATAATAACAATTATAAATATTTAAGTTCTTTGGAAACGGTTTGACTGATGCTAATTAAGTATGTACCGTAAATTTAACAGACTATTCTTTGAGTAATTTTAAGATAAAAAGATCATATAAACAGGTCCGAAAATATATCGTTCCCAAGATAAAATTTAAAATAAAGTTTTTTCGTAAATATCTCAAATATCGTTTACGTAATTTTGTTGTAATTTGGCGGTGGCATTTATAACTTTAAGAAGCTGTAGCTATATTTTGAAAGTGTGATACAAACCTGGAATGCATTTGAGCTTCTTGATCACCAATGTCGATCGTTTCAGCTCCTGAAGATACTTGTACAAATCGTCGTCTTTTAGTTTATCACATTCCTGTTTGAAAAACGAAGACATAGTGAGCGTGATAGGTCTGAAAGTATCAAGACCCACAGCCAAGTGGTCCGGAGACCAGGATCTACGCTTATTCTGTCGTTCCAGAGAGCCCCTTCTGGTTAAAGTGCCCATGTCACTTGCTTTGCGACGAAGGTTCTCTAGTCCGCTTGAAGATTTACGATCTAAAATGATTGAAATAACATGAAACGGTGCTATACTAAATTCATTTTCGAGGTGCAGTAGATGTAAATATGATGTATTATGTAAACAGGGTTTTTTTGCCAAGGGGAAAGCTTCCGACAATATGATGCAACTTAAATGAAGTAAATAAAAAGATCTGCTAAATAAAAAAAATGTATGTATGTATGTAGGGCTGGGGGTAGTGTTCACCCTTCTCGATATTAGAACATCTAGCAAAACGTATGCGTTTCAAATTTTGCATAGAGGTAAATCATGTCCAATCGACTTGTCTTAAAATACGTGGTACTTCTATGTTCCCGGAATATTGGAACACCCTGTATGCTATGCTTGGAAAATTTTATTTCAAACGTGGAGAAAAAGCTTCATCAACAGCATTTTTCATTTTTACCTAAGCTGTTTGTATTTGATCCACTTCCATAATCTCTATCTGAGTCTTTCTCAAGGAGATTTCCTCCATTTATGACGTTAAATAGATTTACAGCAGTCCAAGCGAAAGCTTGTCTGTATTTTCCAAGTCGTTCACATACGGACACTGCAACTGATTTCAGTTTATCACGATTCTGAAAAAGACATATTAGATTATTCATATACTAATTCACACAGTCATGAAAAAGACGTATGTCAAACTGGAGCCAATTTGTTACCATCTAATTGTTGTATTAAGCATTCTAGAATGCAGGAATTACATTTAAACATAATCTAAGCAAGTAACTTGGTAAAAAAAATCATAAGCTTTTTTGCAACTCTACTGAAATTGTGCTTAAATTAAATGATGTATACTCAAAACTGCTTTTTTAAATTGCCCATCTAATAATAGCGGTTTCTTCAAGAAACAATCTTCTATCATATTTCATTTCAGTATACGAGGGATGTCTTTTAAGTTTTGCATATAGAAATATAGTAGGCCGCGCGGATCGAACGTCAGTACTGAATCTTAACCTCACTCTTTAGTAAACTTAAATTCAAAGTTTCACAACGATAAGTGCAGTGTTCTCACTACAGTGAATTTTTAAGTGTCACCAAGTTATTAGAAAAATGGAACTCGACCGAAAACCTTTTCGCGCCATAATTTATTACAACTTTAAGAGACAATTATCGCAACAAGAATGTCTTGCTGAGTTACTGTCTGTTTTCGGCAACGAAGCGCCACATCAGTCGACAATTTCCCGTTGGTATGGAGAATTCAAAAGTGGACGGGTGAGACTTAGCGACGATCACATGGTGGGTGGACCAAAAACGGCATTCACCCAGGAAAACGTCGATGCTGTGCGCAAACTCATCATTGAAGATAGACATGTGACATATCGCGAGATTGAGGCGTTCTTGAAGATCTCAAAGACCTCAATTCAAAAAAATGTACATGAAGAATTAGGAGTAAGAAAATTAGTTTCTCGTTGGATACCCCACCTGTTGACTGAAGAGCAGAAAGCAGCCAGGGTTAATTGGTGTCAAAAAACGCTTGACCGTTTCAATTCCGGAAACTCAAAAAATGTGTACAGCATTGTTAGTGGTGACGAATCGTGGATTTCCTGTTATGAACCAGAAAATAAACGACAGTCGGCTGTTTGGGTGTTCCAAGGTGAAGAAACGCCAACAAATGTCATCCGTTCTCGAAGTGTTTCGTATACCACCATTTGTTTGCCAAAAGTCATCACCGAGCTTCGAAAAATCAACCCCGAAAGAAGAATCATCCTCCACCAAGAAATGCAAGCTTGCACAGAGCCCAAAAAACCAGGCAGTATTTAACGGAAGAAAACGTGGCATTATTGGACCATCCTCCCTCCATATAGTCCCGATCTAAGTCCTAACTTACTTTCCCGAAAATTAAAAACAGAATGCGTGGTCAAAGGTTCCAGTCACCAGAAGAAGCAGTTGACGCATTCAAAAATGCCGTTTTGGATCTGCCAGCAAACGAGTGGAATAAGTCCTTCGAAAATTGGTCCGAGCGCATGCAGATGTGTATTAATCTTCGTGGAGAATACTTCGAAAAACAATAAAGTCATTTACAACTACCTACCGTGTTGTTTTATTTCCATATGCAAAACTTAAAAGACATCCCTCGTATTGGATAAGGTAAAATATGTTTGCTATAAACATTTATAAAGGCCTCCAAAATTTTTGGATGCGTTCATATTAATATATTGGATTATCTCACTTAACAACCATGAAAGTAAAATATGTCCCAATAGGTCGCAGGATTATGTTTCTAAATGAAACCAACAATTTTGAAAAATATTTAATATCAAATATACTCAGTGACATTAAAAGTGTTACACCCAGAAAAAATAATTTATTCAACTTGTTTTTTAGCAACATAATGACTATATTTAAAGCATGCTGTGGCAACAATGTCAACGTTCTATCTTTGTTTTTGTTTACCTTTGTTAAAATATTATCCCTTAGTTTTTGTGAAGAAAGCAGTTTCTGAGAGCTGAGTAGTACAGATATTTTTAGTCATTGCCCTTTCATTTACTAGTGTCAAACATATCAAAATGTCTCGAGTTCGAAGACGTCCAAATTATCACCATGTTGACGACTTTGACAGGGGTAGAATTAATGCCTATCGAGATGATGGTTTGTCCTATCACCCCTGTACTGCCATATCTACAGCGCCGTCCACACGTATTTTTTCAACAGGACAACACACGTCCCCATATTGTTCGCCGTACTACGGACTTCCTTCAAGAAGCAGGCGTTAATTTTATGTTGTGGCCACCCCGTTCACCGGATTTAAATCCCATCGAACATGCGTGGGATATGATGGGGAGAAGACTATCTACTTTGCACCATCCGCCACAGACTCTGTCACAGCTAATCTACGAGCACGAGTTGCTTGGAATGAGGTGACACAACCAGAAATTGATCATCTTATTTTGTCGATGCCTAGATGTATACAGGAGTGTATTCAGCTAAGGGGTCGCCCAACACATTGTTATTTTTTTTTCTTATTACTTGTCAATATACTTTCGTGAGAATGTCATCGTTTCTACCTCATTGTCAAAAAACCAAGTTGATCAAATTATTTTTTATGGGTCTGAGTATAGGTATATACTATGGGAGTAATTTTTTATCAATAATATTCCCCAAATACCCCTCTCAGCTGCTAGTAATGGGTGATTTTTTTGCTAGTATCTTTTTGGCAACACTGTTTTTGACAGATGACGCGTGAATTGTGTCTTGTGTCATTGTCAAACTTGTTCAGCAATGTCTATAATTTAACCATGAATCGACTTACGAACGAACAACGCTTGCAAATTCTTGAATTTTACTATCAAAATTCATGCTTGGTTAAGAGAGTGCATCGAGCACTGCTCCCAATTTATGGGCAATTTGGTCGGCCTACTGAGGGACCTATTCGGAAGCTTGTGACTAAATTTCGAACCCAGTTTACATTATTGGACATTAAACCACCAACACGCAGACGTAAAGTGAGGACTGAAGAAAATATTGCGGCTGTATCCGCCAGTGTTAGTGATGACCGTGAAATGTCGAGTCGCCGCCGTTCGCAACAATTGGGCCTCTGTTACTCCACTACGTGGAAAATTTTGCAACAGGATTTGGGTGTAAAACCTTTTAAGATACAGCTGGTGCAAGAATTGAAGCCACACGACCTCCCACAACGTCTCCAATTTGGTTAATGGGCACTGGCAAAGTTGGAGGAAGATCCACATTTTTATCGAAAAATTGTGTTCAGCGACGAAGCTATTTCTGGTTGAATGGGTACGTTAACAAGCAAAATTGCCGCATCTGGAGTGAAGACCAGCCAGAAGCATTGCAAGAGCTACCAATGCATCCCGAAAAAATCACTGTTGGTGTGGATTATGGGCCGGTGGCATCATCGGGCCGTACTTCTTCAAAGACGACAATGGCCGGAACGTAACTGTGAATGGCGAGCGCTACCGTGCGATGATAACAAACTTTTTTTTGCCCAAAATGGAAGAGCTGGACTTGGCTGACATGTGGTTTCAACAAGACGGTGCCACATGCCACACCGCCCACGAAACAATGGCCCTACTGAGAGGCGAGTTCGGTGAACAGTTTATCTCACGTTTGGGGCCCGTCAATTGGCCGCCTAGATCGTGTGATTTAACGCCGTTGGACTATTTCTTGTGGGGCCATGTTAAGGCTAATGTCTACAGGGATAAACCAGCAACGATTGACGCACTGGAAGCCAATATTGAAGCATTTATTCGTGAGATACCGGCCGATATGTTGGAGAGAGTGTGCCAAAATTGGACCTTGCGCATGGGCCATCTAAAGCGCACATGAAATAATCTTTAAACATTAAATTATATCGACCGTTCTATCGACTCAAATAAAGATTGAATCGTTTTTTTCAGATTTTTTGTGTTTTTTTTAAAATCAAATCCTAAACCTCTTAAAAAATCACCCGTTACTAACCATTCTTCAACTAAAATGTTTAGTATAACCATTTGGCACAATATTCAATTCTGCTCCCGCTAGGCGGGTTGGAAGTTAAACTGTCAAGTGTAGATGGGAAAACGATATCTGATATATATTTGAAATAAGAGGAATTGCAACAATGTGGTCATATGAATATAGTAAGATAAACATTCCAAATTGCTTTAAAAAGAAATACTACAGGATGTTAATCAAGTATGTACCATGAATTTAACAGACGATTGTCTGAGTTCATATAAACATAAGTCCGCAAATTCTTTGTTCTAAAGATACAGGGTATTGAGATTTAAAAAAAAATTGTTTTTCCTAAATTAAGGACCTAATTTAGCCGTAACTTGAATAAATACAGGCTTTGTCCGGAAAGTAATAGGACTGAGTCAATTTAAAAAAATTTATTGAGCCAATCGTTACAATTCTTTAAAAACTTTCAAAATAGGCTCCTTCTGCGTCGATGCAGCGCTGCCAGCGCGATTTCCAAGCATTGATGCCTTTGATGTCAAAAAAGACAATGAGCATCGTTTTCACTTTGGATTTGCTCATTCTTCCCTTTTTTGGGCGAGGAGACGCCGTGGTGTGCCACTCGGAAGATTGCCTCTCTGTCTCGGGATTATACTCAAAGATCCACGAATCGTCACCTGTGATTACGTTATTCAAAAATTCGGGGTCACTTTCACACATGTTCAAATTTTCTTGGCTAACTTCCACTCGCCGCAATTTCTGGTCGTCAATGAGCACTTTTGGGACCATCTTAGCGCACACCTTGCGCATGTTCAAATGCTGTGTCACAATGTCATGAACCACAGATTTTGGTAAATTTAACATCTGGGCAATTAAACGAATACTTAGTCGACGGTCTGAGTTCAAAACTTTGCGCACACGAGTCATGTTATCGGTGTTTGTCGAAGTCGAAGGTCTTCCAGCACGCTCTTCATCAGCGACCTCTTCCCGGCCCTCCAAAAAGGCCTGGTGCCACCGAAACACACCACTTCTTGCTAAAGCAACACCTGGGTAAGCCTGCTTGATCATATCAAACGCCTCTGTCGCAGATTTACCGAGTTTCACAACGAATTTAATCGCGCACCTCTGCTCTAACGAACGCTGCATTTTCGGCTTGCACCACACACAGAAACACGTCGCGCAAAAATGCCTGTCCTAACTCTTCAAGTGCTCAGAGGCAACTGACCAGCCGCTCATTCGTTAGCTAGGAACGCCCTCTACCGAATCCAGTCGCTGCGCGCACGCTCCGAAGTACAGTCATGGCGGAAGAAAATGAATCCTATTACTTTCCGGACAATCCCTGTATATTAAGTCCAGTGGCGCTTCGAGTGGATCTGAAAGAATATTTGTGACACAAAAATGTGCGCCGCAGACTTTAGTGCAATTTTTATTATGTTCTTTGGATTAGGCAAACAGAAATACAACTTTTTTGTCTTTTGACATTTTTTCGTATCTTGCTTAGTTTTAGAGAAAAAAATCCACTTAAGCGCACATCCCTGGAATACACATGAGAAACGGGGAATTTTGTTTGGAAAATTATTATTTTTTTATAATTTTTTACTACTAATTATTTTTATAATTTTTTACTACTAATTATGTAACAACAATAAATACTAAATAACATTAACATCTAGATTAACAAATGTCACTACATTAAGTGTTAGAAATGGCCCCCTTCTGCTTCAACACAACCGTCTAGCCGCCTCATCATTGAATTACGCACTCTACTGAATGAATTAATGATTCTGTTGCGTAAATCCTCTTCACTTTCAAAAGAAGTTTTATTTACCAATGCTTTAATTTGTTCTCAGATAAAATGATATCTGGGATTCATATAGGGCAAACGAGGGGGCCATAGGGGTGGGCCTGCTCTCCCAATCCAGCGATTATGGTAATTTTTGTATAAAAAAATCACTGGAACTTCTTCTAAAAGTCCAGGTAAAACAAATTCTAAAAACCGTCTACGTGGAAGAAAATGAGGCCCAATGAGATGGTCACCGACAATTCCAACCCAAATATTAAAAGAAAACTGTTCTTGAAAAGTATGTTCTAATAATGCGTTTTCCAAAGCAACCCTTTATCATTTAGTATTTCTAAGTTTAATAAAATTGATTAGTTTATATGTTAATTTTAATTTAGTGTTTATTTGTTGTTGTTGAATAACTGGTTATAAAGAACTATAAAAAATAATGATTTCCAAAAGAAACGTTCTCCTACATTCCTTGTGTGGTAGAGGGATATGCAATTAAGTGGGTTTTTTTCTCGAAAACTAAGCCAGATACGAAAAAAATTCAAGAGACAAAAGGATTGTGTGTGTGTGTGTGTGTGTGTGTACGCAGCGACTGGCATCGGAACCTGGTGTCCATTTGCCACAAAAAGAGACAAAAGGATTGTATATCTATTTGCTTAATCCAAAGAACATAATAAAATTGCACAAGTCAGTGGCGTACATTTTTTGTCACAAATATTCGTTCAGATCCCGCTCGAGATGCCACTGGATCAAGTTAGTACTAAATTAACTCCTTAATGTTATGAATACCACCGCCAAATTTCGACAAAATCGAGTAAAGGGTATTTAAGAAATTCACGAAAACCATTTTTTTTTTTAATTGTAACACCCTGTATCTTGAGAACGAAGAATTTGCGGACCTAAGCTTATATGAACTTTATGTCTTAAAATTATTCAAAGAATTGTCTGTTAAATTCATGGTACATACTTAATTAACACCCTGTATAATAGAAAAGTATTGATAAAGGTTTGAAATACGTACAGGGTGACAGGTAAATAGGTGTAAAACATTTTAGGAGGTGATAGTACAGCTCCTTTGCTATCAAAATTAGTATATAATACCATACCGTATATTCGAAGGTTAAAAAGTTATGGAAGATTTAATTTTTTTTAAAAAACAACCCAGATTACAGAGTAAAACAGTCGAGATAAAAAAAGTTGGTGATTAAACATTCTTTTTTTGGTGGTTTCAGGTTATTATTTAAATAAATAATTCTCGTAAATTAAAAAACATATGAAAACACTACTGAAAACGGATTTATTTTCATTTAAACGTTAAATGACAATTTTTATTTTCAACTTTCACATTAAGAAGTCTTTTTTTTCAAAAAATCATAATAAAGAAAATGTACAAATAACTGCAAAAACTTCCTGGTTTCATTAGGTTTCTAAAATGGTATAATAACATATCAGTAAGTAAGCCATTTAACAAAACAATATTTTGCGAGAAAGGACCGCTAAGCGCATTTCATTGTACTGAGCAGGTAAACCGAACCTTTCATGGTTCGACCCTTTTTGTTATTTTTTGTGCCCTGTGCCGTTATTCGGGTTTAAGTATTCGGAATCTGTCGTCGCTCCTCGGAAGCAAGCTCTGCCTGTGTTATGAATTGACACAGCTGACGGATCAAGGAAAGGGAACTAACGCTTAGGTTTGTTAGTAGAATATCAACCTTTAACACGGTAGGACGTACTTTTACTTTCTTGATCAGTTTTAATAATGGCGAGTTACCGTAACGATGAATACGCTGATATTCTGTTTTGTTATGGTTTAAGTGATGGAAATTCCGTTGAAGCCAGGCGAGAATACAAAAACCGTTTTCCGAATCGGCGAATACCGAGTCATCGAGTATTTGCTTCTGTGCACAAACGCGTCAAGGAAAGTGTACATATTCATGATAGACCTCGGTTGTTTGACGACGAAGATCGATAGGCAATACTGGAATGCTACGGCAGAGACCCGACGACGTCTACACGAGTTATAGCAAAGCAGCTTGGTTTAACGCAGTGGAAAGTTTGGTTCGTTTTGCATTTGGCGAGACTTTACCCTTTCCATTACACACCGGTTCAAGTATTAGCAGAAGGATATCCCGCAAGAAGAATTGATTTTTGTCGATACATGCTTCATCGGGATCAAGAAGATAACGACTATTTAACTAAAATATTGTGGACCGACGAGTCTAAGTTTGACAGAGAGGGGACAACAAATTATCACAACTTACATTATTGGGCCCCACGAGAGGCAAATCCCCACATGGCAAAGCCAAGAGCCCATCAAAGAAGATTTTCGGCAAACGTGTGGATGGGAATCATTCATACGTATCTAATTGGACCAGTTTTTTTGCCTGACAACCTGAATGGCGAATCCTATGAAAACTTTTTGAGTACCGAACTCTGGGAGTATCTCGAAGACCTGCCTCTGAATATCAGGATGCAGATGATCTACCAACACGATGGCTGTCCCGCGCATTTCCATCTGGGTGTTAGACAGTGGCTGGACGAGAAATATCCTTGTCGCTGGATTGGCCGAGGTGGACCGACACCGTGGCCAGCGAGGAGCCCAGATTTAACACCGTGTGACTATTATTTATGGGATCACATGAAGTCACTGGTGTACGCTGAGCCCATAGACACTCTTGCACAGTTGAAAGAAAGAATTATTGCTGCTGCTGACACTATCAGAGGACAACTAACTGGCCGCATCACGCGTACCAACATGAGAAAAAGACTACGGGCTTGCATAAGAAACGGCGGGCGTCAGTTCGAACAACAATTGCAATGAATTTTACCTTCATTTCATTATTGTATTTTACTTACCAATTGTAGTAACTTTTAGTCAGTTTTTATTATTCTGTAGTACAATTACAACTGTGCAAATAATCTAATCGTGTAACTTAACCGTAGTTTAAAATAATAACTATCCCATAGCTTACAGTTACATTATTTTCACAAAAACACTTTCTTATCAATCAGAGAGTTGTGAAAATAGGAGACAAGCCATTGGTAAATTTACTCCCTATTGTTGAATTACAATACATTATGTTTAGTTTCACACAGTTTTTGTGCACTTATCATACCAATTTAGATTCCTTATGAAACAAGGATATTATTTAAATTGTTTGTACGTTTTTTTGTATACTGATTTTTTTGTAAAACACCTTACTTACTGTAAAACGTTATTTGTTTTTCTTAGTTAAACATTTTTGAATGAAAATAAATACGTTGTTTGGTATTGTTTCCGAATCTTTTTTAATTTATAATAGTTAATTATTGAAATAATAATCCAAAACCACAAAAAACAAATGTTTAATCGCCAACTTTTTTCTCTCTCGACTTTTTTACTCTGAAATATGGATTGTTTTTAAAAAAATCTTAAATCTTCAATAACTTTTCAACCTTTGAATATAGGGTATGGTATTATATACTAATTTCGATAGAAAAGGGGCTGTACTATCACCTCCTAAAATGTTTTACACCTATTTACCTGTCACCCTGTATATTCTGAAATTCTTGTATTCAAACATTTAATAGATGCGATATATTCCGAAATCCTTGAATGCGAAAACTTCACAGATCCGATCAACTCGAAATTTGTGTTATTTTCGGGGCCGAAAAACCCGCTTATGGACTTTGATCCTTTAAATCCCGAAATACCTACTGGATACCATTCATATTATTATAACGAATTAGATGTTCAAGATGTATCTCACCTTTTCTTCTTTGAGGTACGGCTCAACACATTCACTCAGATCGCCTTGAAGCACTTTTTCCAATCGAATGACAATGAAGATATCTGGAGACGGATGGGTTATATTGAAAATACAACCTCTGGCCGTAGTACTAACGTCAGCATATGGAATGTGGTCCCCTAACATCCGTTTCAGTCCTTCAGGGTTTAAGTCGAAGTAAAATGTCTCTGATATTTTCTTGCGTTCCTTGCAATCATACAGAGCCATCGAAGCGAAAAGAGGTTCTATTTCAACCTCCATGCTGCAGAATAGAGAATTTATTTAATCAATAGACCGGTTCATATCTGATTTAATACTAGAATAAATGTATTATGAATAATGAGTATTACTTATAGTATTTTCCTTCGATTTTTAAAAGAGCAAGATGGATATACAGGGTGTTTCAGTTTAATGTTGCATAACTTAAGATTCGATAGAACTTTAAAAATTAATGCATAAAAACTATATAAACATGGGTCGAAAAATGCGTGGCTTCCGAAATACAGGGTGTTTAAATTTACTTTCTAAAATAGTTTTTTTTAAATATTTCGAACAATATTTGATGTATAACAGTGAAAATTGGTATACAAGGGTTTTTTGGTACGACAAAACAAACCATGGGCATAGTTTTACTGTAGCCGCTAGAGGGCGCTCTCTACTGTACCTGTTAAAATGACCGAAAAAAAGTGCAATTTTTTGCTTTTTGAATAAAAAAACTGATTCTTCGCACATTTCTGCATAAAAAAGCTCTCCTGGGAGTTTTCGTTATAGTTAGCCGTTTTTGAGATATTTCGATTTTTAAGGTTCGATGCATTTTTAATTATTTATGGGAAAATAATATTTCTTTCACATTTTCCATTTGGGCATTACAAGTAATTAAGATGATCGTTTAGATTGTGTTTTTAAACACAACAATAATTCCTAACTCCAAATAAACTCAAAAAAAAACAGAATATTAATTTGTTTAATTTTCCAATATTATTTTTAACAAATTAAATTAATTATTTACAACTAAAATGCTATTGGATAGTTAGGACAAACATACAAAATCTAAAGTAGTTGCTCGAAATGTAAACCCAATTGTTCAATACACAATAATTTTCGTCCAGCCAATTTCTAACTATTCTCGAATAATGAGCTGGACAACCATCAAGCTGGAACCAGGCCAATCTTCTTAAATGTAACTTAACATCATCCCACATATTTGCATGTTCAGCCTTTAAAAATTCCAAGAAGGTCGCAGCATTTAACCTTGCAGGTAGGGTCCAAATAGTCGATTACGGTAGATACCAATCCACACGTTCACACTAAATTCATGCTGAAAATTTCTTTCCCGAACTGCATGCGGATTTTCATCCGACCAAATATGTTGATTATGAAAATTTACCACTCCACGTCTGGTGAAGCATGACTCATCGGTCCATAAAACGTTACTTAAAAACTCCCTATTATTATCAGTTCTATCAAGAATCCACTGACAAAATTTGATTCTTCGTTCTCCGTCCCCTGGCTGTAGTCCTTGCACAGGTTGCAAATGGTAAGGACGTCTATGGTCGTTCCTAAGAACACGGTGAACATGGCTTGCTGAAATTCCCAAGGCACCAGAAACTCTCCTAACACTTGTGGTCGGATCTCTATCAAACTCACGCAGAATCATACGGGTAAATCTGCGCTGACGAACATTTATGTTTTGATCCCTTTAAAGATTTCCAAAACCATTTTCAATTAATTGGCGATGCACTCTTACAAATACTGAGCGAGTTGGATGTCGTCTGTTTGGAAATCTTGGTGCGTATTCTCTGGCTGCTTCTGCTACGTTTCCATTTACAAAGCCATACACAAAATGAATATCCGCTAACTCTTGATTGGAGAATAAAAATGGCATTTTTTTAAAACTTACAAAAAAAAACAGGTAAAAGAAACTAAATTTCGTGCATTCACAATTGCAAAAAAACGTTTCAGGTTTCAACAGACAACGAAACTGTCAACTAATTGACGTTTAACCTTATTCTGCTTTCAATTTCAAAAATATTTGCAGGCACAGCCTACTTCTAAAAATTATCGAGATACTGACTTTTTAACGTTATTTTATCATAAATAATTAAAAATGCATCGAACCTTAAAAATCGAAATATATCAAAAACGGCTAACTATAACGAAAATTCACAAGCGAGCTTTTTTATGTTGAAAAGTGCGAAGAATCAGTTTTTTTATTCAAAAAGCAAAAAATTGCACTAATAAGATTTTTTTGGTCATTTTAATACACTACAGGTACAGTAGAGAGCGCCCTCTGGCGGCTACAGTAAAACTATGGTTTGTTTTGTCGTAGCAAAAAACCCTTGTGTACCAAATATTGTTCGAAATATTTAAAAAAACTATTTTAGAAAGTAAATTTAAACACCCTGTATTTCGGAAGCCACGCATTTTTCGACCCGTGTTTATACAGACTTTATGCATTAATTTTAAAAGTTCTATCGAATCTTAAAGTTATGCAACAATAAACTGAAACACCCTGTATAGGTGCAAAACATATTTTTCATTTTTAATACAAAACGGTTAAAACACTATCGCCTATGATGTGACGTCATACAAACTGTAAACAAAGAAACGTCAACTTATGTATGTCACTCGTGGACTAAAGTTGTCTTCTTTAAATATTTCTAAAGAACTCCTAATCAACGTAAAAAGTTATGGTTTTCTCGTTTTATAGAAAAAAAAACAACCATGGGCGTTGGATTCGTAACAGCAGAAAACACAAGTTTACCGAAAATTGACAATGATAGTTGGTAATTTGTTTGCCTCCAACCCAGATTTCTGCTCTCTGATATTTATTGCCATGTGCACTGTAATCCACAGTTTCCCTGAGGTCTTTATCGATGTGTTTTTAGATTCTCTGGCGATAATAAAAAGGGCAATTACTATATTTGTCATATAAACTTGTAGAAGTCATGTTTATATGCATAAAGTTTGAGAGGTTATGCTGCAGTCACATGCTGTTTACAAATGGTATGACGTCAGAGATATGGTGGTGTTTTCGTCTAATAGAACAAATACAAATATTAACTATTTAGGACATACTCAAAAAAGTGTTAACTACCTTAGCAAAGTAGTGGTATAAGCTTTTGGTAAAAGAACCGTTCAGCCATAAAAGCTCTCTATTGTTGTTGCCTGAAGACCAAAATGCTGGCTTAATGTTGTGTGGAATGCAAATTTGCTTTCTGCAACATATTTGCTCTGAATATATAATAATATATTCTTATAGCATAGTTATCCAACACCTTATAGGGCAAATTTTTTACTGTTGCATAAACATTTATACAACTATTTTATACGGCATATTTGTTTACGTTTACCATAACCTAACTTTCTGCTGTCATATTTTTGTTAAAATGCCATAATAATAAAAAAATAATAATAATTTATTTCATTGTTGAATAGAACAGAAAATTCTATAACAAATGAAAAGGTCATAAAAATAGTGGTGACGAGTTGAAAAAGTATGAAAACATAGTTCTAAACAAAAAACTCCTCCAAGGTGTAGAAACATTTGTCTATCAAAAAAAGTTTTAGTTTTCTTTTGAAAACAGCTATATTTGATTCATTCCTAATATCATCATTGAGCTTATTAAAAATCTTACATCCCATATACCTGCATGTTTTTTGGTATATAACCAATGTTTTAAGGCAAACAACGCATGAATATTGGTTCAAAAGGTTTTATCAACTGTTCAAACAGAAGATATAGATCTGATACAAATTCTGGGTAAATCATTCGACTCTGTCGGTATTTTATTTCAGACATTTGTCAAAATGTTGTATAACACCTGCAGGCAACACCAAAATATTCTAATAAACGAAAGACAACATGGACGATGCCATGATTATACACAACCACCCGCCATATTGGGCAAACATTTATTCCTCTATTTAATATTAAATAATTATGTTTCAGTTCGAGTACAGATATAAAGTGATAAACATTATTGTAATTGTGTCTAGATATAGGATTTGTGGAAGATTTAACGCAGATAAGTTCAGTTTTCCATCTTAAAAATCTAGACATACTTTTGATCATTATCAAAATATGAATCAAATACGAAGCCCGTAGAAATTGCGTAACTACTTTGCACGATAATCACAATAAAATTTGCTGCGCAAGTAATTCAATAGCCCTATATCACAGTGTAAAAGTTTATCATATACCTGTGTATGAAATTCACAATGGCCGATCTGTAAGTAAACAAGATGACTGTAATGTATTAGTTATATATTCTTCACTTCGTCTATACAATACATAGGAAATAGTTTGGTTGCAATAAAGTAGAATCACGTAAGAGAATAGTTGTATAGTTGACAAAAACTGAATCTTGCACTGACGCAAATGTCCTATAGCGGCTGTAAGGGGCTTACACTTTTGTTTTATAACTGTTACCTGCAGCCCTTATACAACCTCTTAAATGACTGAAGTGTCCTATTAGGTGTGCCATTCCGCTTGTATAGCTGTTCTAAGAGGGTTTTGCTAATGTTCTTACAGTATACAATGCTGTTTAACGAATACTGTATAATCATTCTTGCAACTCTAATAGGAGTGATAATTGTTAGTTGGTAGCCTATTCAAGAGCAGATAATATTTTAGAACAGGGTTATTTGCAATACTAAACATATTTCTTAGTTGGATTTAAGCTGCATTGAACTAATTTAAACGATCTCAAAACATGATTCGTTGCTCATAGTGTATTTTCAGCACCGAAATTTTGACAAACGAAAATTTGTAAACAAGTAATACATATGATATTTTCTGGTGAAATCGCTAAAGCAATCACTAAGTCAGTGAGAACGTATAGTCTTTTTGTTTCAAGTGCGTCCATGAACCAAAATACGAGGGTGGATCAAATATAAACCGGAATTTTACAAATACTTTTTTCAGCCAATCACGACCGCTCTCGCAGTGTAGATCCTTTCAGTGTAGTGTATTAGGAGTGGCGATTACGCGTGATGAGCTGTTTCACTTAGGCCCGTATCGTCAGTCGTCCCTACAATTGTAGGGAGCGTTTATGCCTCCTTGATTGTCATACTCCTTTCTCTCCTTCAAAAATTTCTAGATTACACTTGTCCCGTGTCAGCGTCAGCGCCCTCCTATTGTGAAGATATGTTTTCTTTTTAAATTGTAGGAAATTTCAAGCTGATAAAACATGATATAACTCAAAAGCAAGCACAATTTGATGCAAATAGATGTTTGTGACATAACCTCAAAATAGAGCGCTGACACGGAGAAGTAGAAAACTATGACAATCAAGGAGGCCATAAAGGCGCCCTACAATTGTAGGGACCACTGACGATACGGGCCTTAGTCAATGCGTCAGTACAGCAGATTCCACCATCCGTTGCGCAACGAGTTATAATGTAGTTTTTAGAAGGCGTGAAACCGTACGAAATTTTGGCTCGATTGAAGGCTCAGTATGGGGATGATACCCTATCTAAAACTCAGGTTTTCGATTAGGCCAAAAAGTTTGAGAGTGGTCGAGAGCGTGTAGAAAATGTGAGTAGTCATAATCGACGTCCAAGATCAAGTATATCTGGTGATAACATTGCTGTTTGTGATCTTATTGAAAGTGGCAGGCGGCTCACTATTCATGAAGTCGCTTTAGAAGTGGACATTAGCTTTGTAAATCAGTAGAAGACATCTGAATCGAATTCGGGGGGAAGGAGAGACTTTTTTTAATCATATCGTGCCGCACTATTGCCTGCATTAAATCAAAGTGTAATAAGTAATATCACACTTGTTTATTTTTGCTACCTACATTTAAAGAGTTAATATGATTGGGAACCTCTTGATGCAACTCATTTTTCTTTTCTCGAAAACTACCCGAGATGGCTTGTTTTTATAGGAAACAAAAAAACTAAATTAAAAGATCTGATAAATGAAAAAAGTCGTCTGGAAAGTTGTAAAAAAATCTACTATAATTTATGTATGGGTGGGTGTAGTTTCACCCTTATCGAACCCTTTCGTTTTTTTTTGTAAAAGACAAATATTAGCACGTCTAGCAAACAAGTCATGTGTTCCAAATTTCATTCAAATCGCACTATTAGTTCAGAAAATATCTAAAAAAAAATGTGTTTTAAAAAGAAAAATTCGACGCCCTCTAAGGGGCAAATGAAGCACTTTTGCATAGAGGTAAATCATGTGCAATCGGCTTATTTTGAGTCTAAAAACACATGGTACTTCTACGACCCCCTGTATAAAAATATTACTAACGTGAGCTGCTGACACTTCACCAAGACCCTATGCCCCAGATGTTCGTACGGCGGCGTGGCCGGTAGCCTTTTCTCTATGGATTCGCCAACGTCATAATGAACGTCGCTGCTATTTGTCAGAGAGAACAAAGCCTCCTGTCTTTCGGTCTGTCTCCTGGACTCGTTCAGCTGATCCAGAGTTTCTGAGGCTGCGTGCTCTAATATCTCGGGAATAAGCGGATCCCCGGCCGAATGGCGGAGATCCAACGAGGCCCATGAGTTTCTTGGAGTGAGAGTATCGCCGCATGATGAGACCGATGAGATTGAGATTACACTCTGTCTGCTGCTGCCTTGCGATGTCAAGTCTGAAAATATTTTGTGACTGATTTTTGTAGGTAAAATAGTATGCAAAATAAAAACGATTTTGAATTGCCTTGGTATCAATCAACAGAAGGATTCGTTTTTGGACAGTTATTTCTCCAAAAGTTAGTCGTCAATGCGGGTTTCGCGATCCAATTCGGAATTCCATTTTATTTATTTACGCTTTCCCATTACATACAAAAAATGAATTATATTTATGTGACAGATTATAGCTTTATATAAATTATTAAACTAAAAAAGAGCTATAGATTCATGTGATTCTCAACCTACGTATATTTAAATCCTAACAAACTAAAGTTAAATAGAAATATTTTTCATGTGCTGTTTGATGTGCTTAATACTGTTACTGAAAATATGTACAGATGTAACAAAAGTTTGGAACGCATCAAATACCTGACAAATGATTCATTCTTTTTTTTTAAATAGGTAGGTTTAGGTTCGAAACCACGGTGGATTCGGTGATAATATCCGCGATGTTGCCAAATCTACAGTTTTTCAGAAACTGATAGCAACTTTGTTTTTCTTATGGAATGCTATACATTTTATTCGATATTTTTATACGATAGTGGTCCCAGCAGTACCCGGCCTGACCTAGAGATGGCGATAGTTGTTTGAAAAATATCATTGTATTAGAAAGTATGCAACCTATAAAGCATATGTGTGGTCATCGTTATGTGGTACAATACTTTTATTTCAAAGGCCTCAGCCCAACCAATATAAAAGCTGAACTGGATTCTACTCTGGGTGAGTCTGCTCCTTCGTTTACAACAGTAAAATATTGGGTAGCACAGTTTAAACCAGACCGTATGAGCTGCCAAGACGAGCATCGCAGTGGTCGACCAAATTAGGTGACGACTCCAGAAATTGTGAACAAAATTCACAAAGCGGTACTGAATGATCGTCGACTGAAAGTGCGCGAGCTAGCAGACATAGTAGGAATTTCAAAAAGTGCGGTTCATCGCATATTATCTGAAAATTTGGACATGAGAAAGCTGTTTGCAAGGTGGGTGCCGCGATTACTCACAATCAAGCAAAAACAGTGTCGTGAAGATGTTTCAATTGAGTGTTTAGCGAAGTTTCACAGCAACAAAGCAGAATTTTTTCGTCGTTTCATAACCATGCATAAAACATGGGTCCATCACTTCACACCAGAGACAAAAGAACAATCAAAACAATGGACTCAAAAGGGATAACCGGCTCCAAAGAAGGCGAAGACCGTTTCATCTGCAGGCAAGGTTATGGCGTCGGTTTTTTGGGATGCGCGTGGGATAATTTTCATTGACTATCTTGAAAAAGGAAAACTATCAACGGCGAGTATTATGCGAACTTATTGCAACGTTTGAGCGATGAAATCAATCAAAAACGGCCTCACTTGGTTAAGAAGAAAGTGTTTCATCAAGACAATGCACCAGCTCACAAATCCGTTATTGCAATGGCCAAAATTAACGAATTAAAGTTTGAATTGCTACCTCATGCACCTTATTCACCAGATTTAGCCCCCTCGGATTATTTTCTGTTTCCAAAATTGAAAAAATGGCTCAGTCGTGAAAGATTTTCCAACGATGAAGAAGTGATGTCGGCAGTTAATGGCTATTTTGAGGAGTAAGACAGTTCTTATTATAAAAAGGGTATCGAACTTTTTGAACATCGCTGGGAAAAGTGTACAGAGCTGAAAGGAGATTATGCTGAAAAATAAATACATTTTTTACAAAAATTTTGTGTTTTCTTCGTTGGGCGGGTACTTCTGGGACCAGCCTCGTAGTCTGCGAGAAATTCTGGATACCTTTATTAAACATCTTGGACGTAGACCTCATAGTTTTCGAAATATTCGCGGTCAAACATTAGTAATCAAACAATCAAACGTTATGTTTCTCACCTAAACAATGACCGGTATCGAAAGTGATCTCTTGTCATTTCTGAAGTTTTGTTCATAGAATTAATAAAAATATGATTTATTTAAAACCCAGAAGATAGAAATTATGTAATTGATTAAAATAGTGTATCTGATATTCCAAGGAAACAAGAGAGAAATTAAAAACAAAGAAAACGATAAAACCGAGTTGTTAATTTAAACTTCAAAACAAGATAAAAATCATATTAAATGTTTAAATTGCCGTCCATATATACTAAGTGACATATAAATCCGAACACCCAGTGTAAATCGTTTTATTTTAATAAAATTTTGTATAAGTACTTAATGAAGCATAATAAGTAAATGATAAAAATTTCAAACTGATTGCACTGCTTTAAAGCCCTTTGACCTTTAATAATGTGTGGATGCACCCTGATGTGCTACGCATTCTCCAACGCGCCTAGGCATGCTTCTGATCAGGTGGTGAATGTCCTCCTGTGGTATCTCATTCCAGGCAACCACCAACTCCTCTCGAAGTGCTTCTAGAGCCTGAGGAGGACGTTGCAAATTGAGCAATCTCCTATCCATCATATCCCACACGTGCTCAATTGGGGATAAGTCGGGAGATCTTGGTGGCCATGGTAACAATGTGACATCATTATGTTGAAAGAAGTATATTGTGACTCTTGCAACATGTGGTCGGGCATTATCTTGTTGGAAAGTTGGATCTGCCAGGGTGTCTAGATAGGGTAAAAGATGGGGTTCTAGAGCTTCGTGGATATAACACTGCGCGTTCATGTTACCTCTGATGAAGATTAAAGGTGACCTGGAACCATAAGCTATAGCACCCCAAACCATAACTCCAACAGTGTGATGAACATGTCTTTCAACAAAAAACTGTGGATTCCTCCTTTCACCACGTCGCCTTCTAACCCTGGCACGACCATCGTGCATGCCTAAACAAAATCGATACTCGTCACTAAAGACAATACTGTTCCATTCCTGATCCCAGAGTGACCGTTGTCTGCACCACTCAAGGCGATTACGTCGGTGTTCTCGAGTTAAAGGGAGCACCCAGTGTGGCCGGTATGAAAACAAGCCAAAACTTCTCATTCGTCGGTAAACACTTCGCATGCCAATAGGTCTTCCGTATTCTGCAAACCATTCATTTGCAATGGACCTGGTAGTGGAGAAACGGTCCCTTAAGGCCAATAAACTTAGGCGGCGATCTTCACGGTCTGTTGTTCTACGGCGGCGTCCAGTGCCCCTTGCTCTTTGCGTACGGCCTTCTCGAAGCCATGCCTGACAACACCTAACTACAGTGTCTACACTTCTTTGCACTCTAACTGCAATTGCCCGAAAAGAAAGTCCAGCTTCCCGAAGTGCCACTAATCGTACAGGTCTCCGTACTCTAGGCATCGTAACCGATCGTAAAGGATGTCAATAACCAACATCCGCCAACGTTGATTCTTTACTGCGGCTGAAATATTCATTTTTAGAGCGTTAGTGAATTAAAAAAAAGCAGTATAAAAACGGGAATGTCCAACTGATAAGGCTGAAAATTTTTTCACTTGTTATTTACAGTAAGATAAATACATTCACCAACTTTTATTAAAATAAAACCATTTAAACTGGGTTTTCGGATTTATATGTCACTTAGTATACTTCTTGGCAATAAGCAAGATATTGCGGAAATGCGTTTAGAACATTTTGGAGACATCCGCTTTTCTCGATTTTTCAGCATTCATTTTCTATTCGTTGTTTTAGTTCCTCCAAATCAAATGGTTTAGTTTTGAATACTACATTTTTTAAGTGACCCTACAAAAAATAATCGAAGGGTGCGAGGTCAGGAGACCGAGGTGGCCATTCAATCGTACCTCTTCTACTTATCCATCTTCCAAAAAATATTTGATCAAAAAATTCGCAACATTTCGAGCGTAATACGGAGGTGCACCATCTTGTTGGTGCCATATTCTATTGTTGGGCAATCTATTATTTACTAAAAGAAAACAATATTGATATTTTTATTGTTTGTGGTACAAATGATCTCTCTTGAATTGTTTTCCGACGATGCGACATTTTTGAGTAAAAACATAAAAAACCGTTCTATTGTCCGAGAAAATTAATGTAATAATTGAAGAATGCAATTTAGCAATAAATATCTAGATGCTCTGGAATATGTCACTGGCTTTTGATATCTGACAAGTCTCTGTTATTCAAATCTGTTCGCTGTGACATTTTTTTCATTATTTAGTTTTTACATCTTGTTAATAATGGTGAATTATTCAAATGCAGAAATGGCGGAAATGCATTACGTATATGGTCTTGCCGACGGTAATGGTGAGCAAGTCAGACGAATTTATCACCAGAGATATCCCGATCGTGCTTTGTCAGATAGTCGGACCTTTTCTAATATTCATCGTCGTCTTGTTGAAAATCATTCTGTCCGAAAAGGAACATTTGAAGGTAGACCTCTAAGTGTGAGAACACCTGAAATTGAGGAAGCAGTGCTGCACGAAGTCTAAGAACATCCTGAAACGAGTACGAGGAAGATCGCTAGACACTTAAATATTTGCCATCAAATTGTTTGGAGAATTTTAGTGGATTTTTTGTTATATCCTTACCATAGTTTAAGAGTACCGGCATTACTTCCCATTGATTTTCCAAGGCGTGTGACCTTTTGACAGTGGTATCTTCTAAAAATTACACAAAATCCGCAATTTGAATCAATGATTTTGTTTACGGACGAAGCTAATTTTCCTCGAAATGCCATTCAGAATTTCCACAATAATTATTTGTGGGCAGAAGAAAATCCCTATGCCATAACCGAAACCCATTTCCAACACCAATTTTCGGTTAACGTATGGGCAGGAATTATTGGCAACCACTTTATTGGCCCATTCTTCTTGCCGGGACGACTTGACGGACAGACTTACCTCAATTTTCTTCAACAGTTGCCTTTGTTGCTTGATGATGTTCCATTAGTAATAAGAAACAATATGTGGTACATGCATGATGGTGCACCAGCACATTTCAGTATAGCGGTTCGTAATTATTTACAAACTGTTCATCCAAATCATTGGATTGGCCGCGGTCTGCCCCAAGAATGGCCACCAAGGTCCCCAGACCTCAACAGTTTAGATTTCTTTTTGTGGGGCTATCTTAAGACACTAGTGTACACAAGTCCCTTTAACACTGTACAGGAATTAAGAGAAAGAATAGTTGCAGCTTGTGATAGAATAAAAATATTCCAGTGATATTTCAACGAGTGCGCAATTCCATAAGGAGGGCGGAAGCATGCATACTAAGTGAAGGGGGCTATGTTCAACAATTTTTGTAATCATTTCGTTGGTTTTAATGTTATGTTTATGTTGTCAGTTGTTGTTGTTCATTACCCCTAATGTGTTTAATTTTTCCAATTAAATTAATAATAATTTAGCAAGTTAGACAATAGAACGATTTTTTTACTCAAAAATGGCGCATGGAAGGAAAACAATTCAAGAGAGACAATTTGTTTTAAATTGAACGGAGGGTCAAACATAATTTTTACTTGGCAAAAAACCATTGGCGTACCATTTTTCACTTAAAAAATATCGAAGGCAATACCCGTACGCACGGCACTGTTAAAGCTAAAAATTATTTTTGCATTGAAACAAATGCAACTTCATTAACTTTCACTACATACTAAATATCAGTGAAATATCTGAAGCGGTTCTGAAAATATTAATTAATTTCCATTTTTTCCTAAATCTTCACCTCGAGGGTTTGTAAGGAAACATTTTTGGACCATAGTTTATAAAGCAAACTAACATTAATTTTTCATGTAGATTTACACCCTTAAATATTCGCATATCATTAAGGAACACCCTGGAAAGAGCGATAAAACAGTTTTCCTGCGCGCATATTATTTCCTGAATAATCTCAGCATTTAATTATAAAAAAATGATATTGTTACCTAATTCGCTACCGATCTCAGAGGGTGCACCTTGCAAGTCTACCTCAAACTCCTGCTTCAATGCAGGTGGTACAACTTTAGACAAATTGATACGGCTCGACACGCTGCTACTAAAAGATCTATGATTATATCTGACCACTTTCCAGTTTGACTTGTAGCATTCAACACAGGTCTGAACGTGTGGAGGAAGAGATTCACTGAAAACAAAAAAAAGCCATGTGCATACTCCATAGTCATAGTGTATGGGCTGTACAGGGTGGCCAACTAAGAATGCAAGGTACTGTATCTGGGAGCCTATCCATTGTAGAGGCTTGCGTCAAAATAAATTCTTATTAAAACGGCTAAGAGAGAAACATGGAAAATAATTAAAAGTTTATGAAATGGCCGATAGGGAACGTAACTGCAATATTGAATCTAAAAAAGTGATGTTCGTGGGAATTTCGCTATATTAACCTAACAAAAAAATACCTGATCTTCGAAGTCGAGGATAATGTGAACTTTTTTTATTTGACAATTCTTGCTGTATCTCCAAAAATAAAGTGGTGGGGAGAGTTAAAGGTTTCCGTAAGAAACAGCCTGAATGTCACAGCTAAGTCAATTTTAACAAACTTGGCCTGTTGAAAAGAGCTATTGTTGGGCTACAAGTGTTATGTTTTAGGTTTTGTTAGTTTCGCATTTGGCTGTCAGATGGCTTTTTTCGACATTTCCAACAGAAATGGTTTCCCAAAAAAATGAAATGCATTGGTACGATTTTTTTTTTTAAGAAAAAGTAGCTAAATGATGTCTAAGCAAGCTCGCGAAAACATGAATTTGATTTTTTATGAATATATGAATATTTTAAAATTTTTAGTAGCAGCTTCTAACCATATTGAAATAACTCCTTACAACTTTTAAACTAAATGTCCTATCATATTGGAATACATTTTGTAGTGATTGCTGGTAAAAGGACGTGCCTGAAAAGTGAAGCATTCCAGGAAAAGTAATGTCATCCATTTAGAATAAAGAAAATTTTGAGGAAAATCTGTTTTTTTTTCATCATTTTTACAATAATTTCAAATTTTCTATAAATATCGTCCCTTGTACCCTACCTTTTTTTATTTGTAAGTTATTCTACATGTTATCAGCTTTATAAAAGTAAAAATTGCACGTTTATTACTCAAATGTAACAGTTTCTATGAGTGTTTATAAAAAGCTCATGTGCATCGTCTTGCTAGGCACCATTGTTTATCATGTAGATACCTTTTTTTGGTGATTCAATGTAGAGTCGCGCGGGCTGAAGTACGAGTGGAGAGGCGGGCCCAGTTGAAAAACAATTGAATGTTGGGCAGTTAGGCAGCTATTTGTGTTTCTCCTGCCAACTTTATCAGTTTCGTTTGCTACATATCACGCTTTCGCTTTTTGGTCGCGATGCCACCTCCGGCACACATTGCCGATATCCATTATTATTATGGAATGTACCGAGGGAGTGCTAGAGCTGCTTGCACAGCGTATCTAGCTGCATTTCCAAATCGACGCCCTGTTCCATCAGCCCGTAACTTCCAAGAAGTACATAGAAGACTGGCTAACACTGGACTTGGTTTGCCTCGAGATCGCCGCGAACCAGGTGTTATTATTCATGTTGGTATCGAAGAAGCCATTTTGGATGATTTGTTTGCTGACCCGACTACTAGTACGAGACGTTTGGCGTTACGTCATGGCGTATCCCAGAAATCGGTTTGGCGCATCTTGAGGAAAGCAGGGTTGCAACCATACCATTATCAAAGGGTGCAGCACTTGCATGAAGATGTGGATTGGCGTCCAAGGTGCGTTATGTCTACATGGATTTTTATAAAAACAAGAGACAATCCTGAATTCCCGAAAACAATTCTGTGGACAGATGAATCTCAATTCACGAGAGACGGCATCGTGAACTGTCGTAATTTACATAAGCGGTGCCCAAAAGATGAAAACCCTAGGCTGAAAAGGGTTTCAACATTTCAAGTGAAATTTTCTGTAAATGTGTGGGCCGCACTGATTGACAACTTTTTGATTGGTCCAATAATACTCCCGAGGACATTAAACGGAGAGAGATTTCTTGAGCTTTTGCGGACTGAACTGCCCTTGCTGTTGGAAGAAGTGCCGCTGCAAACCCGTCGAAGAATGATGCTTCAAATGGATGGATGTCCTTCCCATTACTCGCTGATTGTCAGGTCTTCTCTTAATGAAAATTATCCAGGCCGCTGGATCGGTCGACAAGGACCTGTTGGGTGGCCGGCGCGTTCCCCAGATCTCACACCTCTCGACTATTTTTTATGGGGGACAATGAAACAAAGGGTGTACAGCAGTTCCATAAACAGCGAAGCGGAACTTGAAGAAAGAGTTTTGCGTGTTGCAAACGAAATCAAAAATGATCCCGAGATGATTCGTAGGGCAACTCATCAAATTTCACTTCGCGCTACAATGTGTTTGCAGCAACGGGGTGGCCATTTTGAACATTTGATGCATTAAGCCAAAATGATTATCCTATAGACAAGTCTATTTGATTTTATTTGTTAAAGATAATGAATGATTCATGTAGATTAATACTGTAGTTTTATTCCTACTCTGGCGTTGAACTGAGTTCACTGCTTTTTGAAACGCTGATTTAAAAACTTGTATCTAAGTAATAAACTTGCAATTTTTCACCATTAGGAAGCTAATAAAATGTAGAATAACTTAACATTTAAAAAAGGTAGGGTAAATAGGACAATTTTTATTGAAATTTAGCAATTGTTTTAAAAATCATTGAAAAAATAGTGAGTTTCAACATATTCCTCTTTATTTTAAATCTATAGCATTTAATTTCGTGGAAATTTTCACTTTACTGGTACGGCCTATTATTTGCAATCACTACAAAATTTATTCCAATATGATAGGACATTCAGTATAAAAGTTGTAACGATTTATTTAAATAGGGTTAGCAGCTGACTCTAAAAATTTTAAAATATTCATAAAAAATCAATTATTGTTTTTGATTTTTTTTTAATAATGTTTCCGTCAATAAAATAAGGTGTAGTTTCCTTGATTTTGCTATGTGCACTTTATGAAGACTCACACTGTATATAACAAAAAATTGGAAAATAATGGGTAAAATCCGCAAAAAACTGAGTTCAAGCAAGTAGATACACATGCCCACACATCGGGATACAGGTGTAACCTGAGGAAACAAAGATGGACAAGGAAAAAAATCACACACGAAATCCACAACAAGAGCGAATCCACCCATTGTAGTTTAAAAGTACTAGAAGACCTTGAATTTTCAAGGCGTCATCTAACCACAACCACGCGGCCGGTTATTTTCCTATTTTTTGTTATATACCTTTCTCCGCATGATCATTTTCTCTTTGTAGATCCTTTAAGCTTGAAGAACCACAGCAAGTGGTTAGAAAATAAATAAATTTTACTTCATTCCAGACAGTTTTGAAGATATTAAAAAAAATTGTTTTTTATTTTTAAAGTTCAACTTTCAACTTCTTTTTACTGAAGCCCTTGAGGAAAAAATGTTACATAGAAGACTCATTTTGGTCACAAGTTGTGAATCACCCTGTAAAGTGCTTTTAGCAAAGTTGAATCATAATTCAACTTGGATTTTAACTAATCCTAGCAATTTCTCATGTAAAAGATATTGCTCAGCTTGGGGAGAACATATAGATCTTTGTCATAGTCAATTTTTATAAAATAATTCTCATCATTTAATTTTTTGGGGTTTAAGAGATGGAGGACAGCTCCTTCAAAAACATTCATAAGCTACAATATGTACAGCAAGAGCAAAAATAGAAAAGTGGATGTTTTCAATGAAAAGTGAGTAAAAGTGAGGTGGATTAAAAAAAAGCGAGACAAAGGTGCTATAACCAGGTTTAAGACTGTATATCTATATTTAGCGATATCTAACTTACAAATTTTCTTCAGGAACAACTAGCTGCAGTGTTCTTATAGGTCTTTCAATAACTTCAACCTCAACATCTCCAGCAGGGATGTCTAAAATAGACCTTAGTGGATCTCTGTCAATCAAGTTTTGGTACCCACTGAGAAATTCCTCAAAATCTAATGGTTCTGCTACGTCATTTGTCCAGCTCTACAAATATTTATATTTAAGGTTTCTTATATATATAAGAAGCATATAAATGGATGTGTCTTTTTGGAAAACAATTTAATCTGGTTAGCAAGTAAATTGTTAAACATCATTGGCTATCAAAAAGAAGCAATCAAATTTTTGTGATATTTTCCTGTTTAGCTTTTTTTAAGGGGAGGTTTTAATTACAGTTAATAGTTTTAGAATAACGATGCTTTAAAATTTTGTCACTGACAGCATAGTGGAGGTCGAATTTTTAAATGTTTGATCAAACACTGGCTACTCAAATTGCAGTTTTTTGTAGTCATACCGTGGTGGAAGCAGGTGATACAAGTCCACTTTTGCTGTATGCAATGTTCCTTCTAACATCAGCTGCATGTTGTCTAAAAGAAAATGTTTTAACATACTATATAAATAAAAGAAGTAAACATTACTTTGATAACTTCTGGGTGAACGCCCTTTGTGCAGTCGCAGCCATAGTGTTCTTTTCGGTATTCGGCAAATAAAAAAGGACCTAGACAGGTTTCGCAATTATCTAGTATATTGCCTGTTGGAGTATTACATCCTTAGGAGCTTAGAAAGCCTTTATTCTTGAATATTGGAATTTTTTGTATTTATTTTACATTATATAAATATAACCTCACAAAACATAAGACGGAATTCAACCAATGAACTGTCAACATTGTCAGTGTTGTTCATTAATCAAATTCAAGCGGATAACCAAATGGAAATGGTATTTACCATTTTGGGTTGGTGTTAACCAATCCGTTCAAGCGAGTGTAGTTATCAGTTTGGTTATAAGATCCGTGACGTCACGAATCAGCTGTTATATGTCATAGTTATCACCGCAAAATTGTGGTATTTACCCAACTCAAGAGTAGTTTTATATTTCTGGTTATTATTTGAAATGTGACAAGTTAGAATTTTGCCGGGTATTGGATATTAATCAAATCCAAGCGAATAAACAAAATTTCTGTGTTATGTGTCGGGGTTATAATATGGTTCAAGATGACACACGGGTTGATGACGTCAGTTACACGAATCGCTTGAACGCGTTGGTTTTAACCGCGGTTTTGTTGTAAGTTGTTTATTTTAGAAAAGCGGGTATATAATCTCTGATTATTTTTATTATCACTTAATAATCGGTGCTTTTTCGTCTACAACTGGATATGTAAAGTTTAAATAAGAAACCTTTCATAATATTCATGGGAGAAATGTTTTTTTCAGATTTTTTTTTTAATGATGGAACCATGGCTTTGTAGCTATGATAACTTTCAATTCTCTAAAATTTTCCGCGTGTCAAAGAAAACATTTATTGATTCCGCAGAAAGCAAAACCGTATACAGGTGGATATCATCTAGTGAGTTTATATGGCCATATTTTAATATTCTTGTGGTATATGGCTACACAGGATACGTTATTACGCATAGGAACTACATTTAAAGTGTCCCCCAACAACCGTAATGAGTATAACTAATAAGGTGTTCCACTTTATGGTAAAACTGAAGTCAGCCTGTATCATTTTTCTCAAAAATGAAGCTGAAGTACAATAACAATATCCACTACCCGGCAAAATTCCAACTTGTCACATTTCAAATAATAACCAGAAATATAAAACTACTCTTGAGTTGGGTAAATACCACAATTTTGCGGTGATAACTATGACATATAACAGCTGATTCGTGACGTCACGGATCTTATAACCAAACTGATAACTACACTCGCTTGAACGGATTGGTAAATACCAACCCAAAATGGTAAATACCATTTCCATTTGGTTATCCGCTTGAATTTCATTATTGTTATTGTACTTCAGCTTCATTTTTGAGAAAAATGATACAGGCTGACTTCAGTTTTACCATAAAGTGGAGCGCCTTATTAGTTATACTCATTACGGTTGTTGGGGACAGTTTAAATGTAGTTCCTATGCTTAACAACGTATCCTGTGTAGCCATATACCACAAGAATATTGAAATATGGCCATATAAACTCACTAGATGATATCCACCTGTATACGGTTTTGCTAATTTCTTTTTTCATCATTTCTGCTGAATCAATAAATGTTTTCTTTGACATGCGGAAAAATTTAGAGAATTGAAAGTTATCATAGCTACAAAGCCATTGTTCCAACATTAAAAAAAATTTCTGATAAAAAAAGGTTTCTTTTTTTAAACTTCCTATACACCTTTGTAGACGAAAGCACCGATTATTATCTAATAATAAAAATAAATCAGAAATTATACACCCACTTTTCTGAAATAAACAACGTGCAACAAAACCTCGGTTAAAACCAACGCGTTCAAGAGATTCGTGTACCTGACGTCATCAACTCGTGTGTCATCTCAAACCAAATTATAGAAGTTTTGGTTATTCGCTTGGATCTGATTAATATTTACGCGCCGTATCGTCAGTCGTTCGTACAATTGTAGGACGCCTTTATAGCCTCCTTGATTTTCATAGTATCTTCTCTCCTTCAGAAAGGCTGGGGTATTTCTATATTTCTACTGTTCAGTGTCAGCGTCGGCGCTCTCGTATTGTAGTAAATTTCAGGCTGTATAACAGACGATATAAATCAAAAACATGAACAGTTTCATGCAAAAAATATATATTTGTAACACAATCTCAAAATAAAGCGCTGACACGGCACAGTAGAAAACTATCAAAATCAGGAGGCCATAGAGGTGTTCTGCAATTGGATGAATGACTGACGAAACGAACTTTAGTGTATGCACACGTATGATTGGTATGGAGCTGAAAATGACACAGAGTACGACATACAATTTATTTTTTGAGGCTTATTTTTGGTTCTAGTTCTTTTTCGGTAAAAAAAAACAGGAAATATCAAAATTACTTGAAAAAATCCTGGAAAATGACTTGGGCATTTCGTTAAATGTCGCATTTCGGTGAAAATACCGAAAATAGATAGGTTGGGAAACACTGCTAACTATTGCAACTGACTGAAATTACACTTTTCGCCGATTTTGTTCCTTGACCTAGCTAAATAAATTTATCAGAATCACAACCATTGATTAATTGTAGAGAGGCGTATTTCTAACTTTCATCCATGCAGTCTCATTACAAATATATTCCGGTTCGCCACTTACATCCATGTAGTCTCAATACAATTAGCGATTGGTAGCACTGACGAATCAGTTTTTAATTGATATTGTCAATACTCTGATAGAATTATTTGTTCTAAGGATGATAAAGAAACAAAAACCTTTCGATATCGGCAGGGTTATTACGTAAAAAACCTATATAACGTCAAAAAACCGATAAAATGTCTTCTTGTTGACTAGTTAGATGGTACTGTGCAAATAGTTCATTTCGCGCCTGATATAAGTAGTGAGCATGAGGTGAACGACAGCTAGTTCCTAGTTGACACCTTGTAGGAAGATGTATATAATGTCATCAAAACCTACATCATGTCAAAAAAAATCGGTCATAATGTAGCTTTAAAAGTTATGTAACACCCCCCTCGAATTCGTTGGCATACCGATTTATGGGTAGCAATGGTTTCTCCTCAGAAATTCCCCTTATGTCATAATTGTCAAACCCAAATGTCATGGGTGAAATGACAAAGCTGTCAAACGTCCAATGGAGTTTCATGTTCCAATCCATTTTTAATCCTTGTTTTTACATTTACCTCAATTTGTATTCAGTTATGTTGTGGTTGAATTTCAATGCTTATTAATGCATAAACATAAATGTTGGTGTTAGAATGGTGATACAGCAGGAATTGTGTCTTGTGTAGTAAAAGATACGGTACCCCGCGAAACTACCGTTTTTCTTTCGTATAAATTCATCATGAAGTAAACAAAAAATACAACTTTCTGTCTTATTAGCCTAGCAGCCTTCATAACTAATGACGAATAGTGTATTTCAAAATCGCAGCTGTTTTTCGATGGCTTGAATAATGAAGAGTTTGAAGAGCGTCTCAGTTCAGGTCCTTGATAGTGATATCGCATATTTGCTTCCTAATGCTTCTGGTCGAGATAGCAGGCAAATGGAATCCAGATCGTCCAGGCTGAAACAAGCATGTTTACTCGTATTGGGTATGTGTATCTTTGGCATATTTGGATTGGGCTATTATTGCCCGGACAAGGTAAGTTAAAGCACTAAATATATATTGCAATACACAATATTAGTGACAGATTATTTTTGTTTATACATGAGCGCCTAAACCCTGTACACTGCAACATTGCTTATTATCCCTATCCAGATGAAATAACAAAATACAGGCTGGAAAAAATTCAAAATACATGCCCCTGCTATATAAACAATGTAACTTGTTTCACAATTTGAATATGCCTAATAACCATCTCCTCACATTGCCACAATACTAGACAGTTATATTTCAATGCTCTTTCACATACAATGCAGTGAACTTGATTAATATTCATTTGACTATTTTAAAAAAATTATTTTATTTTTATTTTATTAAATGCTTAATTTTTTTCTATTTCAATTTTTTTTCTCTCCCATTAAATTCTATTAGGATTGGTACTAAGGCCGACTAGGCAATAACATTTTTTCTATTACTAATTATTTTTCTTCAGGCTAAGCTTTAGGTTAAGGTAGCAGTAATTTTGACATGGTTAAGTATACCTTATTTCACAAGTATTCATCAGGCTTTGATGTCTACTAAGCTGGACAGGTGATCAGCAAGTGACATTTTTGTGTTACTCTGCATTTTGGCAATAATGAATCAGGTATAAATCTGGTAAAACTTGTTTGTGGCGTTAGCAAGTACAAATTAAAGTATAGCATACAAAAAACCAAATAAAACACGGCGCCGACTACATGGCGTTGACGGATCCGTCAGAACTATGTGTCCTGTGCTGATATGGGGAATTTTGAGGGTAATCAGCTGTCATTCTACAGTGATGGATACTCGTAAAATAGGGTATATGAATGGCCATTGGCCAGAATTTGCATTTGTAACTACGTATACAGTGGACCCCCGATAATCCGGCCCTTGTCTAATCCGGCGCCCCCTGTAATCCAACATGTCTTTGAATATGTATTACATAGTATTTGACAATCTTCGCTAATATAGATCACGCAGGTTTGAACAGGTTACAACTTGTACGCGCCACCGCTATCGTGCTCGACGCGTAAGCTTTGTTTTACTTAGTTTGAATTTGACTACTGGTGATAGCGGTACGGCCTAGCGTGCGTTCATTGTTTACTATTTATTCATTGTATATTAAGTATAGTACCTAGTAATATCATCACAAACTCAGAAGCGAAAGCACAAAACATTGACAATTAAAGAAAAATGAGATATTTTTGACCGCTTAAATCGCAATGAAACTTTCAGTAGTTTAGCAAGTGAATATGGTGTGGGCCGATCTACAATTTATGACATTAGAAGAAACCACGAGAAGAGCAAGAAGTTCGGGTCGACTACTGACTGCGGGCCAGGCAAGAGACAAACACTTAAGAAAGCTGAACATCCAGAAGTGGGAGAAGCTTTGTACATGTGGTTTCTTCATGCACCAATTTCAGGACCCATGTTGGCCATGGAAGCTAAGTTTTTTTATAATAACAAAAAAAGATGATTTTGTGGCCAGCAAAGGATGGCTAGAATGTTTTAAAAGTCGTCATGGCATACGTTTAATGACTATTACAGGAGAGAAACTTTCTAACGATGCCACCTGCATAGAGCCCTTTAAATTAAGATTTTTGCAAAAGGTGAACAATTTAAATCTTGACCCGTCACAGGTGTACAATGCTGATGACGAATCGGGGCTTTTTTAGCGTGTAATGCCTAACAAAACTTTCGTTTCTTGTAACGAAAAATCCGTACCTGGACGTAAAGTAAATAAAGCGTGTAACCATACTATCATGTGCTAACGCTGCCGGCACACACGCGCTTAAGATAATGGTCATTGGGAAATCTAATAAACCACGGGCATTCAAAAACATTCATTTACCTGTACACTATTACGGACAAAAAAGTGCATGGATGACAAAAGACCTTTTCACAAAGTGGTTTGGTGAATGCTTCGTACCTGAAGTTAGAAAATGGTTAAAAGATCATAATTTTCCTCAAAAAGCGTTGTTGCTTCTTGATAACGCTCCCGGTCATCCGTCTGAAGAAGAACTAACAACTGAGGATAAATGCATCCCTGCGATGTTTCTTACGCCAAATTGCACTGCACTCATTCAACCAATGGACCAGAATATCATTTAGTTTGTCAAGCAAGACTATAAGCAAAACCTACTTCTGAGAGCTGTATCAAAAGACCAACCAATAGAAAAAACTATAAAATAATTTAATATGAAAGACTTGGTTTTTGCTCTTTGTCAGTCGTGGAATGCGTTACCGTCATCGACTATTAAATCGTCTTGGAAAAAGTTATGGCCAGATATAGTCACCACTCCTAGCAATGTTCCACAAATCAGTGTTATTTCGGAAGTTATAGAACAAGCCGCTACTGAAACACAGATAAGTCCGGAAGATTTGGAAATCTGGTGCCGTGGAATGGATAAAGAGGAAAATGTTTTCATGAAATGTCTGCCAAAGAGATTATAAAAGAGGTTTCTAATTATACAACAAACAATCAGGAAAATAACGACGACGTGATTGCAACTGCTCCACAAGTCACAGCACAAGATGCAATTAACACCTTTGAGCGGGGTTTACAATGGGCTGAAGAGAATGGTACATCCTACAACAAACTTTTTCTTTTGAGAAGACTGAGGGAAAAAGCTCTGATCGCGCGTTATAACAACCTTAAACAAAACAAAAATTGATGAATATTTCCAAGCTTCATAATTTGATAAATTGATTAATGATTTCGATTAATAATTCTTGATTATTTTGGTACATATGTATGTGCATTTATGCTTAATTTTATAATAAAACGTAAGCTATCTATTGTTATTTAAATTACTAAATTCGACATACATAAACTATGTATGATTTGTACTTCAAAGTATGTACATATACATAACATATATGTATACATATCTTACCATTGGATATGTAATTTGTCGGATTACAAGGTACTCTTTTGTAAAAAATTCCGGACTATAGGGGGTCTTAGGCAGTGCTCTATAATCCGACAAAATCGATAGTCCGACACTACCCTGCATAATGTTTGTCGGATTATCGGAGGTCCACTGTATATTTGTTACAATAGAAGCAATTGATATGGTCTTTTGTACATGTTTTGTTATTTTTTTATTTTCATCAGGTGTGTGCCCTGAGTCCCAGTCAGACCATGAGAATGGAAGACAACTTTGGTAAACCATTGAGGCGGATTAGTAACAAAGTGGGACTCAGTTATGATGACATGCTGAATGATGATTTCACCTTTGATATGGACTCTCATGACGTCATGGTGTTCTTGCATATGCAGAAGACTGGTATGTTATCTTTAATTACAAATTGGATAATCATCTAGAAAATTCAGCCTTTAATTACGTTAATAGTTTGAAGCTCAAGTGATTCAGAAAACCATGACAATATTTACAGAGCAGAATATAAATCTCTTTTGGTACTTGAGATGTCAAACGTGCGTAGCTTAAATAGTCATTAGGTTTACAATGATTTTCCAATTTTCTGCGCAATTTTCTTGATTTTTCTTTCCGTAAGAACCTTCTATACAGCATCAGGAAACTTAAAAAAAACAAAGATGAATGAAATCGGTAGAGTCGTTCTCAAGTTATGGCGTGACCACGCGAAATAGGGATTCATTTATATACAGCGTGGCCCATCCATGTGTGGATGGAATATTACTCATAAACAAATACATTTTGGGTAAGTCTATTTATGGCATGTTATACATGACATTTGAGGGCACATTTCTAAAATATTGGCAATTAAACAAGGTGTCCCAATTTTGACCTACATATCAAAGTTGTGATTTTTAAATGAAATGCCTCAAATTTTATTGCATATTTGGATAAACCAATTCAAAAGAAAAATATTGATATAACATACTATGTGGTTTTGGTAATTAGCTACTGAGACGTAAGGTGTTTTGTCCAGAAAAACCGTCCACTTCGGCAATCCCTCAATCCGCCATTTTTAAATTTGGAGAGCTGAATTTTGTATTAAAAAACACTTACACACCTTAGCTTTTATCTTATTTGTTACTTTATCGAATTTTCATGTTTGCTCGTACAGGGTGGCCAAAAACGTGAATTGTCCTTTTTCTCAAAAATTTCAAATGTATCACCCTGTATATTTGTACAAGTTTTGATTGCTTTTTTTATGAGCTTTTTTTTGGTATAAGGTTTGATTCAGATAAAATCACGAAGATTTTGAGTTATTGAGCTTTTAATAGAACAACACACCAAAATTAAGGAAAAAATCACATCATCCATGGAAACAAAAGACAAACAGTGGGGTATTTCCATATTGCCACTAAGAGTACAGATTTGACAGAAGTTCTGGATATATCAGTTTCTGCTCCAATTTACCGTGTACTTAAATGGGGATTTTCCTGCAACTTTAATAGAACCTCCAAGTGATTCGCCTCATTGGTGACACTTGGATTATTTATACATTTCTTACTATATTCCACTGCTTCACTTGATTCAAAACGTTCTCATAGTGTGGAAAATGTCGCATAATAGGGTACCGTTGCTTATAAATGCGAGATGCTAGGAAACTATTTCTTTGGGCTTGAAAATTCGAGGTCTTCTAGCCATTTTATACTACAATGTGTAGGTTGGCTCTTGTTATGGACTTCGTGTGTCGTTTTTACCCTCTCCATCTTCGTTTCCTCAGGTTACACCCGTATTCGAATATGTGGGCATGTGTATCTACTTTCGTAGTTTCATATGTGCTTTCATTTCGGACCTGATGAAGCCAACCAGCAGAAATACGTATCGCTCGGGTTACCTATCCTATTTTCTGCTCGAATCCACTTTCCTCCTTTTTGCGGATTTTGCCCATTATTTTCCTACTTTTTGTTATATACCTTTCTCCGCATGATCATTTTATCTCTCTCTCTCTCTCTCTCTCTCTCTCTATATATATATATATGTAAGTTTTTTTAAGTTCATTGCAGACATGTTTTACCACTATAAATTATTGAGTCATTTACCACTGTTGATTTAGGTACTACTAATTTAAGATCTTGTTTTTGTCAGATATTGCAATTTATATTTAATTTTCGAACTAAGAGTTATTTTTAAAAATAAAAGTTGGTGTTTCCAAAATGAAGAATCAAACGACAGTCATTATTTTTTTAGTTATACATCTAATAGTTCGTTTTTGTAGAGTAAGAACTTTTTTATACAATTTTGGGAATAGACACACCAAAAGGGAATGCTGTAACTCAATCTTATTTCAAAAAAGGCAAAGTAACTTCGTAAGGCTGTGCTTTTCTCTACATTGCAGCTAATTGTTCTTATAATAGAGGAATTTGCTATTTGCGAAAGCAATTTCTCTACATGATTAATTAGTAAAATCTAATTTATGATCATTGGTCACTGCAAAAAATTTGGATGTGTCTGTTTCATGTGTCAATTCATTATTTAAATTTATAAAATTATTTAAATGTCATACATGTTGTCTTATTCTTATTGTGTTTCGTGGACAATAAATTTTTGGGAAAATGCTCCCAATGGAGAAGAAAATTGCCTCTTTGCAAGAAGTAGTCAGTCAATAGTTCTAAGGTTCCAACAAAATGAGTAATAAGCATAACTAACTAGTTTCGAAAGTTTTATTTATTTTAACCTATAGTACTATAAAAAACCATTTGGAATAGTGCATGGACGTTGTAGGCTGTTTTGTCGAGAGCTATATCCTCCAACATCAAAGCTATTTTTATGAATTGGCGAGTTGTACATGCATATAAAACACCTACGGAAGTTCAACAAACTGATATGAGGACAGGTGCGGATTTAGAAAACTCTGTAGGATCTTGTACATCGTCTTACAAATGTGCTTTTCGTGTAATAGGAAAAATTGAAATGTATGTCAAATATCATTGTTCCATAGGGCGACACGGTGATTTAGGCCATTTTTTTCTGGATGTCACATGGTTGTCAGATTGTGCATTAACGCCTCATAAAGAGTCTATTTTGAACTTTTTGTATGCATTTTTTTGTTCGCGACGATAGCGAATCACCATAGACGACATCTCCTTAGTCAAAAAGTGATAAAATTAAGGTATTACACAAATAATATTTTCGTGTGGCTGATAAATGTTTTTTAATTTGTTTATATTTCTTAGTCGCACGTAAGCTAAATTTGTTCTGTTTTTTATATGACTTCCGAAGCCAAGCGAGCTATCAAATATAATGCTTAGATTTTTTGTCTCCTGAACCATTGGGATTCCGTCATTGTTAATAGAAATTACTAAATTTTGTTCAAAATGTTCTCTTTCATTACTGTTTTCATTCATAACCATTACTTGCGATTTTGAGGGGTTTAGTTTAAGATTGTGATGCTTTGCAAATCTGTCAATACTTGGGAGAGTTGTTGTTGTGCAATATGGATTGTGGTTTTATTGAAAGGGAGATATATTTGTGAGTCAACTGGTTATTGTTTTATCTTTGCGAATTTTACCGATTTGACCATGTCAGATATGTAGATTGAAAATAGCAAAGGAAATAAAATTTACCCTTGAAGAACTCCTCTTTGTATAGGTTTAAAATCGGTTTTGTAAATAGCGGAATCATTTGCTAACATAACACAGTTTGAACGGTTGCTTAAGTATGTTTTTATTAGATTTACGGAGCTCTGCGAAAACCCCTGGTAATGTAACTTGGCTAGTAACATTTCATGATTCAGAGTTTCGAACGCTTTACTGAAATCGAGAAGAACCATGTACGTACTATTTTTTTTGTTCTTGATGATGTCTGATATCAACCTAGATATTAACTAATGATGTACTTGTGCTAAAGTTTTTCCTAAAACCGGATTGACTATCGGGTATGATATCGTTTGTGTCACAAAAAAATCTAATTTGATAATAAATATGCCTTTCTAATATTTTTGATGTAGCGGGTAATATGCTAATAGGCCTCAAGTCTGTAAATTCTTTAGGTTCTGCTATTTTTGGTAAGGGTTTAACAATAGCTTTCTTCCATATTTCTGGAAATAATCCCCCCAAAATACATGTGTTGATTATATTCAGCAAGGCATTCTTACAAAATGGGATACATAACTTTAGGTCTCTGAAAGAGAAATAATGATATATGAAAGATTTTAAAACGCCTTGTATTATTAACATATTTTTGCTGTTTTTTGTTTGACAAATAAGTAAAAACTTATCTGTTAAAGCAGCAGCATCAATAACACAGGCCATTATAAAATGATCCATATATCCTACAGTTGTTTGAAATTTTGAGAATAAAAAATCTATAGTTGAGAATATAAACTCACTGACTTAAAATTGTTACACCAAGAAAAAAATAATTTCTTCAACTTGATTTCTTGGCAATGAGGTAGTAGTCTTATATCAATGAATGAAACAATAACATTATCACCAAATTTTATTGACAAGTAATAAGAAAAAAAATTGCCTTGAACAAAAAGAAGAGGTGATCCGCTACCATAGGCAATAGCCTCTCAAGCCATTACTCCAACAGTCCTGTGTACATGCCTCTCAATAGCAAATCCAATATCACGCTCTTCTCCACGGCAGCGTTTTATCCTTCTACGAGCATCGTGCGTACCTAGACAGCGATTCGTCGCTGAAGATGACATTATGCCATTCAGCATCACAGTGTTGCCGTTCTCTGCTCCAGGTCAAACGTTGACGACAGTAGTCCGCAGTCAGAGGAACAACTAACTGTGGACTGTATGAAAACAGTCCAAAAGTTCGAATGTGGCGATACAGTGTACGCATAGTCAACAGGTCTACCTTCTTCTCCAAACCAGTGGTCAGTGATCTGACGCGTAGTAGGAAAACGGTCGCGTGGGGCTAGTTATCTGAAGCGCCTATCTTGACGCTCTGAGGTACACCTCGGTGGACCAGTTGACCGTCTTTATGTCCCTCCCTTTATGGCAACGCATCCTCCAATATCAATGGCAACGAATCTTCAATGATCAAGGATCTTAAATTTCCGTGAGGGGGGTTAAAATCCCCCCATTTTTTGATTAGATTAGTTTATTATATTCTAATATTACGTATTGGATTTGGCTTTGTTGAAAAACAAAGCGTCCTCCTCCTTGCTTGCACTGAAGTTCACTGAACGGATTTTGGCAGCCCAAGGTAGTCATTCAAAATGGTGGACCTTGTGGTAGCTACCGATATGCAGCGCCATCTATCGGAGAGTAGCCGCCACAAAAAAAATTCGTTTAGTTGGGCTACCATCCGATAGATGGCGCTGCTATGTAAAGTGCTATCGCAGACCTCACAAAATTTAACTAGTCAAAAAGATCCTTTAGGGGCGGTTGGTCGGAGTTCGGGATGGGTCTATGGCAACGAATCTTCAATGATCA